ACTTGGAGATATGTTCAATATTATAATTTTATCAAATTGGCCTGTAGATTCGATAGTCTTATTCTATTAAAAAAAAAACTAAATTGACATCCAAACCGGAATCAAACTAGACACTTTTGTCTACCTGGTATACTGATTATTTTTCACAGTACAGATTCAAACCAAATCAAACTGGAAATAGCTACAACTTTAATCGATTAAAGACTTAAAAAATCATCTCTAACTTCCAATTAATTATTTCATTAGTCGTTAAGAGTTCTCATAAAAGCCTTTACACATGCATTTTTATTTATTTTAACAAGTACATAATCCTTCCATACAATAAGGCCCTGGTAACTCTTTGCAACGAACAAGCTTCCTACAATCTTCCTCGACGTCACAAGTCCACCTCCAACACTTTCCTCCTCCTCTTCCATCACTACACCATACGCCCATTTCTCAATCATCGTGACTTCCGCAAATTTGGTATGTTGCTACCACCCTCTGTTCTTGATACATTGGTTACAAGCAACATGAAGGGGTCTACATGCTCATCAAATAAATTATTTAAACAACATATTTAGACTGGTTCCGTAGTTAGAATAGTTCTAGATATACGGAAATAGATCATAGAGAAAAACAAAAAGGAACTCATAAGAAAGTAGAAAGGAGAAAAATTAAGGTTATAACGACAACTAAAACAAAATAGAGGGAGTAATAGTATTTCCTCCACATTATTTGTTGATTCAAATTTCATCAATATTTACATCATTTTCAATGTTACAAATTGTAATAGTTTTTTTTTATTTGATAGAAGGAAAATATTCGAAATTTTGTTTTTTTTTATTATTCAAAATCATCACACACAAAGAAACAACATAAAACTTTTTTTATTGTTCTTTATTCTATAACCCATTTAAACAGTGACATTGTGAATTTTCACAGACAGAATTTCCATCAACGCAAGTGAATTTATCTTCACAATCACATGTTGTCTTGCACCGTAATGGCGTCTCAGTTGGTTCTACGTTAAGGCTCTTTCTGGTTGAGAGTGGTGAAGTCGGCGGACACTGGCAATGCGATTCTACACATTTGACAAATGGACAACGAACATCATGGCAATCATGTACAGTCTTGCAGCTATGATACTTTAGCTGTGCTTCGGCTTTAGGTATGCTCACTGATATCATGCCTAATATTGAGACATCTATTTCGTTAATGACTTGAAACTAAATTGATTCAATATAATTAGTATGTGAATTGATGATTCAAGAGAGGAGATTGACTTACATGCAAGAACTAATGAGATTAATAGGAGAGACATTGCTTTAGACGCCATTTGTTATGGTGATGTTGTTGATATCTCAAGAGTGTACAAAAGAATAATGATTTATAGACGGTAACGAGAAGCATACCATACTGGTTTACAATTATATTGTTGACCAAACATTAAAATGAAAACAAATGGATGGTAAGAGATACGTTATCTTAGTCATAGTCTTCGAATTTTAATTTGTTTCTAGATAGGCACTTTCCATATCCCAAGACTTATAGGTGTTTGTTCAAAATTACTAAAAACTGTTGAAATTTTGATTTGAAACAGAGAAGAGAAAGAATGAAAAACAGAGTAAGAGATAACTCTTATCTCTTCTCTTTGAAGAAGAAGAACAATTACGAGGAATGAATATTATTGATCTGAAACTTGATTTGTTATATCGTGTTACATGAGTTATATAGTAAGACAAAACACAACAAGAGTTGTGTCTCTTCATTAAACCTATCCAACCCTAACCGTTCACAACAGTTACTTCTCCTACAAGCACCCTTTGATGCAACATACAATAATCCATTAATTGTATCATACGACCAAACTCAATTAAATCCAACAAAAACTTGGAGTTTCTTCAATATTATAATTTTATCAAATTGGCCTGTAGATTCGTTATTCTTATTCGAAACTAAAAAAACACTAAATTGACATCCAACTGGAATCAAATTATTACTTTTAATTTTTCCCCTAGTATAATGGTTCTCCCACAGTGGAGATTCAAACCAAATCATAATGGAAATAGCTACAACTTTAATCGATCAATTAAAGACTTAAAAGTACACACATAATACTCTTGTTCGAGGACGGATCGCTAAGCCCATATTTTGATTTGAGTCGACAAATCAAAATCATAAAATTAACACATCTTTTTTGTTAAATCATGATTTTGATTTGTCTACTGAACAAATGTTAACAGGAATCCATACACATGTAGCTTATAGAAGAAAATTCATTACTTATTCCGTTAGTCCTTACGAGTTCTCTTTAAAAGCCTTGACACATGTATTTTTAATTTTAACAAGTACATAATCCTTCCATACAATAAGGTCCTGGTGTTTCTGTGCAACGAACTCTCTTCCTACAATCTTCCTCGACGTCACAAGTCAACCTCAAACACTTTCCTCCTCCTTTTCCATCACTACACCATATGCCCATGTCGCAATAATCGCGACTTCCGCAACTTGGTAAGTTGCTACCACCCTCTACTCTTGATACATTGGTTACAAGCAACATGAAGGGGTCTACATGCTCATCAAAGAAATGATTACATCAGCATATTTAGACTGGTTTCGTAATTAGATTAGTTCTAGATATACGGAAATAGAGATATAGAGAAGAAAAACCTAAACTCACAAGATAGTAGAAAGGAGAGGAGGAGAACAGATGTTGCTCTCGATGCCATTTTTGTTTGTGATTATTAGATGGAGAAAATGATTTACTTTGAGGCTTGCTATTCAGTTTTTAATAATTATATAGGTGTTTGACTGTTGGAACATTTATTGTGTGGTCTCCTAAGACTTTCCATTGTTTATAATGGCTTTTTTTTTTTTTTTTTTTTTTGGGTACGAAGTTTATAATGGCTTATAGGTGACCAGCTCATTCAAAACACAACATTTAATGGAACTTCCCTTAATTCCTGTGTACATGAGATTTGTTTCATTTTTCATTTGTCAGTTGCGGATTTCAGTTACAAACTGGATGTATATGTTTCGTTTGTGGTATGTTTGGCCATCTATACATTTGCAAATGAACCTTGGTGAATTATGATTTATAGTAACTGAAATCCCACTATACTTTCTTTCAAATAAAATTCTTATTTTTTTTTTTCAGCAGAAATTTACGAATCTAAAAGATTTGAAAATCCAACCCAATGGTACAATTAAAATAAAATGTTAATTGAATTATTTTATGCAAGAGCTCTTGGAATTTTAGGTCCTGTTTGGTGAATAGACTTTTAGAGGTTTAAATAAATTACAGTTCTTTTTTTTCTTCAAAAAACTGCAGTTCTTAAAGTTAAACATTTTATCAATCACATTTTTGCTTTCCTAGGATTACTCAAAGGCTTAACTTTTTATTTTTGTTCTTGTTAAGTGAATTTTTATATAAGTTAGGATTTGTGATTGTTGTTTCCTTTTAAAATGATCATAGTCATGAATCAAAAAAGTCAAAGTCAAAGTTACAGTCAAAAAAACTTTAAAGCCAACATTTTAAAAGCAAAAATCCTTACCAAACAAGCAAAAACTTCAAAGCCAACATGGATTTGTGAATTTGTATTGGATTTTTATACTACTTTGATTCTAGGTTGAGAGAGATCTCGCGGCAGGTTGATCTAAAAACATATAGATTTAGGTCCAGAACTTTGTAATATTAATCATAAATTCGTATATGCAATAAACAGCAAAAAAAATCAATTATTTATCCTTTTGTTTTATCAGAGGGGTTTGTTGATTTTCCGAAAATAAATTAAACAGAACAAGATTAGATAAATACTGTAGTTTAAACAAAAATAATTGAAACAAAAACTAAGAAACGCATGAGAAAAGGTTACAGTCACAAGGAAACAAATAAATCAAATCATATATATGAAAAGAGGCCAACTCTCTCCATATTATTGACATGTGACAAAACTTTTAAAGAGTGCAGTCTCTTCGCATTCTTAGTCGTTAGAGTTATAATAGGTTTCAAAACCGCCAGTTGCTTCATCTTCCATGCTGTATCAACACTCCATTAATTGATATTGTGGCATGACTTTTCCTCTTCTTTTCCATCAATAACTCTAAATCTTATACATTTCAACTTATGATAATAAAAATCACTCTATTAATCCAAGGTTTTACATTTCGACTTCCATCTTAAGTTACTATTAAACATATAAATTCTCCTAATATATAGAGATATGTATTTAGCAAGAATCGATGGAGGAAAATCAGAGTCCGTTCTATGTGGTCATAAGTAAATAAAGAGAGTTAATGGTTCATACACTACAAGAAATATGGGCATTGATAGCAGACGGAAAACGCTATCATATGGGTTAGATAGCATTTGTATAAACGCTATCATATCCGACGCTATAATAGAGTACCTATCTATAATAGCGTTTCACGTCAGATGCTATCGTAGCCCTCGTCTATTATAGCTGTTTAGAAATGTCATTGTTGTAGCTAAGATGGCACACATGTGACGTTATTGATTAACGTTTTACAGCGTTTTAGAATTGTTATAGAAACATGTATAGTAGCGATTGTGTCGTGCTATATCAATACTTCTGACAGCTTCTTTCGTGTGCTATTTCAAAGTTTTTTCATGGCGTTACGTTCCTGTTATTATTATACACACTGTAGCTCATACATTATGCTACAAGTTTGCTAATCAATGGCTGCATAATTTTGCCATAGAAATAGTATATATTTGTGAATATGGTTTTAGAAATCGAGATGCTGAAACTGAAATTAACACTGAAACTGAAGAAGATGATTGATAAGGTTCAACATTTATTACATAGTATAAAAATCCAGATTCGATGAAACATTGCAACATAGTACTTAAGTTTGAACTGCCAAAGGGAACATATTGTACTGTCTTAATTCCCAAACAAAGCAAATCCCAAAAGTTGGACCTTACTCTTGATCAGAACATCACAATCTTGTCTTTAGGCCAAGCAATGGTGGTTCCAATAGCATCCTCCATACACTCAATTGCTGAAGAAAGGCCTCCATACAAGGGCATCGTTCACCTTCACCACATCAACCCACACACGGACTCCATTATCACCTAAAGGAACAAAGTGAACCAACACTTCTGGGTCATTTGAAGACCAGCGTCCTTCTGCCACAATCCTCTTATCACCTGAAATGTCCAGCAGTTTACACTTCCGTTCTTCCTTGCCAAGCCGTGTTGGAGAAATCTGGTAAGCATGTAAACGAAAATGTAATTGCTAATAAATACATAGCCAGTTTCAGGAACTCAGTCTCCAACAGATATGAAGTGTGACTCATTAGAAAACATACCTGTTGAGGGGAGCCTGACATAGTAGACTGTGAAGCTGGTTTTGAACTTTTAACAGGAGCTGGTGGAGTAAGTAATTGTGGCTGCGCTCGAGGAGATGCTGTTGCCTCTGTGTTAAGATCATCGAACAAAACTCGACCCACTGGCCACGCTACAAATGTCTTCAAAGACTCGTGAAGGTATGAAAATTCTTCTGTTGGCCTCCAAAGGAACGTATCTGGGTCTATAACCGCATCAACAAAAACCTTTATTGCTTTTGGTCCTAGAGGTAGGCCATTTACCAAAGCCTTGGGATCACGTGTTTGCCAGCGGCCTTCAGCAACAGGTTCTTCATCATTAGATAGCCAGTTTAGGAGTTTGCATTTATTCAAAGAAGTTGTGCTTGGGCTCTGTAAAACAAACGATACGAACAGAAGATATTACTAACTCTTATCAAAATAACCCATACATAGCAATACTACACCTAAAATCAATCTTGTTCTCTACCAGGGTGAAGCTATATATCAGGAACATTTAAGACAATCAATCTCAGGTCAATACTATACTACACACACTATATGATAAATTTAAAATTACCTTAGGAGGGATATCTTCTGGTTGTAACTCATCCTCAATAGCAACAACACAATTCTGAGGCCACGCAATTGTTTCACCTACTGCCTGAGCAATGTTAAACATATTTTGTGCAGGCCTCCAAAGAAATGCATCTCCTTTAACAGCCGTCTCCACCACCACCTTCACTGAGTTTGGTCCTAACGGGATATTGTTTACAAAATCCATGTGATCAGAAGACAAAATGCGGCCCTCAACTACTTTGTACTCAGAGCCAGACCAGTCAAACAGAATACACTTGCTCTGAGTTTTCTGGTTTACACTCTACACATAACAATGATTTCATATGTCAGATTGAGTTCAATACGAACAAAAAGCATGAAGTATGAACACAAAAACTTACTCGTTGTCCTGAGTTTTCACCCACGTCTGTCTCTGAACGCTGAAACTTGACATTTTTAGTATATTAAAAATTAGTCAAAGACAATTGACTATAAATAAATACTCAAGAATTGGTGAGCACGTACATTACTATTCAGTTTTGCAAGTGCCTCTTGTAACTCATTGACCTGCTGCTGTAACCGAACTTGAGTATACTGCATCTCTGACACGTACTTGCTCTTCACCTGGAAACATGCAAGTTTGCTCAAGCTCATGCCTCTTCCCATTGCTCTGAGTCGTCCAGGGTTGTCTGGTCCTAAAATCTGAGCAAGAGTGTCTTCCTTTGGGTTAGAGGATGACTCTGACGCAGCATCAGACTGTACGAACTCCTTTGCTCTTTCCTGGTAAATTTCATTTTAAGTAAAAGATCATAAGAATCAAAAATTAACATGTATGAGGCACTTTCAGATTCCAAAAACGTCTTACAATTTTTGCAGCGGCATCTGTGTTAACTGCTGTGCCATCCTTCTTGGTTCGTGACTTGACCCAGACACTCAGTCTTGACACATCTGACGGATCTGAGCTCTCTTTTTTCTGTATAAATGTACAAAAAAATTAATGAAGTCAAGAATCCTTTATGCAGACAACTACACACAAACATTAAGGATTTACGAAAATTATAAGATACTTACTAAATCTTCAGCTAATCTAACCATTCCTTTACGGCTATATGTGTGAGGAATCTGCTTACTTCTTCGTTCCTTGTATGAGTCACTTACAACCTAAACGCGAGAATTAGATACAAGACCTTCTGGAAAAAAATGACTGAGTTGTTAGTACCTTAAATTCTGGACTAGTCTTCTGTTTCACAAACTTTCTCCACTCTGGAGTCGGGATATTGTCAGGCTTGAGCTTCATTCTCTCCGTGTGGTTTTTCGCCTTTATGATCTGTTTGACAAGGCGTGACTTCGAAGCCCTCCACAAGCAGCCCATCTGCTTCATAACTGCCGCCTTCTCGTATTCTCCATTAAGTTCGAAGCGGATCTATGTTCAGGAAAGATCATAAGAGTAATGACATGGAGTTCATAAGTAATATGAAATAATATGAAACGAAATTACCTTCACGGATCTCCAGAGAACTGTCTTCCTGTCTTCCCCAATCTTTCTCCAATCATCTATCAGTACTGGAACATGTTCCCTCACCAGGGGACCCAAGTAAGAAGATAGCTTAATTGATCGTTCTCCACATGGTTCTCCGAACTCCGTGAAGTCCACTCTAATTCGTGAATTTGGATCTCTGGCAATATCTTTCATCTTCGTTGGACCTCTGGCTTTCTTAGTTATGGGCTTAACCACATTTGTACCATCCTCTGAGACAGCAGCTTCTGGCTGTGAGTCAAGCTCGGGTTCGTGCTCTTCATTATCCTTATCACGTTCTGCTTCCTCCGGCTGTGTGTCGTTAAGATGGGTTTCTTGTGGCAGTACTCCGTCTTGATGTTCATATATGGTGCCAATGAACTCAGGCTCTACGTCTGCACCAACGTTCTTTCTCTTTTTACCAGTCTTTTTCGTCTTGCCCATTGCTCGCCTGCTGTAAAACTAAAAAACAAATGAACATAGTGAAAGACACAGTAAGCTAACCAACAATATGTAGACCAATTCTTACGCAAACCAAAAACAAACAAACCAAACCAGTAACCAATACAACCAACAAAAATGCTGAATGTTCCAAACACAAACCACAAAAATACGAGATTCAAATGCAGAAAAAGAAAACAACTAGATGAGAGACCACATCCTCGCATGTCTTGCGATCTAAGATGCGGCAGCATGCGCATGGACAGATTATCTTTCCATTGACTCCTATTTTCCCACTAACTGCATTCACAAAATCTCTTGCACCTCTCTCGTATGCAGAATCAACTCTTCAGTTCATGTAAGTAAAAGTACAAGAAAAAAACAGCGGTCAAAATATTGTCCAAAACCAGAAAACGGAATAACAAAAATGTTGTTTATACCTGCATAAATGCACCCAAGCCTTGTCCACCATTTTGTTACAAATTTACTTTGTTTCCTTGCCACAATTCAGAGAAGTGTACATGTTTCATGGTGCATAGACGACTAATTAATGAATGCAATTGAAAACTTCAAAGAAAAACGAAACTACGGTTCTATACAGTCAATCACAAATACACTCAATCTATATTTATGTTTTAGAGGCTAAGCTATCAGTAGAATTTTCTAACCTGGACAGCAAATGTTCGGAATGATGAAAACTTCAGCTATTTCTGAAGAAGGAGCAATCCAAATTGGAGCATAAACCTGCGACCAAAAACCCAGTAGTTAAACACAAAAAAAAAAAAAAAAATGGAATTGAACATTATCTTATCGGCGAATTCAACACTGTATATATATAAGAGAATACAGTACTAAAAATTTGGATTCAAGACCACAGTAACAGGATTGTTTCAATTGAAATCGGAATTAAAGAGATTACAGATTAAATTTGACGATTTCGAACTCACGTGTATATGTAGATCTATAGAACTTCTGCTCGCGACGTCAGATAAGTGGAGAAGAGAGCTGGTCGGAGATGCGAAACTTGGCTTCGAGAGCCCGGAGTGATTCGGGTTGTAAAATAAAAGAAAATAGAAGCGGCGGAGACGGCGAGAAGGAGATCGACGACAATCGTCTTCGAGAAGACAGAGAAGACGGAGTAAACGAAGAGTTCTTCTTTTTTTGTTTTAGTTTATTTGTTTTTTTTTAATGCTATCAATAGTGTTTTTCGTCTAATGACCGCGAAAACATGTTTTATTTTTCTAAGTGTTGGCGTCCATGACTAAAAAAGAGCGGCTTAGTGAGTTTTTTTTCCCGCTTATTAATTTTTGGGCATAGCATACCGTAAGCGCTATGAAAAGGTGAATCTAAACCCGAATTGACATGTTATAGCATTTACGAAAAATATGCTATCGTGGTCTGCTATCATTGCCCATATTTCTTGTAGTGATAGACATGTGGTATGATACAAAAATATATATTTGAAAGTCGGTCGCTAACCAACAAATAGGAATTAAATATGGATATTATTGGATTATACTTCATAATATTAATCACAAATCTAAAATTGTTTTCGAGCATTTTTTTAAAACTTTTACAACAACAAAACCCGCGTGTATACGCGGGCATTAGTCTAGTTCAAAATTGATTCCACGTCGACATCCATCATAATTCTTCCATTTCCATAGTTTCTTCTCATTAGGCTACCTCTCAAAACCATCTCATGGTCAACATAAAAGCAATGGTGCAAAACTAATTCATACAAGACTTTATTCGGTCAATCCAATCAACTAACTGGGTGATGGAACTAAGGATGAGTCCAACTCAAGAGTTATATGCCCATTTAGCCATCAAAAACATTCCTCCAGCACCACGTACAAGGACAGCAATACAAGCCAATGACATAAGCTTCATGTTCCCTTGCAATTTTGGTCCGGGAATTCAGGAGCCAAGAGATCAACAAGTGCCATGTATATCAATAAACTCGCTGAACAAGAATTCAAGACCCCGACCACGATCAACGCGCAAAAGAACTCCATATTACGCCTATAAATAAAATAAAAAATAAATACAAGTTAGATTGATTGTTTGAACTTTGAATATATATATATATATATATATATATATATATATATAATATAGCGATAGATTTAGCGAATAATTTACTTGTAGAATGCTACCACCGAGTCCCATTCCTTCAGTAACTGATGGAAACAAAGCGCCGCGACAAGTGGTCGTATGGTATATTGATTATCCGATGCCCCCATTGCGAGGCCGATCACCACCAAGTGTACTATGATACCTAGTTCCAACATCTATTACATGCAAACTGATTATTTAAAACGGCTCATGAGACTAATATATAGATTAAGCATTTAAATATTAAGTCAAAGTCCACACTAATTTTCATATTATAAACAATCCCTATAAGATATCTCTACTGATTAATCGTGAAAATACGTATAGGTACCTGAGCAATGACTCTATTTCTACGAAGTTGACTTGTCTCATCATCGTTGACCATATCTTGTTTCTCCACAACAATAATGGATCCATTTTCTAGGGTTTTGAGCTCATCTTGTTTCTCCGAACAACTTTCTAGAGATTTAAGTGTTCTTCACGCTTCATAGCTCTCAGCTTATACGCACCCATGAATGATTCAATCATCATATAGTAAGCAAAGCCGAAACCACTGCAATGAAGTTTTCAATCAGCTCTAGACTCCATTCACCAAATAGGAAGCCGGTTCATGTTTTGATAAAGGAATTCCAACTTCTCTTGAGAGCGAAGCTTTTTAGCTTAGATCGCTCCATTCGCTTGGTCCCGATTAGTGAATCTTCTCTTTCTGCTAGAAGAGAGGATTCTTATCTTGTCACTTGGTTTAGGTTGTTCCAAATTTAATCCCTTGTGTATCATTTTGCTGCTGCTGCTGTTTTGCTGCTTTTTGGGTCTTTTTATTGTAATCTCCCTTTTGCTTTGTATCCCTAACGGGAAGGAAATTTATGAATAAAGGAATCTCAAAAAAAAAAAAAAAAAAAAAAAAAGTTTGCAAACGGAAACATCCTCCACGGATCCTCAGCGTCAGCCAAAACGTGCATAAAACCGGTAGCGATAATAACACCCGAAGCTAAAGCCTTGACGACTGAAAACATATCTCGGTCGGGTCTTAAAGCAGGAACGGAACGAGAAAACAAGCAAACGCCGATCATGCTGGCCACTAAGATCGATGGGATTGCTATGAGTTTGTTGTTGTGGCATGATAGATCTCCGGATTCAGTTTTGCATTCGCTTACATCTGCGTTTTCATCTCCGGCTAGAGAAACTAACGTGAAGGAAAGAAGGAGAATTGTGATGGTGAAGAGTTTGTAATATGATGAAGAAGCCATTGAAGAAAGTGTAACCAAGCTCTCTTACGGGTTTATTTTCTAAGGCTTTAGGAAGAAATGATTTTGTTCAATTTACAAGACAAGAAACAAAAGTTTTCTCAGTTTACTATTGTCGGATGATTTTCAAGTCATTTTACAATTGTCCGTAGTCCGTACACACGCTTTTTCTACGAAGCTTTAGACCAAATCACCTTGTTGGTGACGTGGCTGATTATGTGAAACTCTAAGAAAATTATATGAACTAGAATTTTGGAAATTGCATGTGATTTGACGTCTAAACCGACAGGTGGTGAGTCACCATCATCCTATGCACGACAGGTGTCCCACCTTGATCCAACATGGTAAATATAAACATGCATATTCAGCTCTTCTTCTTTTAACTATACCACTCAAAAGAGCTTGAGAGATTCTTAAACGTCGATCATATAGAAGAGGAAGAAGCTATGGATATTTTCACAAAGGTTTTGATTATTTTACTTGATCAATTCTTAATTTCCTTCAATATGATTTCTTTTCCTTGGTTAATGGAACTGAAAAAAGAAACAAAAAATAGGAAACGTAAGAAGGGCTTAAGGGCTCATGAGGAGAAAAAAAGGAAGAAGAAGGTGTTTAGACGTGAAGGATGATGGTGATGAAGACGAAAGTTTGGTGTTTCTTAGTCCACATGGTTAGGACATTGTTTCAGCTCCTTTTTAATTACGAAACCCTTTTCTTAATCTCCTTATCAATTTTCCTTCTGATGTTTAGGAGTTGAATACAATGGAGGTAAAATAGGTGATATATTATGGCTTGGCAAGAGAAAGGGCAGCAAAGAAGAGAGCCAAAGGCAGCTAAGGATATTCCATTGCCTCTCCTTATTGTTTCTTTAACTTCACTAATATGCCTCTCAATTCAGGTAGTCCATTCTTTTTTCTTCTTTTTTCATGTTGAAAAGAAAACTTTTCAGCAAGGCTCATGAAGACATAGCTTCTTAGAAAGAGGACTGCGCTTTCATATGGGCAAAGCTAACTTTTTTTCTACTTTTATTTTTTGTTTAGTTCTGATTGAGAGGGAGTGGAGTTAGAACTGCTCATATTAGTGAAGTGTTAAAAGAAGCAATAAGCCAATAAGGAAAGGCAATGGAATATTCTTACCTCCTTTTGGTTCTCTTCTTTCGCTGCGCTTTCTCTTGCCAGTCTATGATTTATCACAGATTTTACCTCCATTGTATTACCAGTTTTTTTTAACACACGATATATGTCATATATCATATCTCGATTCATTCACTCTTACAAAACAAATCACAATAAATAAACAATATTTAATGAAAAGTCCTACAAATACACTTGATTAAGAAAGCATAGAATCTTGATTCCTATATAACCAGATGCAAAAGAAATCCAATTTAAAGCTCAAATTAGTTGGATGTTCAAAAAAAAAAAAAAAAAAAGCTCAAATTAGTTGTTGATAAAATCATCAACGAAAGTCCATGTACTTGGAAAGAAAGAATTTGAAAGAAAAAGAACAGCAATAACTTATTCTTTCAAATTCCATAACAATGCTTTCGTCGTCAATACTATTGACTCAATAGTTTTGTTTCTTTGTATTTGCTCTAAAAATCCTACTATATGATTAAGCAAGTAAAAAACAAAGATAACATTGGATTAATTTTCGTTCATATGCTCCAATAATGGGCTTTCACTAGGCCCATGACACCTGTATCCCAAAACACAAAGAAGACAAATACTAATATAGAAAGAAACGCATTCTCTGTCAAAAATTCACTGCAGAAAAACAAGAAAATGGTATCAATCAATCTTGCCACGGATCACTCTCTGCTCTGACTTCAGATGGTTCAATTACTTCTGCTGCTTCCTCATTTTTGTCATCTCCTTCATTCACAGTCGAGCTTTCTTCTTCCTCTTCAACTCGGCCCCATCTTCCTCCAACCGCCATTGCCATCATCTCATAAATCTTGTTCCCCAGCTCGGCAGGACTATCAGGCTGCTCGGAAAACACATCAAAAGTGAGGAAAACAATCGAAAGCAAAGAAAAGTGGAGAGCATTTTTAGATTTCTTACAGTGAATCCACTTGAGATTATAGCAGTGTCATATAAGAGATCAACCACTCTTGTTGCTTCACTGCTCTCAGGTGCATTCTTGCATGCAGCCTGCACGTATATACACAAAACCAAACAAAAATCAATAATGCTTTCTTCAAGATCTCTTACATTCAAGAGATTTAGAGAGATAACAACACACTTACATTCAAGTCCTTGATGATTGGATGATCTGGATTGATCTCTAGTATTCTCCTACCTCTCATGAACTCCAAGCTTGAAGTGTCTCCAAGAGCCTGTGCCTTCATTAATCTTTCAACAAAAAATAAACACAACAAGTCACATGGTGCTTGGTTTCAGGTGTAAGAAGCTTTTATTTTCTTCTAGCTGCAAAAAGTACTAACCTTTCCATATTGGCCGACCAACCGAATTTGCCTGAGACAAGCACACAAGGAGAAGAGCTCAAACGGTTCGAGACTTGGACTTTGGCAACTTTGTCGCCGAGCTGCTGCTTTATCCAGTCACAGAGAAGATTGAATTCTTGTTTAGTTTCCCTTTCCTTCACTTCATCCTCATCACCTGCGAAAAAATGGCACCACGCTATGTCAAGAAAACAGAAAGATTCCACAGTGATTGCGCAAGAATCTGCAAACAATACTTACCAAGTTCCAAATCTTCTTTGCTGATATCAACGAATTTCTTCTCTTTGTAGGTTTGTAAATTCTGAATCGCAACCTCATCGATTGGCTCAACCAAGTATAGAACCTATGATTAAAGAAAGAAAAGAAGCAAAAGTTAAGCAGCAAGACAGTTTTAAGTTTGTAACTTGAAATAACTAAATCTTGAATTACACGTACCTCAATGTCTTTTTGGATAAGTTTCTCCAAGAAAGGAGCAGACTTGGCACTTTTGAGACTGTCGGTCGCAAGGTAGTAGATAGCCTTTTGGTTCTCTCCCATGTTCTCGATGTATTCATCCAAGCTCGTCAATTCCTCTTCATTCTTGGAACTGTAGAATCTAAGCAACGGCGTGATACGCTTGTGGTTACCAGTGTCTTCAATACAACCCAATTTAAGGAATCTACCAAAGTTCTCCCAGAATTTCTTGTAATCCTGAAACCATTCGTTACCACAAAATGAATATCTAGGGCCTTTGAATGAGCTTGAGAGGATAAAATGAGTTAATAGTGAGAAGACACGAACCTCTTTGTTTTCACTTTCGGAGATTTCTTGAATCATGTCAAACGTTTTCCTAATGAGCCTCTTCCTCATGATTCTTACCTGAAATATTGTTACAAGATATGTGTTATTATAAAGGTGTGATTCATGTAGAAATATTTGTATCACTAACTGTGTCACCACTTACGATTCTGCTTTCTTGAAGAATTTCACGTGAAACGTTGAGAGGAAGATCGTTTGAGTCCACTACACCCTTCACAAAGCTCAAGTATCTTGGGAACTGCAAACAGATAGTAAACATGTTAAAACAAAAAAATGGAACCAGAGCTAATCTAGATCTTCAGAGAGACAGTGTGGTTCTATGTTTTGGAACGAATTCTAGAATAGGAATGTGGACTCACCAGCTCTCCATCAAAGTCATCAGAGATAAACACACGCTTCACATGGAGACGAATGTTCTTTGTTTTGGGGTTTGTAACGTCCTCATTGTTAAGAGGACCCATCCCAGGGATGTACAGAATGCTCCTGAACTCAACCTCACCCTTTTGAAGAAACAAGAAATTACAAACGATAAGCATCCAGTCCAAGAAAATAATAAGGCCATATGTATATATATACACAGACACATAACAAAAAAAGTATAAGCACCTCTGTGTTGAAGTGTGTGTGAGCAAGTGGATCCAAGAACTCATTGAAAGCCTTCTTGTAAAACTCATTGTACTCCTCCTTTTCCACTTCCTTCGCATTACGCATCTATTCAAAGACACAGCGATTATCGAGTGAGAATGTTGAACATCATAAAGGATTTGACAAAACACATGTTAAAAGCTCATAGCTCACCCATAAAGGTTTTGTTTCATTGGCTAGTTCCCAGTCCCAGTACTTCTCAGTTTTAGTGGTCTTCTTCTTTTTCGGCTCACCTCCCTCCTCTCCTTCCTTAACTGGTTCTTCCTCTTCAACCTACAACGAGTTGCAGTATTTTAAAACCACATTTGCAATGTTAAACACACTCTTTGTAATTGCAGTAAAGAGGCAAAAATGTCATCCTCACCTCTACAGTCCTTGATTTCTCCTGCCATGTATAGATGGGAAACCCAACGAACTGAGAGTAATTCTTCACAAGGTTCTTGATTCTTGTAGACTCCGCAAACTCGTATTTATCATCATCCTACACCGAGCAAATAAGCAGTCAAGTCAAACAAACTATAAGAGATCTCAACATTCTACACATCAAATGAGAGAAATGATTGAACAGAGAATTGTACCCTTAGATACAAAGTTATCTGAGTTCCACGGCGTAGAATGTTCTCAGGGTCTGTTTCTTCTCTGATCACATATGAGCTACTATCAGCTACTGACTCCCAAACATACTGTTTGTCAGATTTTGGGCTTTTGGTGGACACAACAACCTGAACGCAGACACAATTATAAGGTCACACTAATCAGAAGACACTAAGGAATCAAAGAACTGAAAGTTTCTCACCTTTTCAGCAACTAAGAAAGCTGAGTAGAACCCAACACCAAACTGTCCTATCAGACCGTTGTCAGCACCAAGATCCTTGTTTTCCTGTACACAGAGAGAGATATTAAAACAATTGAGTCTAATATTTTTGACATCTGCTAGCAAACTATTTTTCAGAGATGAGAAAGAAAAGAAAAAGAACCTTTAGAGCCTTCAAGAACTTGGAAGTACCACTCTGAGCAATAGTTCCAAGGCAGTCTATAAGCTCTTCCTTTGTCATTCCAATACCAGTGTCACTGCATATACGCATCCATCAAGTTAAGTAAACAGTTTTTAAATCCAATTGTTAAAATACTCAACTAGAATTCTCTCATACGTTATGGTGATTGTGCCGTTGTCAGGATCAGGCTTGATCCGAATCTCAAGCTCACCACCATCTCCAAGCAGAGAAGGCTCTGTTACACTCAAGAACCTTAGCTTATCCAGAGCATCACTTGCGTTACTGGGGAATTTACACAAACACATTCAAATCAGAATTTTACACAAAGACACAAATCAATTCTAAAACAATTCAATCAAAATTGAACTAACCTTACAAGCTCCCTGAGAAACACCTCCTTGTGACTGTATAAGCTATGAACAATCAAATCCAACAATCTGCTAACCTGCGAGTGAGATTTAAACGAAACCATCCAATTTCAGTATTCACAAAAAAAAACTCAAACTTTACATTCATTTTCATATGCCCCAGAATTAAAAATCGAAACTTTATGAGAAATGGAAAGAGTTGGATCCTAACCTCAGCTTGGTACTCGTACTTCTCACCGGACCCTTCCTCGGTCGTCTCCTTCTCCGCCACGGCGGCGTCGCACTTGACGGCGAATCGATTGCATCTCTTCTCGAGGTTCCAGCTACAGGAAACGCCGGTTCTCAGACCGCCGCCGACGCCGCGAGGCAGGAACGCGGTTCTGAGATGAGAGAGACGGGTTTGGTTTCTGAGAGAAGAAGCTGGAGTGAATGGAACTGAAGTCAAAGGACTTGTGTATAGGCTTCTACTCAAAGCAGGAGCCATTTGATACACACAGAGAGAGAGAGAATTGAAAATGAAAATTCTGCAAGGGAAGAAGAAGATTGAAAATCTCTATCTCTTAGAGAGAAGAGTTGTGTTTGTTGAACAACGAGTAACCTAGAAAACCCTTTTAGAGGTTTAAGGAGAGTGAGTAGAGGTTTCTAGAAGGAGGTGCAAAGAGTGGTTTGTGAGGTCTACGAATCGCCATTTCATCAAACCGTAGCATTATCCGTTTGATTCTCACGCGCCTCTTGCTCATGTAAAGAAAAATCACAGTTCGGTTTGGTTCGGTTTTATTGTAAACAGTATGGTTTGATCTGAGGACTGAGTTCGGTTTTATGTCTATCTGGTATATGACACAAAGATCTTTCTTTCTGCTTCTTATGAAATTCGGTTTGGTTGTGTTGATGAATTTCAGTTTTTACATCCGGTTTGGTTTGTTTCCCACACTCATAAGAAGTGTGTAAGTTCGGTGGAACTCACGCGCGCAGGGTGCGATATACTGTATGTATCTAACTAGTTAAACTCATAAACTATGTAAGAAAGCTTATTGGGCCCTGAATGTATAACCCATTACGGCCTGTATAATCTTCAGATGTGTGTGACTACTAAACAGATTGTGATCGGGTTAATTATGTTTTCGAATGAAATAATACGAGGTTAAGAAACTGGGCCAAAATATATAATATTAATTCTTTAAAACGTTCCTTTCTGTCAATTTAAATATTTATAAGTGATCCTCCAAAATAAAAATAACTTATAAAAATAACGAGTAAACTTAACTCATATATATATATATATATATTTTTTTTTTTTTTAATTGATGCCAATTCTTGGTGCATGTGGACATGCTAAATAAAATACTACAATGTTGAGTCCAATGTTGAGTCTAACGAAGATACACAATTCCAACAGTATTCAATTATGGAATCATAGGATTAATTAAATTAATAAGAAAATGTGTATAGTTTTTTGTTGTTGATCATAAGTTTATAACTATCGAAACAAATACTACTAAACTAAAAAAAAAACAATCAGTTTTATTTCGTTTCATTATATAAAATTTAATTCTAAACAATTTGTTTGCAAAAATAAATAAATAAAACAGTAGAAAAACTCTAACAGTACAAGAATTTCTATAGATAGTAACACTACATAAATAAAATTATATTCCCCCAATATAACAATTTCTATACATAGTAACACTACATAAATATGATAATAATATAAGAGCCTCGAATGTGAAAAAGAGTGCGGTTCATCGTAAGCCGGTGTGGAGGCAGACAAGCACAAAACACACAAAGTTATGAATTCCAATTTACGTAATCTTGTTTTTGTTTACAATTCTCAATCTTTAACGGACCACATTTCAGTCTCCTTTATTCATTGTTCAAGGACGTTTCAGAGCAAATTCTTGTTGTCAATTTTATGTTGTGTGCGTATAATTTCAATTAACTGTAGTTACTCATTAGTAAGTGATATAAAATATTTTTAGAAGTTACTGATCACTTAAGTTAATAAACGGTGTATAAAGTTATGTTGGCTATGAAAAAAAATTTTAGTGGTGCCAGTAATTTTGTATAGCAACATGAACCGTAATTACTATTCACTTCATTTCAAATTAGTTGTCATTTGCAGAAATGTATCTGAAATGTATGATGTATCTTATTGTATTTAACTCAAAAACACATCTAGCTACGTTGCAAATACATTTTCTGAAAACGACAATTAATTTGAAATGGAGTAAATTATTTTTAGACAAAATTATAAACTAGTTAAATGCTTTCATATATTTTTTTTTTTTTTTTTGATAACTCTGATATCCGGACAGCCACATTCCCGACTATCCCCACAAGTGGGGTCCAGTGCCCCAACGCCCACAAGTGGGGTCCAGCGTCCCAAACGGAATGGATGTTAAATCCGTTGTGGCCGGGACTCGAACCCAGATAGCGAGTACCTCAGCTGAGGGTCCTTTACCACCGGGCCACAAAGCGCCGGTTCTTTCATATATTCTTACCAAAACAAGCTGATCTATTTAAAAAATCTGCAGTCATATTAAACATTTTTAATTAGTTTTAAGTATAATAACTTATAAGCATTATAGCTTTTCCAAAAGTTCACATTTGTCAGAACAAAATGGAAATAATTTCGGTTTATTCTTAGACAGTTAGACGTTTAGCTTTTCCAAAAGTTCATATTGTCAGAACAAAGTGGAAATAATTTCGGTTTATTCTTAGACGTTGTCCGTAAAATAATTAACGATGACTACTTGAAAAAAAATATATAATGATTATGATATTTGTGATTTGGAAAAAAAGAAAATGCATTGAGACTCACGAAATTGCCTTCCAAAAATAGAGAACATGTGCTGACTCGATCATTTATGTAGACTTGTCTTTCTTTGTTGCTTTGATCAATTTACAAGGATATATGAATATAATTAAAATGGTGGAAAAAAATATTTTACTATTTATGTAGTACAACTCTTCATCGTAATAATCCATACATTACACGTTAATAGAGACACATGTTTGTGGATACATTGTGTTTACACGGACTTAAAAAGCATATGGTCAATGATGTTCTATATATAGATAGACACTTCTCTTTCTTTTAATAATTCTAAGAAAAATCCTTTCAGATTTACTACGGAAGGTAAAGGAAGATCTAAAGCTTTGAAGAGTGTAAAGGAGAATCAAGAAGAATCATGACTACTTTGTCAAAAAATCTCTGTGTGTTAATCATTTTTTTCTTATGTTTGTCCTGCCGATATTCACTGCATGGTTTGTCTCTCTTTCTCCCTCTCTCTTTCTCCCTCTCTCTTTCTCCTTCTCAATATCTTCTTTATATGCAAGAGAGCAAATTTCATAAGCTTATAGAGTCTTTAAAATTCGATATTCAAACATAACATTTTTCCAGTAAAAACTAAGGTTGGGCATACGTAGGATCCGACGAAACAAATCTCTAAAAGTCTTATACACATGCATGAATGAGAATTCTAGTGTGTAGTAGAATATTAACCAAATTCTTTGTTTTTTGTTTTCTGCAACATTAGAAGATGGGAATCAACAATCAACTCATGATTTCGTTTCAACTGCTAAGGTACATAATACATATATAAATACATACATATCCAAAATAATTATACTAGTCTTTTTTGGGTTAGTGTTGTTTCACTAGAGTAATCCATGATACTGATATAACGGTATAGTCCGTTTAAACATTTTTTTTTTATGAAACGTAGTCCTTTCAAACTTTAAAGTTGTTTTTCATCAACCACAATCATGCAGAAATGTTGTTTATTCATGTATATAATCAATAATCTTTCGAATTCATGAAAAAAAATATATATATTCATCCATTGTTACTTGGTATGGTAGTCGTCCATTTCGTAGATTTTAAATCTAATATTATTTATCGAGTTTTAAATGAAATCTATGTTTTATATATATATATATATTTTTTTTTTTAGAACAAATGTGTTTTTATGTTAGTATCTTGATATTCGGATTTCGTCAAAGCGCCCAACTAATATTCGCATTTTCCTATAAACAAATAAGTTACTGACTAGAACCCTTGATATAATGATATCCATGGAAAGAAGCAGGTTACTGAACATGCAGATGTGATAAAGCATATGGTACGAGGGAGAAAACTGATGATGACAAGTGAAAAAGAAGAAGAAATGACGATGAAGAGAGGAAATAGAGAGACAGAGAGAAAATCAAGAAAAAGTGTTGACGAAGACGGACTCGTTGCTTACACTGCTGATTATTGGAAAGCTAAGCATCATGCTCCCAAGAACAACTAATTCTAATTCTTATTCTATTATAAGATAAGAATTACGAATTTACAATGCTTTATGAATATTCTCTATATAGATATGACTTTACAATATTAAGTGAAATATGTTTGTTGTATTATGTGTTTAATTTGCTTTGATAGTTTCCTTTACGTTGTAACGGCTTAATCTGGTTTACAATTTTACATGTAAACCAAAATTTTGAACTTTTGATGAAGCTTTCGTCAGTAGTGACGACCATGTTGTTCTCTTATATACCATTACCAATACCATTGTGATTTAATATTTTTTTTATATATTAACAATTATTTTGCTAATTTATGAAAATGCAACAGAAGTCCAAGAAGATGCTGACTTTCACCTTTACCCATTTTGAACCGATTTGGATGTCGGAGCATCTAAATTCTTTCGATCAACTAGCGAAAAAAGCATCCACGTAGAATCAGTTATTCGTAGACGTTAAGATTTGGTAGCACAATGTTTGTGAAACATTGACCATGAGAGCAATAAACAACAACAACTAAACTTATGTTACTGTTGAATAAATGAATCTCAGACCACATGGCAAACTTTTCTACGAATCTTACACCACTTGACAAACTTTTTTCTCTTTGAAACACCCAACCGAGTACATTTGATTCGCCCATTGAGTCGGATGAAACGGATCAAAGAAAATATGCGTTTGTGGTACCTTACACGATCCCGAACCTGGCGTGCAACTCGTGGTTTTACCCCCATCGTAGACACTAGGACAACACGGGCTTGTCGTGTTCATTTTACTCGAACTGGCTCGAAGCCCCAACATGAAGTTAAAGTAATCGGAGTATAAGAAGGAACTGTCGGGGAATTTTTGCTTCATAAAAGGCAGGCTGTTCCTAAGCTTGTCGTTGTAAATGGCAACCGCACGGTTTAATTTATCGTTGCAGCCTCCACCTGGTATGATGATATTAGCTATTATGTTTGGGTAACATCCTAGCGGTTTAAGGTTGTTGATGAAGAACTTCCTTGCTCCTAAATCATACAATCTCTGCGACAAAAATGATAATCAAAATCTTTAGTAAAATGTGTCGTATGATTAACCCTGAAAAGAATTAAGTTGAGGGTGTTCATCAATATTTAGTTTAGGGTTTTCGGTTTATGTATTTGCCAATTTAAAATAAAATCCAGTAAAGATTGGTTTGATATGGTTTTATTATTCTCTTTTAATAAATTATTATCTCTTTAGACATTACTATTTCAAAGAAGAGAATTATGTTTTGGTTTGGGAGTTTTACCTGAATTTGAATCAAGAACTCATGAAGAAGCGTGTTCGCGAACGCATTTGCATCAAGTAGTTTGTTATAGAAGAAAACGTAATCGTTAATTCCAATTGCGGTCATGAACAGTGATTCAGCCAGGTGTTTACTGAGCGCTGACTCCGTCTTGAACTTCTTCTTTAGATTATTTTCGATGGTCTCACTCAATAGATCGATTTGGACACACATCGAGAGACATTTTCCCTATTCATATAAAGAATCAAATGAACTCCATTAGCGTTTTTATTCATTTTTCCAAATGAGAATTGCAAAGATTTTTGTAGGCATATTGAAACTTACCAATAGCTTTCCTGTGCCAATAAAAACCCCACAGCTTGCAGACGCGTAGTTAATACCGGTTGAAATATTGTTCTTTTGTTCTTCGGATAATCCCATATATGCAGGAACCAAAGGAAGTCCATAATTGATAGCTGAATCAATTTAAACAAAAAAATAGAGTTTAAATCTTCAATAGTTTAGATTTTAGCAGCTAATTTTGTAAATTTAGTAATAACATATTTCCAAACATGTCACTCTTACAATTTACTTATCATGATTTCCATAAAATATAATTATTTGTATAATACAAAACAATGTACCCTTCTTTTATCCACTATTTTTTTTTTTGAAATTATCCACTATTTATTAAATAAGTAAGTTTTTGCGTTATTAATCACATGACCTATTAAAAAAAACTGAAAACATAAATCCTCTTAAAAAAAGAAAGAACATAAAAAGTTTATAATTATTTTTTTTTTCATTCTTACCAATGTAATCAGCAATTGTTTTCCCGTTGCTAAAACGGCCGGTGGGTTTGCCTCCTTCAAAGTCAGAACCATAGGGTAAAAAATTCGCTTTGATCTTCGTTGCAAGATAATTATTGTTTCCTGAATCAACCAATGAATCTCCAATAACATACAAAGCTGGAATTTTCCCGCCAAAAAACACAGCCTCTTCTGTTGATGGCTTCGATGAGTTAATGGTGGAGACATTAAGAAGACATAAGAAGATCAATAGAAGGTATGGCGTTGAAGAAGAAGGCAAACCCATTTCTTGTTTTCTTTTTCTGTTTAGAAAAAGAAAAGAAATAAACCTTGCAATTGAAAATCATGACGACGAAAAGTTAATTATAATGGATTCAGGCAGCATCATACAGCTTTCACACATACTAAAAACAAAAATACAACATGCTAAAAAACTAGAATTAGCTATTGTTACCAAAACCTAAATATGAACTAAGAAAAGTAGACTTTTTCGAAAAAAGACTAAAAATAAAGATTCTCTAGTAACCAACAATGGATCCAACCTTGTATACACAAAAAAAAATCCAATTCAAGCCATGATATTATATAATTACTACCAGACTTTGCGCAGTAAACTATTTGTTTATCCACTAAATTTTATTGGCAGTAATAATAGTGGAGAGTATGCATGGAGATTTTATTTACAAATGTCTCTATGGTAACACTAGTTTAAAAATCAAGCCATATAATACAAAAATTAGTCGTTCGAAAGGATAAGCAATATAAATAATTTGGGTATCAAAACATATATAATTAAGTAAAGCAAGAAACAGATCAGATAAAAAAAAAAAAGAAACTGAAAAAAATTAATAAGAGAAACATGGAAAAGTGAAGTAAGAGGGACGAAGAAAAAGCTTCTTAACTGCTACAATGGCGGAGCGAACTTATAAAGTGAGTCGATCATGCTTATTAGATCGTTTCAATTCAAAAAAAATCAGTGACCTTAGAACAAAATGTTTGAATCTCTATTTTTCTCTTTGTTTCTTCTCTATTTACTCTTTCTTTTCGTTAACATATTGTTTGTGCAATCAGAGTACATATTTGCAGATTGAATTGAACTAAATTAAACAAAGTTAATGACTAATACTAGTTATACATGTATAATACAATCAAAACATATAAGATTTTTTTTGTAGGGACTGATGTGAACACCAAAGAGAATTATGGGTTCACTGACATGAGTCTCTACAAAACAAAATCTAAAAACTTGAAAAATTCATCTTGTGTCCCTTTACTTCTGTCAATCTTGCTTCATTTTGGTCTTCTTTTATTTTTTTTGTTTGAATGAGCATGTCAACTCTAAGAGACACTGGTGGCTCAACTGCTCTCCACTATGCCGCCAAAAGGGGTAAGATAGAAATGACCCACATTTTGATCTCTAATGGAGCCAACTTGAATCTGCAAGATCAGGTGTTTGATGAAACTTTTTGTTCAAACATTTCTCTATCTAATAGTAGTACATTTTACTCATCTAATATGTCCCTTTGCAGCTTGGCCTCACAGCCCTTGAGTGTGCAGCCAACGCCGGCAAGACTGAGGTCATCGAGTTTCTGACACAGAGAAGCAGAGCCGTCCCTGGGAGCAAGCAGGGCAAGCATATGCTTGCGGCCCTGTTTCTAAATAAGAATTTAATCGGCCATATTTTGACAAAGTCTCCTATAGCTTAATTGGTTATGCGTGCTGTTATGTTGGTTTAAGGTGCAGAGTTTGAATCTCCCCTCTGCATAATATGTTTTTCCTTTTAAAATTCTCTTTAATTTATTACTTCATCGGCCCAAAATTAAATATGGCTTGCGGCCCATGTAAAGTCAGGGACGACCCTGCAGAGAAGAGCCGAGATCAATGGAACTGAGAAGTAAGATCAATGAAGCCGAGCTCGATAAAGCTGAGATGTAAAGTAGCTTCGTGTAAGGAGAGTTAGTCTATGCTCTATAGCATAAACAGTATAAATAAAACATCTGTAAATGGAAGAGAAGGAAAACTGAAATAATAAATAGTCAAACTTTTGCAGATAGGCACAGTTGTGTAGAACACTTTGCTTTTCAATCTCATCGCTAACGAAAAGATAACTTATTAAAGTTTAATTTTGGTTTATTCAAAATGTTACTTAGATTTCCAATCAGTACAAAATTGTTCTTTGAAAAAGAAAGTTTTCAAAACAATATGAAAAGGTGTCAAACTGAAAACCAAAATAAAGCTTTTTTCTAAATTCCCTTTTCAATTCTTGAATTTTGGAGAGGAAAAGTGTTTGTCTGCTTCAATAAAATATTCTCAACTGCAATAATTCTTTTTAAAAAACCCAGTATTCTACTTTATACGTAGAAAACGAATAAAATTCATACCATATTTTATCCCACAAAGAAAAAGAAAAACAACAAACCAGATTGCAAAGTAAATAAACCACTGAATTAATATCATCTGGACGCAATATCCATTGGTACAAGTGAATTAATGCTCAGTTATTTGAAAAATAGAAAAGCTACATTGGTTTTGGTCATTATGTTTCAAATAATTGTTTTACCAATTAAGGGAACGACCATTACAGAAAATACGGACCCTCTTTGTTCCGGAAAAAGTAAGCTTTAGAATATCCTTCACCATTTGTTTTAAAATCGAACAGGGAACTGGCCAAGATAGTATCTCGATAGGAGTAGGACCAGTAAGTGAAAGACAAGGAGCTTCTGTGCATGAGCCTTGGTTTCACAGTATAAACATTGTCACTACAATTCAACTCCATCCCCAAAACACAAGCCCAGTTTCAGTTTGCAGAAATACCCTTCGTCCCAGGATGGGTTGTCTGATTGTCTCTGCAGCTTCCCTTCCATCTTATTAGCCACTGCCACTGCTATTTGTGTCTGAACAGGACTGTGATATGAAACGGAAGGAGAAACCAACGACCTCTAGTGGTGAAGTATAGCCAAAGAGACTGTTCATGTTCCTCTTTCCTTCCAGACCATAGCCTTTTTCTGAAAGAATGTGATCCAGTTACTAGATTAGCTAGGTAAGCCATGATTGATAGGATCACAATTGACATTATATATTTAGTCATTCCAAAGCCAAGTGGATTATTCACACATATGTATATGAGCTTCCTAAAAGGGGGAAGTGTGGTAAACGACACGTAAGAATTAAGCATTAACATTAGTACATTTTATAACACATTATTAGTTAGTGACATTATATGAATCCAATAATCCATATCTCCTAAACGATATACATAGATCCATTATATGAAATTAGGGTTTGAAAAGTTGAATTGGGGAACTGATTTTAAGAGATAATAAAAGGGCAAAATGGTATTTTTCATTGATTATAACTCACGTGTTATTAAGAATTAACGATGTTTATAATCTCCTGTTTAACTCATTAACGGAGATTTAACCTGCGTTTGCAAAATTTCATAATTTGAAAGTTAGTGCATTGTTTTCGGTTTCAAAAATAGTATGTGTATTGTTCTGGGATTCAAAAAAGTTTGTGTATTGTTTGTCCAGATTTAATTAAGTTTGTGTATTTTTTAAGGGTTTTTCCCTCCATATAACTATCTTCAAAATTAACAAAGTTTCCAAATTTTATACAATTAATAGTATCAGTCCACATCATCATATGATTTAAAAACATAATTTCATTGGTCCAAATAATCATCTCCAAGATTAAGTAATTTTCCATATTTTAAACAACCAATAGTATCATTCCACATCATCATATAAAATGTACTATTTCACATCATCACCAAAACTAATTAATTAAACATTTAAATAATTAAGGAAATTTACAAATTTTAAACATGTAAAAGATAAACAAATTAAATATATATATATATATGATTTTAAAAAACCAACAGTATCATTCCACATCATCACTAAAATCAATTAATTATTTTCCTTTTCATATTTAAGAAAATTATATTAATTAAATATTTAGAAAATAAAGAAATTACATTTTCTAATTACAACAAAAATATAAAAAAAATCATGTAAATTAGTTATATTAAATTTTAAACAACTAATATTATTAGTACACATAGACTTATTGAATACTAATAATTTTTTCTAAAATTTAAATTTTTGCTAAGACAAGAATGAACGATATAAAAGAAAAAAAGAACACAAAGGAGGAGTAAAGAAAAGTAGAAACACATATCAGTGAAGAAAACTAAAAAACTAAATAAGAATAAAGAAAGAAATTAAAGTAGGAGAAATTGAAGAGGAATAAATTTTAAAAAAAAAAGTGAAAACATGGAAACAAAGTGAAGAAGGAATTGAAACCAAATAAGAACATAAAGAATGAATGAATAAAGAAGAGCGAAGACGAAGAAAAACAGAAGCCAAACAAGAATACAAATGAGGAACAAAGAAGAGCATAACCAAAAATGATTGAAGATAAATAAGAACCAAATAAGAACTAAGAAGAAACCAAAATAGGAAATTTTGAAAAAGAATAAATAAAAAAAAATTAAAAAACATAAACACAAGAGTGAATAAGGAAATGAAGAACAACAATGTGAGTAGATTAGCTTCTCTTCAAATAAATTTTATACCCTTAGAAATACAACATATATATTAGTATTAGTTTAAATGTAATATTATAATATTAGCTTTTCTAGCTTAATTTGTTCACAATAAGCAAAACTAATACAAAAAATAAAAAGGAACATACAAAAAAAAAGTGAAGACAACGAAGACAAAAAAATAAACAAAAGATGAACATAAAAGAAGAGGGAGACCAAATAACGGAATACGAAACCGCAAGGACGAAGAAACATAAGAGGAAAATGAGGAAGAGTAAAGATGAAGAAAGAATAAAAGAACAAAAAGAAACTAAATAAAGGAGAATAGCCCGAAAAAAATAACCAAAGGAGAAAGAATAATTAATATCGGTTTAACAATCACCATGAACATGCTACTGACAGTAAAAATTTATGAATAAAAAATATTTAATCAAACTACTAATACAGACCCGCGCGTACGCGCGGGTAAAAGACCTAGTAACAGTATAAAAAGTAGTAATTTAATAACACAGTTATGATGTGCTATAGAAAATGTAAAAAAAAAAAAAATATGGAGCTTTAATAATGTATAAAAAAATATAATAAAAGATGATAATGGTTTCCAAAATATGGATACTTCCTTCCAACCAAACAGGTGGCCGTTGATATATTATATTGACTAGGTGAGAACTGTATTAAGTTGGTTTTTTTGTTTGGTTAGTTTTGATTTGAAGTCAGAGTATGGACTTCATATGTATAGTGGTTTTGTGTTTTAATCCTAAACTTTGGGCTATGGCTATATACACACACAAAGCATTGTGCGAGTAACATAAACAAAGGCCAACAGTACTGACCCAAGGCGTGAACTGAATACAATCGCTAATTAATAGCTTCTTTCCAGTTTCAATGGTGGAATCGTAGGTCGGCTCGACAAAACCGACGATAACTTCTGGAAGAAGCAATCTTACGAAATAGAGCAAACGTGTTACACAAGGGCAAAATTGCTTGGTCGTCAGATACAGGTGAAGAGACAGAGTTTCAAACTTGTGGAAGAAGCAATCTTACTCACCAGCTTCTCCTCCCGAGGTTTGTTCCCCTTCAGGCTTCACCTTATTGTTCACATGGGATTAATACACAATGAGCAGTGGGAGGAACGTTAGCAAGAACTAGAAGATAAGCTGCAACTTCCTTAAACCCTCGTTTCCCCAGCTCATACAGAAGACTTATGGAAGAAGCAATCTTACGAACTAGAGCAAACGTGTTACAAGGGCAAGATTAGTTCCACATGGTTTGATGATGATCATCCTTTTCATACCACCAACTCGCTCCTCAATCTTATGGCAGTTTCGAAGAATGGTAACAAGGTGGTGCTCTCAAAATATGGTTCTCTAGAACTCTTCCTTTATCAACCCATGCATAAACCCTACTTCCGTTCTTTATCGCAACTTTTATTTTTCTCCTCGTCCCAGTGACAGTGCCCTTCTTACTTTTTACCCTAGTTTAGCCTCTCCTTTGTGAATTTATTTCAAGTTTGTAATTTATCAGTGCAATTTTCATACTCAACTTTTGTTTGTTTATTAGGTGCTTCACGTGCGTGAAAACAAACTCGCCAGTTAAAGTAAAAATTAGAGAATCATGTATTTCCACGTAAGAAATGTTATAACCAATTAACTGAATATTTTTTCACTAAACTGTAATTAACTGAATATCAGTTGAATTTCCATAAATCCATTATGAAACCAAATAAACCATTGTCATTAGTTTCTAGAGAGGAATGTAAATATATATCAGTCACTTACCAATAATTGAGAAACCCATAGCGATTAACACAAATAAAAATTACGTCACTGGACTTTTGAAAATCCATAACTCAGTCTCTTTTGTTGTATAACTCTGCTTTGCTGCAGTAAACCTACGAATATTTGATTTAATATATTGTTATTTTCTTCTTCTCGCTTTGCCAATATTGTTTTTATAGTTTAGCCTAGAGTTTGGTATTCGAGAGTGTTAAACAATTTTTATATGATGTTGTATATTGTTTTTATCTTCTTCTTTTTTTTTTTTTTTTTTTTTGCATTTTCCGTTCGATTTTATATCTCCTATGACATATTTATTAAATTTTATCATGTTGACTTTCTCACACAAAGAATAGCTCAACTCGATGAAAGAGCCTAAGTGTTGTGTTTAAACTAAAATTTTTGAAACATAGAAAAGCTACATTTGTTTTTTTTTTTTTTTTTATAAATTTTTTTTTGGACAAGAGCTTTTTAAGATTGAACTTGGGTCTATCCACTAAGTTATGAGAGAAAGCACAACTAGACCAAGACAAGCTTTAAATGTGTTTGTTTTTCTTCAGGAAATGGAATGAAAGAGAGATTCAAGACAAATAACAGTATAAAACGTAGTAATTTAATAACAGAATTACGATGTGCTATAGAAAATGTTAAAAGCATATGGAACTTTTATAATGTATACAAAGAAATTATAAAGATAATAATGGTTTCCAAATTAGCTGCAAGTATAAGTCAATAAACTATGCATACTTCCATTTTAAAACCAAACTGGTGACCGTTGATAATTAAGTTTATTTATTTATGTATAAGGTTGTTTTTTTTTTGTTATTAGTTGTGATGTGATGAGCACGAGTATGGACTACATACGTATAATGGTTTTGTGTTTTAATCCTAAATTTTGGACTATGGCTATATATACAAAGAAAGCATTGTGCCAGCAACATAAACAAAGCCCAACCGCTACTACTGACCCAAGGCGTGAATACAATCGCTAATTAATAGCTTCTTCCAATGGTGGAATCGTAGGTCAGTTCAACAAAACCGAAAAATAACTTCTGGAAGAAGCAATCTTACGAGCTAGAGCAAACGTGTTACACAAGGGCAAAATTGCTTGGTCATCAGATACATACAGGTGAAGAGACAGAGTTTCAAACTTGCGTAAGAAGCAATCTTACTCACTAGCTTCTTCTCCCGAGGTTTGTTCCCCTTCACCTTACCGTTCACGTTGGATACACAATGAACAGTGGGAGGGACGTTAGCAAGAAGTAGAAGATAAGCTGCAACTTCTCTAAACCCTCGTCTCCCCAACTCATACAGAAGACTTATGGAAGAAGCAATCTTACGACCTAGAGCAAACGTGTTACATGGGAAAAATTAAGCATCTTTTTTTGTGTAACCTCTGTCCACGTAATCAATCCCACCCATGATGTTGAAATGGAGACCGATCAAGATGAGTTCTGATTTGTACTGAAACTCATCTCCATTCCGGGGACAGCTCCAAATCCAATCATTTTTTCAGCATTCACTTGCATCCCGTCGCTCTTGAGAATAGTCCATGTGTTGCAATCTATTGCAGTTTTTGATTCTCCACTCCGAACTTCTTTATCACGATCGAGCTTGTTATACAAAAGTTTGAAACTACGCAACGCCTTGAGAACTCTATCACGTGGGCTAAGAACTTTTGTAGTCTTGTTTTGTCTCATAACCGGGATGATCAGTCCAGCTTGATTTGGCCGTCTTTCACCTATGTTCTGATTTGGTTGATGAGACTTCTTTGATCTTAGTGCAGCATTGTTAAATGTCTTCTTCTTCTTTTCCAATGCGATTGTCTGATTTTGCACAACAAACTTGCTCTGAATGTTGGAGTTGTCTTCTTAACCTTTGGGAGGTAATTAGTTTGACAGTTTCCTCATAACTCAGAGGTTTAACGTTACTAGATCAGGCATGATTGATAAACCACCAGAGAAGAAATCTGCAAAATGGGTTAAAGTATCACACTAATTATACCTAAATCCATTTAAACAATAAAAAAAAAAAAAAAAAAAAAAAAAAAAAAAAAATTAACTGCGTTTTTACTAAGATAAAGCGCGGATGAGTCAATTACAAAACTCAAATATTTATTCATTCAAGTCCTTATTTATTCAAATATTCGGATTTGGCCTCCATGTTTTCCACTGATCAGAATTCCCCCTGAAAGTTGATTTAACCCCAACGGTTATATTTTAATTTTCCAATGATCTTAGGTCGGATCCCATTGTATATAATAAGATATAAGCAAGTCAACAACAATTCAGAGTTACAAAAACAAAACAAAAAAAACCAAAGAAAAATAACTAACAGAAAATGGTGAAGTGGAGCAAGAAAGACGAAGAAAGGCTTCTCGATTCCTTCAATGGCGGCGCGAATTGGCACCACGTGAGCCGAATTGGACTCTCAGGTCGATTCGATGCGCAAGCCTGCAGAGAAAAATTCATTACCCTTCAGCTTAAGGTCTCTCTCTATTTCTTCTGGCTTTTCTCTCTGTTTCTGCGCCCTTTTCTCTTTCTTTCTCTCTCTGTTTCTTCCCTTTCTTTCTCTTTCTTTCCTGACGGATTGTTTCTTTTCAGGCGTGGAACGCAGAAGACGATTCAAGGCTTTGGAAATCGCGACACCTGATTGTGCTTCGACCTAAAGAAGTCTCGGCAAACTTAAGGAGACCCATCAACTCGATTAAAGAGCGACTTATTGAATTGGAAAACGAGCGCAAAGAAAAACCTTTTTGCACGGGTATCGATGTGTTGAATGACTGCAAAGAGAAGGTGTGTAACTATGATCCTTCGGTTATCAGGGTTTTCTTTTTCTTTTTGGATAAAATTATTAGGGTTTTCTTTCACATTTATCTGATTAAAGTCTGTGTTTCTTGCATTTTCCAGGCCACGTCGTCGAGGAGCGCAAAGACAAAGACCGATGATGATAAACCCTAGAATTGTAGGCGTGCTTGGAATTAATTGGTTCTTAGGTTGTTTTTTTTTTTTTTCTTTTTTCAAATTGAGTCTTGTTGACTTGCCAAAGCATTGTAAGGAGGACCTCAAATCGTTGTTTTTCTTTTAAAAGTTACCAGCAGAGATTCGTTACAGTTTATAAAAAGCCGCCCAAGATTTAAAACTTCTTAAAACAAAACGGCTCAAAGAATTAACGAATTGTCCACGTCAGCCCCACATCCAAAGTATTACCCCTAAGTCACGTTTATTCTTCTCATATTTCCTTTCCTTGTGATACTGTAAATATTATCTACCAATTGCTGGAAACGGTTTTCTTTAGGGAAAATTAGTTGTAATAAACACCACAAAGTTTTTAATTTACTATCTAAGGCAAAAACTAGAGAAACGTGTTCTAAAAGGAAAACTGTAAAAGTTGAGATCCATTAGGGTTTAGGAATTGGAATAATTAACTAGAATTCCTAATTCATGTGTCCTAGGAAAAGCCAATATACATAAAGTAGTGCATAAAGTGCGTCACGTGCGTGAAAACAAACTCGCCTGCTAAAGTACAAATTAGAGAGAATCATGTATCTCTAGTTAAGTTTATTTTTTATCATCACTGTATCTTCAATGCATAAAGTGCGTCACGTGCGTGAAAAAAGTTTATGAAATTCTTTGTAGTTGTTTTTGTTTGTATTGTGAATGTTATGCATCTAAAACGTTGAAGCATATGAAACTTTTATACTGAATTATAAATTGTTGGGCTTCCATAAGCCCAGTCCAACTCCCTCCACTAGTATGATATTATCCGCTTTGGGCTCAAATGGCAAAGCCCGCACGGATTTGTCTTTGGGCTTCTTCCCAAAAGGCCTCATACTAGTTGGAGTTGGACACTGCTTATATCATAGACACTTCTTGTCTATACTTCCGATGTGGGACTTGATTGATATCTCAACAATACTCCCCTCAAGCCAAGAACCACATAAGCATGTAGCCTTCCACCTTCACCGATACCTGGCACCCTTCTTGTACCGCCGTAATTATCAACATACCTCTTCAACTAACCCTTGGCCTTATTGTTAGGAAGACTTCCGGCACAAAGACGGTACCCCTAATTGCAAGGTTGCCTTTGAAGGCTCCTCCCACAACGAACACGCAGCAGCCCACCCACTTGTCCCTAGGTCCGCCTTTTCGACACCTAGGCTCTGATACCATTTGTTGGGCTTCCATAAGCCCAGTCCAACTCCCTCCACTAGTATGATATTATCCGCTTTGGGCCCAAATGGCAAAGTCCGCACGGATTTGTCTTTGGGCTCCTTCCCAAAAGGCCTCATACTAGTTGGAGTTGGACACTGCTTATATCATAGACACTTCTTGTCTATACTTTCGATGTGGGATTTGATTGATATCTCAACATAAATATATATAAAATGTGATATATAAAACGTTGAAGCATATGAAACTTTTATATTGAATTATAAATTTTGGGCTTATGGCTATACACAGCAAACGTGTTACAAAAGATTCATCTTTTTAAAAAAATTGGAAAACTGCTTGGTCGTCAGATACATATGAAGAGACTGTGTTTCAAAGTTGGAGTAAAAGGAGAAGAGAGGTGATTGAGATAACACTCAACGTCAACGACGATGTTTTAGAAGAGATTATGGTGAGGCTTCCAGTGAAATTTGATTTTTATCAAATTATTGTTAACAAAACCTATATATGAACTAAAATAAAATAAAAAACTTTATCGGATAAAAGACTAAAAATAAAGTTTTCCTAATAACCAACAATGGATCCAACCCTGTACACAAAACCCTCTGCACACCCAACTCCGTGCGTGAACAAAGTCGCGATCTAAACAAAAACAAGAAGGCAAAAAGGTACAGAATCTTTTAGTCTTGGCTCTTTGGCAAAAAAAAAAAGGAAAATTGTAAAAGTTGAGATCCATTAGGGTTTAGGAATTGGAATAAGTAACTAGAATTCCTTATTCGAGTGTCCTAGGAGAAGCCAATATATATAGTGTTTATAAATAGGAGGTAATGATAAATTGAAGACAGCTGGAGGAAGGCAATACTGTATATATAGGAAGAAACGAAGACACAGAGACAATCCATCATCAATGGAGGAAACGAAGAGACACAAAAAAGGTAAACAAACCAAACGAGTTTCGTTGTTTTCGTCACAAAGTGGAAGCAAAAGAAGAAGAAGAAGAGAGGTGACTGAGATAATACTCAACGACGATGCGTTAGACGAGATTATGGTGAGGCTTCCAGTGAAGTCCCTAATTAGATTCCAAACCGTGTCTAAAGACTGGAAACGTATTATAACGTCCAAGTCGTTCAGGGAGAGACACATGTTGCATCAGAAAACCCTAGAACCCAGATTTCTCTGTATCTATGAAGATAGAAGCTGGTATAAGCGAAACGTTGCTCTAAAGACGATGAGGTTGGATTGGTCTTCGACTTGTCTAGTGGAATCGGAAGAAGAAGAAGAATATCATACTAGTGATAACGACCAAGATAAGGCACTTTTAGTTCTCAGTAGTCCTCTGGATGGTCTTGTCTGCTTCTATAACCATACGGACTTGACAAGACCAATTAAAGTGATAAACCCAGCCACGAGATGGTCCCTGACGCTCCCTCTTGCCAAGATTCAGGTAGAGAATCTAGACAAGAGCGCAGAGCTACCTCCCCCAGGGTTCGGAAAAGATTACGTCACAGGAACATACAAACTGATTTTGTTGCATTACATTAACGACGACGACAACACCTCATCGTCATCATGCGAGGTTTTTGATTTCGGTATCAAGCAATGGAAGCAAGTGATGCCACCTCCTCTTGATCATGGGAATGGGATACACAACGGAGAACCAACTTTTGCAAACGGATGGCTTTATTGGTTCAGCCAAGACAAGACCAAGTTGGTTGCTTTTGATCTTCACATGGAGATGTTTCGTGTCTTTCCAAATCCGATTACTGTTTCGTCATCACCATCATCTCTTTATATGCGTATGGGAAGCGTAGATGACGAACGTCGTCTTGTGTGGATTTCAGTGACAAGTGGAGATGGCAAGCAACAACACGTTTGGAGGCTCACTAACCACAACACAGGAGGGGCATTATCTATAATGGACAAGATGTTCTCCTTTGAACTGAACAAGATTGGTTCCACTTGGTTTGATGATCATCATCCTTTCCATACCACCAACTCGCTCCTCAATCTTATGGCAGTTTCCAAGAATGGTAACAAGGTGGTGCTCTCAAAATATGGTTCTCTAGAACTCTTCCTATATCATCCCATTAACCCTACTTCCGCTCTGTATCGCAACTTTTCTTTTTCTCCTCCTCGTCCCACTGACAGTGCCCTTCTTCCTTATTTTCCAAGTTTAGCCTCTCCTTTGTGAATTTATTTCAAGTTTGTAATTATCAGTGCAATTTTCATACTCAACTTTGTATTATTAATCTAATAATCATCTATTATTGTATTATATTGATCATCTATTATTCTATTAGGTGCATCACGTGCGTGAAAACAAACTCGCCAGTTAAAGTACAAATTAGAGAATCATGTATCTCTAGTTAAGTTTATTTTTTATCATCACTATATCTTCCATGCATAAGGTGCGTCACGTGCGTGAAAACAAACTCGCCAGTTAAAGTACACATTAGACAAGGGTTTATATAAAGATTTCCTTTATCGTCTCTGATCAAGCCGTTATATTATATAACTTACTACCATACTTAGTAAATTAATCAATTGTCTAAACTTTGTTGGCAGTAATAATAGTGGTGAGGAGTTTGCGTGAAGGCTTCATTTACAAATGTCCCTAAGTCGAGCCATATAATACTAAAATTAGTCATTCGAGAGGATAAGCAATATAAAATCATTCAAGCCATACAGCTAGCTAACAGATCTATGATTTTGGATCAGCAAGCCCACCATTCCAATGGACGATTGTTTCAGAATAGAACTAAAAGTCTATTTTTACCTTTGGGAAGAGCTAATTATCATCAACGTACAAATTAACTGACACAACTTTTTTAATCAACGATGCATAGATTAATGTGAAGTTGTACATGAACCATGGGACAAACTCCTCCATACACACTTTCTTTGCTTGTCGAGTGAGTTGTTAAAGCTAATTGGCTTCTAAACAACACTAATGGGCTTTTAGTAATAAAACCCTAAGAGCATGTTTATTCCTGTTACTTACACCGTCTCTTAGCCTTTTTGGCTCATTAAATTAAATCAAAAATGTCCTAATAATCATAAAACGTCTCTTATATTAGAGAGTCTTGAAATTAATAAGGGACGTTTGTTGTTGACAGGTGGCGATGCGTGATTGGATCGAGTGAGTTGGAGTCAATTTTTTTTTTTTCCTTTTCCTCATTTTTCCCTTTCCGCCTCTCTCTCTCTTCTTCGTCGCTCTGAAGCGATTCGTGTTCTCTTCAATCCGTCTTCGAATTTCACGGATAAATTTCATGCTTATCTGGTCTCGATCGGTGGTTTGGCCGAAAGGAAGATGAGGTTCTCTGAATCGACTAAGAAATTGCAGAGAAATCAGACATTAGCTTCTCAGACTGCGAAAATTTTGCATGGTAAGTTTTCATCAAAATTGGTTGTCTTTGGCGTTTGATTTACGTTTTCTGTCAAGTGTTTTGCAAAATCTTACTGTATTTGGAGCATAATCATGTCTTAAATTATTTTGTTGTTGTTTTTTTTTTAAGATTGTTTTGGTTCTCGAGTAAAAATTGTGGGTATTTCAGATTTGTCTGTTTGAAATTAGTGTCTTTTAATCGCTGATAGAGGAAGATGAATAGTTGATGTTTGTGATTCTATTAGAATTACAGAAGCATTTTAATTTGCGACGCTGCGTCTAATAGTCTAATAGATACAGAATCGAATAAAGGTGGAGGCTTTTTGTCTAATGCTTTTCGTGACTTTCGACATTTTTTAGTTTGGTGTTCCCTTTAATGCTTGTGGTCTTGCTAAAGATCTTTTGAATTGTTTGGATATTCTCAATTTCAGATAGATAGATGGTTCAAATAATATTTGGCTTCAACGAGTGAAGGCAAGCCTGGGAGGAATCCAAAGATGTCTGAGCTTGTTGATTGGTTACGCAAAAGCGTACCGGCGGAAGATTCAACGGGAGCAACGTCAGGCCTTGTCCACGGTGACTTCCGCATTGACAATCTTCTGTTTCATCCTTCTGAGGTCGGTATACTTTCAAGCTCCTTTTGTTTTCCTGATCATTGGATAGTTTGAAGAGACCTTATTGAAAATACCTTAAACCAGAAATCGATTGAGTTTTCCACAAAGAAAACATGGGAATTTCTTAGACCGAGAGATACTATTAAACCATGGGCTAAGGCTGTTTGGTTTAAGAACAGGGTTCCTAAACATGCTTTCAACTTCTGGGCAGCAAATCTTGATAGGCTCCCGGTTAAAACAAGACTGGCTAGTTGGGGTATCAACATCTCAACAACTTGTCTACTATGCTCTGTTTGTGACGAAAACAGGGAGCACCTGTTTCTACAATGCGGCTACTCATCTCAGGTTTGGGGTCTGGTGCTTCAACGCTTTGGTACTCCGAATCTCACTTTCAGTTCTTGGAACAATGTAATGCTTTGGCTCCTTAACGGCAGCGGTAGTAGAGAAGCAAAACTCCTTCAAAAGTTAGCTTGTCAGGCAACTATTAATTGTATTTGGAGGGAAAGAAATTGCAGGCTGCATAGTGACATATCCATCCCTCCAACTACTTTGTTTTACCAGATTGATAGGATCATTCGAGACACACTGTTAGCAAGAAGATTAAGGAAAGGATGTACTCTTCTCCTCTCGGCCTGGTTCACTCATAGCTAAGTCTACTTAGTCATAAAGTTTCTCGATTGTACTTCTCATGGTTTTTCCATTTTTTTTTTTTGCCATAGAACTAGTTTGCTTTAAAGCTCATGTAATTCATGAACCGTTGCTTTGGTAATATAATTTAAAGTTTATCAAAAAAAAAATATGTTTCTTGTAAAATTGTATATGTTATCTTGAATTTTGATTGTTGTCTTATAATGAACTTTAGGGAACCTACTTAAGAGACTTTAAATGTCTTACCAATAATTGATACGTAAATGTTAAGTTTCTTTGAAAGTCTCTTAACTAAAATATATTGTTAGTATAATTATAAGAGACATTGGTGAGTAACACCAATAAACATGCTTTAATGACCTTTTTCTGTTTTGGACAAAACCCTAGTGACCTCTTTTCTTACACGCTGTTATGTCGTATCTCAGCTCTTAGCTTATCAAAGAGATGAGGAATCACAAGAAGAAGAAGAAGACTATGAAGTTTTCGGATCTTCCAGACGATTTGGAATCGGAAATAGTGTGTAGGGTTCCGGCCAAGTCTCTAGCTAAATTGGAAACTACTTGCAAACGATGGTACGCTTTGTTCAGAGATGAAAGTTTCGTCAGAAAGAACAAGAAGTTGGGTAAATCAGTTAGGGAGTCGATGTTACTGATTAATTTTGGGATTTACTCAATCAGCGACGATCTCCATGGACTTCACAAAACGGGCGTTGATCCGTCTATCAAATTTTCCGGTAAACTTAACAGTCTAAAGAAGGATCCCGAAGAAAAAGATATCTAAAATATTTCACTGCGACGGTTTGATATAATGCTCCACTCGAGGAAACACTAGACTTGTGATTTGGGACCCTATGCATATACACTTGTTTTTATTTATTATATTATTTTGAATTTTATATCTATTAAAGATAAATATAATTTTGATGAATGGAAAAAAAAATTCTATTAGGATATAACAAATATAATTTTTTTCTTTTTACTATAATAGATTAAATTATCTTCTTTTTTAATTTTTCTTTTCCTAACATTTTTTTATTATTTTTTCTTTCATGTGTCACGATCTTAACGGACATAACATTAAAAGTGACACATTTCACGATTCTATAAATTATAAAGATCTTATGTATCACAACCACGTCACGCGCATCGAGCTTTATATAATAAGATTTGTGTTTCAAAATGTATATAAATATAAGTAAAGCAAGAAACATATCAGAATTAAAAAAAACTGAAAAATATATATATATATATATATATATTTTTTTTTTTGGAATTACTGAAAAAATATTAATAAGAGAAACATGGAAAAGTGAAGTAAGAGGATAGAAAAAGCGTCTTTAACTGCTATAATGGCGGAGCAAACTGGTATGAAGTGAGCTGAACATGTTATTAGATCGTTTCAATTCAACCTCATGCAGACCAAAAATCAGTGACCTTGAACAAAATGTTTGACTCTCTATTTTTCTCTTTGTTTCTTCTCTCTTTTCTCTTTCTTTTTGTTAACATATTGTTTGAGCAATCGGAGTACATACTAGTGAATTGAATTGAACTGAACTGAATTAAACAAAGTTAATGACTAATTCTAGTTATATATATGATACAATTAAAACATATACAATCAGTGACCTTCAAGTCTTTCTCTTTCCTCTTTTTTGACTTCCGGTGTCTATTTCAGTCTTGGGAGGAGCATGAAGACAATCAACTATGGAGGCTAAGAGGTTGAATGGATTTGCAATCGGGTGATGACTCTCTATGATTACAACGATAGAGGCACTGTGTACTTCAAAGAATTAAGATTTTGAGGGCCTCCAACAAAATATGGTCCAAGATCAGGAGGGAAGGTTGGGGTTGGGGATAAATATGACTGATCAAAAGCAACCACATGTGACTTGGAAATCGATAATGGAAGGGTTACACTTGGCCGCAAAAACTGGAGATGCAGAAGTAATGTCTCTGCTACTAAATCATGGTACACCTTTTTTTGACCATATCTTGATTTCCTTTCATAATCTTTATCTTCTTTTCTTTATTAGCTTGCGAAACTTCCCTAAACCTAACCATCTAAAAGACTGCTTTTAACAACTATTGGTTACAGTGGATCTTGCGTCCCTTTACTTATGTCAATCTTGCTTCATTTTGGTCATATCTTGCGTCCTTTTACTTATGTCAATCTTACTTCATTTTGGTCTTGTTTTATCTTTTTGTGTGGAGGAGCTGATGTCAACTCGAGAGACACTGGTGGCTCCACTGCTCTCCATTATGCCGCCAAAAGGGGAAGATAGAAATGGCGCACATTTTGATCTCTAATGGAGCCGACCTGAGTTTGCAAGATCAGGTGGTTGATGCCAGATCGTTGTCGTCTTGTGTGGATATTAGAGATAAGGGTAGACGCCAGGCAACAACACGTTTGGAGGCTCACTAACCACAACACAGGAGGGGCATTATCTATAATGGGGAAGATGTTCTCATTTGACCTGATCAAGATTTGTTCCACTTGGTTTCATGATTATCGTCCTTTTCAGCTCCTCCATCTTATGGTAGTTTCCAAGAATGGTAACAAGGTGTTGCTCTCAAACACGGTTCACAGGAAATCCTCCTATATCAACCCATAAACCCTACTTCCATAGTTCCATTCTTTATCCCATCGTTTATTTCTCTCCTCCCGTCCCATGGACAGTGCTCTTCTTCCTAATTCCCCATGATTATCATCTCCTATTTAAATTTTTATTTCAAGTTTGTAATCATCATTGCAAGTTTCTTTTTTTTTTTTTGCTAGGAATCATCATTTTCATCATTGCAAGTTTCATACTAAACTTTGGATTCTTGATCATCTATTAGTTTCTCCTTAACTTTATCTTCTATATATATGGACCATATGGTTATCTTTTTTCATCACTATATCTGCCATTAGGTGCGTGAAAACAAACTCGCCAGCTACAGTACACATTAGAGATTGATCACGGATCTCCATATAACAAAGATTAAATACTAAAAAAATAAACCCTTGTCATTAGTCATGAGATAAAAATGTAGACATATATCAATCACTTGCCAATACTTGAGAAACATTACTTTAGTATAATTCTTTAATTACATAGCGATACGTTACTAGAGTTTTCAAAATCCATAATTCTGCTTTGCTGCAGTAAACCTACGTATATTTGATTAAATACATATTTTTTTGTTTGCAGTAAACCAAGATTGTATATAGTTTACTTTAGATTATTCGGTAGTCGGTACAGCAATCAATTGTAGAAACATGTGGGCTTAAATTCTTTATGGATGTTATGTGAGGAATAAGACAAACAAGTGCATGGTCACCGAGTGATCATTTTGTCCGCTTAGTGAACTTATTTATTTATCACCTTCCCATCAAATCATACACCTAACAAATACCAAGTTGCTGATAATCATACCCAAAGCCAAAAAAACAATTCATAGAAATAATTTGTGCAATTTTTTACTGTATTGGTAGGACAAACGTTAAGCTTACTCATTTAAAACTGTCTCCATAGCTTTATATGTGAATCGTCACTACAAAATATTCAGGAGTTTGTTTATACACAAGAATCAGCAGAGCAACAACAAAAAAATGTATGTGATGATGAGATATATAGTAAAACAAGAAAACGTCAACAATATTATAGTCGAATTATTTTCTATACGATAATCGTGAATGCCCTACTATGTCTTTGGTTTTGTATTAAGCATAGAACAAGTCGAACCTATTGGGTTGATTGGTCTTATGCTTGCTGATTAGCTAAACTAGGTTTGAAGCCCCGCGCGAGCGCGGGGTTGTTTACGATAGTTTTCTGTTTAATTTTATTTATACTTATTGATTTGAATTATGATGGTTTTGTATTAACTTTCATGTTTTTGGTATGTTTTGAGTTAACCCAACCACTAACATTAAAAATATGAACAATTTATCTTTTTTTTTTTTTTTTTTGTCGACAGCCTCCATTTCTAAATCAGCTTGGGAATCCAAGTTGGCGAAACAGAGTTTACATAATACACATCAGTAGGTAGAGCTCGAGCACTCCGTGCTAAACTGTCTGCCTTCGTGTTTTTTGTTCTAGGTATGTGCGATGGAGAAGGAGGTAAACCTCCGTTTACACCGGTCAACCTCGTCAAGAAGTATTGCGAACGCTGGCCACTCCTCTGGCGTAGACACCATCTTCACCACATCAGAGCAATCCGTCTCGAAACGCGTTAACAATTTATTATGCAGTAGCATACAATGCATGGCCCAAATAAGTGCCTCCAACTCCGTTTGGAGAGGCAATATTCCCCTTCTCAAATTACGAGTTCCCATAAGCTTTTCCTGAGTATTCATGTTCAAGTAAAACCATCCTAGCCCAGCTCGACTTTCTGTCTCCTTCCAAGCCCCATCTACTTGACAAATATCACCCGTTCTAGGGGATTCCACTGAGGTTGTCAATAGTGGACATAGCATTACATGTTTTTCCTGGGCGGTTACCCATGCCGAAGATTCCGCTGTTGCTTTGATTACTATTTCATATGGGTCCCAGTCAACATTCGCCATAACCTTAACAATTTATCTTTTATTTTATTAGAATGTTAACACCCCCATTTTATCTCGAGTTTTCTATTTCCAAAATTTTAGTATGTTATAAATATTATGTTTGTTTATTTTTGTTAGACTATAAACATGCATATGCATTTGACTCAACGTTAAAATTTGTAAACATAATGAAAAATCGCATTTACACCCGAAATAAGATGAAAAAAATAATATTTTTTTTTTACATATCTTCTTTGTTGTGATAGCATATGAGTCTCATAACCCTTGATTATTTTCTAATATATTAGTTTTGTAAATATTAATTATATTTTGAAACAAACATATCACAATCTTTAAAATTTTCATGTTTTTCACTTCAATTAAATTTATATATAAAAACTCGACTTCTGTTTTAAAAAAAAACTCTAACTCTAATTTCTCATTGGCTTTTTATTATCTTAATTAATATATATATAACAATTTTTTAACTTGTAAACACATTATAACATTTTGAAATATAAAAAGGTAAATATATTTCATTTCAAGTTAAATATATTTTTACTGATATTCAATTTTTTGATAACTTTTAATATCAAATTATCAGATACTTTATATTAAGTAAGTAACTTAATTGTGTATTTTTCTTAGTTTTATTTATATTTAAAATATAAATATATGCAAAGAAATATGAATAGTCATATATTAAATTTTCTTAAAAACAATTTAATGAACTTTTTTGCTGATGTGGACACTCTTAGAGGAGAGAGCAACTCCCTAATCTTATTATATAAAGCTGGATGCGCGCGACGTGGTTGCGACATATATGATTTTTATAAAATATATGATCGCAACATGTGTCACTTTAAAGATTATGTCCATTAAGATCGTGATACGTGTATTAGGGGAAAAAAGAATTTTTTTTTTATAAAATACTAGAAAAAGGATAATTTAAAAAAATATATGAAATTTAATTCTTTTATAGTTAAAAGAAAAATTTATATTTGTCATATCCTAATAGAAAAAGGTTTCCCATTCATCAAATTTATATTATGCAAACACATATAAATTCAAATTAATGAAATAAATAAAATCCTATTAGTACATAGAATAGATTATTTAAACTAAATTTCCTATAATTGTATGGAATAAGTTATCTGAACCCCTATGAAAAGAGAGTTAAAATAGTTTTTTTTTTCTCATTCATAAACTCATCAAAGCAAACGACATGATAGCAATACGTAAAAATTTTATAACTCACAAAATTGTGATATGTGTTTATATTCAGATTACGTAAAGGAAAACAAAATCAATATATATAATAAGCTATTGCGATTCAATTGTGTGCTTCTATCTTTTATATAATCTTTTCTCATAAAAAATAACAAATCATGTCTTTAAAATTCATGGTATCAATGAATAATACATAACTTTATATCAGTTGGATAGAAATCAAAATTATTGTCGTTACATGTATCTAACTCTATATCAGTTGGATAAAAATAAAAATTATTGTCGTTACATGTATCTTATTATTGATCCAATGAAGACATGTTAATTGGAAAAATGTTAAACAAATTTAAAAACTAGAAAAATAATAATAAAAAACTAACTAATACTGAAAATGAAAATTTATAATGGTCTGAGGCAAAAACAAAATTGAAAAAGAAACAATATAAATAGAAAATTAATTAAATAATTATCAAGCAACTAACTAATATTAAGAAAATATAATGAACCGATATTCTAATTTTAAATAGAGGAAAGAAAGAGAACTTAAAAAAAATGAATTCCAGAAAAATGTTAATTAAAAAAACGAAATTTAATTTAATCTATTATATCAAAAAGGAAAAAATAATATTTGCCAAATCCAAACAGAAAAAGGTTTCCCATCATCAAATTTTTATTATATAAAGTTGGATCGCACGACGTGGTTGCGACACATAGGATTTTTATAATTTATAAGATCGCGACATGTGTCACTTTTAATGTTATATCCGTTAAGATCGTGACACATGTCTTAGAGAAAAAAAAATAAAAAAAAAATAATAAAAAAATTTAGATAAAGGAAATTAAAAAAAAAATAATCCATTACAGTTAAAAGAAATAAAAATATATTTGTCATATCCTAATAGAGAAAGGTTTCCCATTCATCAAATTAATATTATCCAAACAAATAATAAATAAAATCCTATTTATACATGGAATATGTTATGTAAACTAAATTTCCTATAACTGCATGTAATAGGTTACTTGAACCCCTATAAAAGAGAGTCAAGGTTTCTCAATCATAAATTCATCAAAGAAAATTCATCAAATCCCTTTGATTCTATTTCTCCAATTTAAAAATCATGTTTTTGAAAGTTTTGCGATACATAGATTTTTATAACTGACAAAATTGCGACATGTGTTTTAAAAAAAAAACAAATCTGGAAGTATGAAGATCGTAACATGTGTCATGGAATAAAATAATAAAAAATTAATATGTATAAGACTAACTAAAAATTAGAAAAACAGATAACAAATAATTAAAATGAAAAAAATAATACATCCATTAAAAGTAATAAAAAAAACAGGAAACAAATAATTTAAATTCTTTTGTTACATCTATTAAGAAAAGGAAAAAAATCCATTTCGAAAAGGAAAAATACCAATATATAGTATTTATAATGGTCTGAGGCAAAAACAAAATTGAGAAAGAAAAAATATAAATAGAAAACTAACAAAATAATTATCAAGCAATTAACTAATATTAAAAAATTATAATTGATATTCTAATTTTAAATAGTTTGATTTTCAATTTTTGTTAGGTAAAAAAAATTGAAATAAAGATTTCATCAATTAAAATCTCTTGAATGGAATAATAAAAGTTTGATTAATTAATCAGTTGATCAGATTTAGACATGTGTAAGTCTTTCTGTATTGGATAAAAATAATAGTAAAACAAATTAATTCATTTTGTCATATCATAAATTCAAAAGAAAAATCAATTACAATAAAAATGTAAAAGTATTACCAATCTTATTTTATTTAAATATTTTTATCGGGTTTTCAATATTATTTTGTTTACGTTTAAAAATGATCAAATTTTGTTTAATATTTTCCATGTTTTTTTATAAAATCTTAAAATATACCCGCGTATACGCGGGCTTAATCTAGTTATATATAAGATAGAAAGAGAAGGAATATTTTTATATAAAAACAAGGGAGTGAAGAAAAGAGAGAAAAAGTGTAAAGAAAAGAGAGAAGTAATGATGAGAAAAGGATGAGAATGCCGATGTGGTTTTAAAAGGTTTTGGTCAAAATGTCAAAAACTCTATATACATATTGTAGGACCGCGAAAATCCAGATTGGAAAACACGAAATAAAATCTTATATAATAAATAATATATAATTAAAAATACGATCCGGCTCGGCACGGCACGGCGGCGGCGCGCGCGCGTGTGGTTTTTTTTTGCATAATGGCCCCCTTTCTCTCAAGGTCCATAGTCTCCCACTAAATGCTATTGAACATTGTATGGAAATGTCTATATTTAAACAAGAGGAAAAAGTTCCTTCTTTCCAATGTGGGACAAAATCAAGTACTCCTTCATTTAACTCACTCAAATTTCTCATTCATTTTACATGAGCCTAAGCCCATTTCTTTTCACATTTGTCCACAATTTATTCAGCCCATTTGAGGACTTTAAATTTGGTTCCAACAATCCCCCACATGAAGAGAAATGACTCTAAACATATGCAGACTCTACTAACTCGAAAGACTATACATGCAGACTCTACAGACACGACAGAAGGACTTTCGAGAGTATAGGCGAAAATTAACTGTGTATGATGATAGTAGCATATTTCAGCCTTGAACTAATCATTGTTAATAACTGTCGGGTTTACTTAGCCAGGAGGTGAACATGATGTCTTGAACCACCCGGATGTTTATGTAAACCGAGACAACAGCTATAACCCAGCTTCATTTCCTCGTAGAACTTAGTTCTCTATTGCGTTCATTGTGGCCTTGAACTTTGCCTGGTTGATCGTGAGTGAACTTAGAGAATATAGCCTGGACTTCATCCTCCTAGAAACGGCCTCATTTCACACTCACTAGGTGATTTCGTTGAGCTCCTGTCATATAAGAAAAGTATCCTGTTAATACTCCGTATATATATGAAAGCTACTCATATCATTAAAAGCAACGCTTATCCTTAAACACTTACAGGAAGCACTGTGCATCATTTTGGGAGTTGGGATCAGACATATTGTCTTGCAGTGCTGTAAACAGAATCTGTTTGACTTAGTTGTCCCTTTGAACCAGCCTTTTGGGATCTCCAATCGCGAAGGTTGGGTGTCCATCAAACATCCTCTTTTGTCATAGGCAAAAGACCCATTCCCTTAGATGATTTCAAAACTTGATCTCTTGTCAAACCTTTTGTAAACGGATCCGCTAGGTTATCAGCTGATTTAATGTAATCGACCGAGATTACACCGGTTGTGATCAAGTGTCTAATGGTTTTATGTCGTCTCCTGATGTGACGAGATTTGCCATTATAGAGAGTATTCAGTGCCCGGGCTATAGCCGACTGGCTATCACAATGTATACGCAGTGCCGGTACTGGTTTCTCCCACATTGGAATATCTTCCAAGAAATTCCGAAGCCACTCTGCTTCCTCTGCTGCTTTATCTAAAGCGATGAACTCAGATTCCATTGTTGATCTTGCCAGTAGAGTTTGTTTGGAAGATTTCCAAGATATTGCTGCACCTCCTAGTGTAAAGACATATCCACTTGTGGACTTTGAGTTCTTTGAGTCTGATATCCAGTTTGCATCACTGTATCCTTCCAAGACTGCAGGTTCTTTACCATAGTGCAATCCATAACTTTTAGTGTGTCTCACATAATTTAACACTCTTGTTATGGCTTTCCAGTGTGTATGACCAGGATTGCTTGTGTAACGACTTAATACGTTCACTGCATGTGCTAAATCCGGTCTGGTACAATTGGTTAAGTACATCAGACTTCCAATAACCCTTGCATACTCAACTTGTGACACTGCTTCACCAGAGTTCTTAGTCAAGTGCAGTTGTGTATCCACTGGAGTTTTCGCAGTTCCATTCGAATAATTCTTGAAACGCTCAAGTATTTTTCAGCATAATGCTCCTGAGATAAGGTGATACCCTCAGAAGTCCTTGTGATCTTAATACCAAGAATAACATCCGCAAGACCCATGTCTTTCATGTCAAACTGACCCTTAAGCATGTTCTTGGTTTGTTGGATTATATCCTTGTTACTGCCCATGATGAGCATGTCGTCAACATACAGACACAGCAAAACGTACCCGCTGGGAGTGTTTTTGACGTAGATGCATTTGTCACATTCATTGATACTGAATCCATTTGACATCATCACATGGTCAAATTTTTCATGCCATTGCTTCGGAGCTTGTTTCAATCCATACAGCGATTTCACAAGTTTACAAACTTTGTGTTCTTGACCTGGTGTCACGAAACCTTCAGGTTGTTTCATATAGATTTCCTCTTCTAAATCACCATTAAGGAAAGCTGTTTTTACATCCATCTGATGGATTTCCAGGTCTCTCAAAGATGCAATAGCTATCAATATTCTGATTGAAGTTATTCTCGTCACCGGAGAATAAGTGTCAAAGAAGTCTAGACCTTCGACTTGTCTGAATCCTTGCACCACAAGTCTTGCCTTGTACTTATCAATAGCTCCATCAGTTTTGATCTTCGTTTTGAAGATCCATCTACATCCTAAAGCTTTAAACCCTGGAGGTAAATCAGTGATTATATAAGTATGGTTCTGCAGAATAGAATCCATTTCACTGTTTACAGCTTCTTTCCATAAGTCTGCTTCTGGTGTAGACATGGCTTCAGAATATGTCCTTGGTTCATTCTCACAGAGAAATACCACTAAGTATTCTTCACCAAATGATTTGTCCTTACGAACTCTCTTGCTACGCCTAGGTTCAACTTCATTTTCTTCTGCTTCATTTACTGAAGTACCAGATGTACTAGCCTCATTCGCAGGCACAATTGCGTCATGAGTTCGCTTCAGCTTCTGCCTATCTTTACATGGAAAGATATTCTCAAAGAATGACACATTCCTTGATTCGATTATTGTATTTGCATGGATATCGGCTATATCTGATTTGTGTACCAGAAACCGATAAGCACTACTGTTGTGCGCATATCCAATGAAAATACAGTCCACCGTTTTAGGCCCAATCGAAACCTTCTTAGGAGGCGGTACTTGAACTTTTGCTAAGCACCCCCACACTTTCAAGTATTTGTAAGAAGGTTCTGAACCTTTCCACAACTCATATGGCGTTTTGCCAGTTACTTTGTGTGGTATTTTGTTGAGGATATAGTTTGTGGCTAGCAGAGCTTCCCCCCACAGATTCTGCGGTAGCCCAGATTCCTGCAACATTGCATTCATCATCTCTTTCAGAGTTCGATTCTTTCTTTCTGCAACTCCGTTAGATTCTGGTGAATAGGGAGCAGTGGTCTGATGTATGATGCCTTTCTCTTGACAGAAGGCATTGAAAGGTCCATCATACTCACCTCCTCTATCACTTCTAACCATTTTAATGGTTTTGCCCAGTTGTTTTCAACTTCAGTTTTGTACTCCTTGAATTTTTCCAAAACTTCATCTTTGCTACGCAGCAAGTAGACGTAGCAGTATCTTGTACAATCATCTATGAAAGTCACAAAATACTTTTTGCCCCCTCTGGTTTGTACATATTTCAAGTCGCACAAATCTGTGTGTATTAGTCCCAGAGGTTCAGTTGTTCTTTCGACATGAGGAGATGGTGTTTTAGTGAGTTTTGCTTGTACACATATCTCACATTTGTCTTTGCTTATTTTGCTTTTCGGAATTAGGTTCAAATTCATAAGTCTTTCAATGGACTTATAATTTACATGTCCTAATCTTTCATGCCAAATATTAGAAGACTCAACCAAATAAGTAACTGGTTTCTTATTAATCAAATCATTGGAAACAGGTACAACATTGTTTCTTTGGACTGGAGATACACACATCTTAATCAGTCCATCCTTAACAAAACCTTTTCCTATAAAAACACCATGTTTCCTGAGAATCAGCTGGTCAGACTCAAAGTTGATGGCGAATCCATGCTTGCTCATCAGAGTGCCAGAAATCAGATTCTTCCTCATGTCTGGAACATGCTTCACATTGTTGAGTGTGAGCTCTCTTCCAGATGTCATCTTCAGGACCACCTTTCCAGTGCCTTCAATCTTGGAGTGGGACACATTTCCCATCAGCAGACGATCATCTCCCTTGCTTTTCTGGTATGTGCTGAACATCTGTCTGTCAATGCAGATGTGTGTGGTAGCACCAGTGTCATACCACCATAGTGCCGGATTCTCTTCAACCATGTTGGCTTCTGTAACAACAGCCACCATGTCAGACTCTGTCAAGTTGGCTTGGTTTTTCTCCTTGGCCTTGCTGCGACAATCGGCTCCGCGATGTCCAACCTTGCCACAGTGATTGCACTTCCCTGAGAATCCAGATTTCTTCTTTGGGAATTGGTGGGCTTGGGCCTGTTTCTTAAAGCCCGTGGAGGCCTGATTAGCAACCTTGTTGAGTGCACCCTTGTTGGGGTTAAACCTGCCTTTAGGTTTGTTGCGAAATTCGGCCACATTTGCATCATGAGTCTGAACTGGTTCAGCTTTTTCACGCTTCAGTGACTCATTCTGCAGCCTGGAAACCAAGTTGGCCAAAGTCAATGCCTTTTGCTTGAAGGCAAGATAGTTCTTGAAGTCTGCCCATCCAGGGGGTAACTTCTCAATGAAGCAATTCACTGTGAAAGTCTCACAGATCTTCATCCCTTCATCTGATATCTCTTGGAGTATCATCTGCAGGTCATGCACTTGGTCCATGATGGGTTTTGAGTCCACCATTACGAAGTTGAGAAATTTTGCAGCAGCAAATTTTCCTGAGCCCACATTGAACGTCTTGTACTTCTTATCCAAGGCTTCCCACAGCTCCTTGGATGTTTTGACCTCACTGTACACATTGAACAGTTGATCCACCAGGCGACTTTGAATGTAACCTTTGCACAGGAAATCTCCTTGGTTCCAGTTCTCCAGAGTCATGTGTACTCGTGGATCTGGGTTTGCCTCTTGAGTAGCAGGCACCTCAGGCTTTGTCTCAACAAGATATTTTGCCAGGTTCAGCGTGGTAAGGAAGAAGTGCATCTTCTGTTGCCACTGCTTGAAATTCGTGCCATCGAATTTGTCAGGCGAAAGTGCTGCGCTTATGTTACTAGGCAAAGTTGGTGCAGCGAGTGCAGCCAGTTGACCCGTGACATTAGCCGCAGGCTGATCCCCAGCAGTCCCGTTGGTTCCATTAGCAGTACCAGACATTATGGATCTGTATCACAAAGACAGATTTTGTCAGTATTGTGGGGTGTGCGAAAATATTCGCTAAGTTCACAGAGACTTGCTCTTAAACGTTATATTAGATCAGAGATCAGATATAATAAAGTTGAAAAAACGTTTTCGCGATCCTGCTAAAAGCTGTCGCGTAAATCGTTTTATCAAGTAATGATATTCGTCTTTTTTGAGATCGAAACTTTCTGCTGAATAGCTAGAGAGCTTTCGCAGAACTGTTTTAGATCTATAAGCAAACCGTTTTATATATCATATAAGAAAAAACTGTTTCGCTATATTCCAATCCGATTCAGGCGATAAGGAAGATCGGATTTATTGAGTTAAGACTGTAGGACCGCGAAAATCCAGATTGGAAAACACGAAATAAAATCTTATATAATAAATAATATATAATTAAAAATACGATTGGAAATAGACGAATTACGCAGAGGCGAGATTTGATCTCTTTCCTTAACTCAATAAATCTCCCGCAGTGTGGCGGTTTGCATGAGACTTTTGAATCCCAGGATACAACTACGTGAGACTATAGTCCCAACACCGGACTACAGAATCTACGAACTAAATAACTACGCTATACTCTCGAGACTTACGTTTAGAGGAGAAGAGATGCGAGAGATTTTTGATGGAGTGTTTTGATATTCGAGTGAATCAATAATGAGAGGGGTGAGGCCCTTTATTTATAGCTGTGAGAAGACTTGGTCGGCAAGGAAGGAATATCCGCAAGATATTCTCCTTTATGTTTATCGAAAGGGATACGGAAATATTCCGAATATCTTTTCGAGTTTATCAAGGAAACCGAAAAACGAACTCAATCTTCTGGAAGATTTATTCTACACATTATGCAATTTCGGGTAGGGCTTTAGCAAAAACCTTGATAGGAATTTGTGGGCGAAGCCCACATTCACCAAGACCCAAGAGCCCGGCCCGGCTCGGCGGCGGCGGCGCGCGCGTGTGGTTTTTTTTTGCATAATGGCCCCCTTTCTCTCAAGGTCCATAGTCTCCCACTAAATGCTATTGAACATTGTATGGAAATGTCTATATTTAAACAAGAGGAAAAAGTTCCTTCTTTCCAATGTGGGACAAAATCAAGTACTCCTTCATTTAACTCACTCAAATTTCTCATTCATTTTACATGAGCCTAAGCCCATTTCTTTTCACATTTGTCCACAATTTATTCAGCCCATGAGGACTTTAAATTTGGTTCCAACACATATTGCCCAAAAAAAAACGAGGTTTAGAAAAGTTACATGTGAGCAGTCAATTGCAAGGTAAAAAGAAGATTGTCGTCGAATGCCCAAAAAGGTTGTTAAATGCGAAAAGTTCGGATTTCGGAAGCAAATCCTACTTGCATAAGACCTCAAAGGAGAAGAAGAAAGAAATGGTGTAAATAGTATATTGCCTCTTGATAGTACATAGAGAAGTGCCACGTAAGAAAGCGGAATGTTTACGTTTACTTTGATGTTGTTTTGTCGAAAGGACGTATATACAAACGATAACCCCTACCCACAAGTTGGGTCCCATTTCTCAGTTTCATCGTTTTGTTGCGTCAAAATTTGGTAATGATTCTTTGAACTTTATACACAGCTCTTTGGACATAACCTGATGGGATAAAATGGATAATGAAGAAAAATGGGTCGATGCCCATTTCGCTTTCTTCGCAGCTGTCTTCGTACCAAACCATCCTTGGGACCATCACGCTTACGCTTTACCACTTCCTTTGTCTCTCTCTCCAACACTCATCAAACCTTATAGATTGGTCTCAAAATCACTTGGTCAACCATTCATTGATCAAACCACGAGATAGATAATAGTTTCATTATATAAACGATCATACCAAAATTTGAAAGAAAGACTAATATTATTTATAGGACAAGGCCAAGCCACAAGGGCATACCAAAGAAAAAAAAAAAAAACAAGAGATGGTGATAAAAAGGGGCAAAAGAAGAAAAAAATACAAAGAAGATCACAGAGAGAAAAAGGTGAAAACAAATATTTACAAAAGGTTAAACAAACAAACAAAACCCCTTTTTCACCTAGTCGCTTGTCATAAGCCAAACCTTCCAAGAGTAACTATGTTTTTTTACTACCATAGAACGAACAAGAAGACTTACTCCAAACCGTAGATTCTGTCTTTCTTTTTAACTTTCTCTCTCGAGTTTTACTTTTACTATATAGTTTTTACTCAAAACTGGCATGAAGTGCCAAGTCTCTGTCTCTTACTCAACGTTGCGGTTTTGCGTTTCGCGAAAGCCGGTCCAAGCAACTCTTGGAACCTCTCCAAGAACAGAACCCACTCGTCTTCTTTCATGTCTGCTACTTTCACAAAGCTAGCACTCGCTGGAATCTGCTCGTTTGCGCTCTTGTGACCAGACGATGTGTTTTCAGACTTGCCTCTGGTTAAAGGTTTCAGGCTTTTGCGTCCCGTGTCGTTAAGATGAGTGTTCTTCATGGAAGTCGAAAGCTTCGAAAGAGACGTAGACTTCTCATGAAAAGCAGCAGAGCTAAAAAAGCTGTCTTTCATGATAATCATAGGGACAGCATTCACAGCATTACTGTCCTCTTCTTCTTCATCATCTTCCTCTTCTTCCTTGATGCTTTCTTCAAGCTTCCCCAGCGAAGAACGTCCGTTCGAAAAAGGGTTTTTCGTGAAGTAGTCATCGGTTAGTTGTATCTTGGAGCAGTAAACTGATTCCAACTCATCACAGTCAAGATCAAACTGAAACTCTGCTTCTCCAACCACATCTGACCTTGGAGAGATAACATCTCGTTCAGTGATTGATCTCTTGGTTTCAATACACACAACCTCAAGCTCACTTGGCTCCTCCTCTCCCGGATGAAACTCCCGAGTCATCATCTCACCAATCTCCGCAAGACACAGCCCATAAGAAGCAGCTTCTTTAAGGAAAATAGTGCAGAGAACAAGAACCCGAAGACAAGCGTCTCTGATCATCGGAAGCTCTCTTCTGAGCATGTCACAGTCCTTCAACGGATCAAGCTTCTGGATGTAGTCAAGCTCTTCATCAGAGAAAGGTAACGACGCCTGAGGCCAATGAATCCACTCGAAATAAGGATCCTCGAGAGTCTCCGGCAAGCAGAGACCATGGTCTATCGGAATAAGCTCCACCTCACCAAACGTCCCAACTCCATCAGGCTTCTTCACCAAAAGGTTCCCACCGTGACGGTCCGTGTTCAAGATCCTTATGTCCAATATCCCAATCCGGTGCACAGACGCCACTGGGAAGCTCGAAGTGCCATGGTCACTCGCATCGAAGTCATGAGCCACAAACTTCTGGAAAGAAGCAATCTTACTCACCACCAGCTTCTTCTCCCTAGGCTTGTTCCCTTTCACACCATCGTTCACATTGAACACAGAGTGAGTTATCTTCACAAGAGCCGTGGGAGGCACGTTAGCAAAGCGGCCGTAATCAAGAAGATAAGCCGCAACTTCTCTAAACCCTGTTTCCCCAACTCGCACAGAAGACTTCAACCCCGGTTGCCCTAGGGCTTTCCCAACAAAGCCTTTGGGATTGTTAGGTGCAAACGGCTCTTCATCAGTCGGCTTGACAATGGCAACACTCTCACCCCTTTTGTTCCTGAAATAGTAAGCTCCTCCAAGCCCGCTATGAACAGGAAGCGGCTCAACGCCCACCTTCATCGCCTTCACAATGTCCTTCACCATTCGCTTAACAATCAAGAAACACTCCTCCGACTGGCCTAAGATCTCTATAGGACCACTTCGATCCTTCTGCTGAAGATCTCTCCCGGTAGGTGAAAGGCAAGGAGTGGACGAGCTTCTGTGCATGAAGTTGCGTTTCAGGAGCAACGGAGAGTCGTTCCTCACAGCACTGAGATCGTTCGTCAGCACCATGTCACCGTAAGTCAAAGAGCTCTCCTCCGTGGGGAAGTTAAGCGCAATCTGAAGCCTCCGTTTCACGGTGTGGACATTGTCACTGCGATCCAACTCCATCCCCAACACACAACCAGTCTCAGTCTGCACAAACACCCTTCTCCCGGAGGATTGTCTCTGCAGCTGATGGTGATGGTGTTTATGCTGCTTCCCTTCCATCTTGTTTACCCCGGTGAGGGGAGTCTTGAAAACCGCCACTGCCATTTGCGTCTGCACAGGACTGTCTAAGTTCCGAGACATGAAACGGAAGAAGAAGCAGCAGCCGATGAAGAGAGATCAGTGCCTTTCTCTGAAACCAACAGGAGCCGGAGAGAGCAGGAGGAGATGATGATACCTAATCCGATCATGAACAAACCCTCCACACAGAGCTAGTTATCGCCAAAGACTCGAGCTTTGAGAAAGAATTTTTGAATCCAAATGGTTACATCAGTTAAGCCATGATTTGATTGACCATCAGAGAAGAAAATCTGCAGAAAGTTCAACGGAAGAAGATGTCATCAATCTATACCAGATCTGTTCAAAAGCTCAAAAGTGATCTCAATCTCCAGACCTTAAGAGAGATTCCGTAATCAATCTCTAACGATTAGATCATGATCCAAGAAAGTTTACATATTTACTTGCAGGAAATGGATTCCAAAAACTGGAAATTTTCACTATGTGTTTTCTACACAAAGCCGATGAACAGAGGATAATCAAAAAGATAACAACAAACAAATCAAAAAGATAAACAGTAAACAAATCAATGAGCTTCAGAAGCGAAGATGAGGATAATCAAACTCACCGGAAAAGCCAAGATCCGAAGAATAGAGCGGGAAATCAAAACCCCAGAAACTTGAGGCGAAACAGTCGCAAAGGAAGGAATTTGTCAATTCAAAAGCATCATCGTCTCCGAGAAACAGACGCACATGGAGGAGGAAGAGGAGGAAGAAGGAATCTTTGGAAGAGGCTTCAATGGAGGCAAGGAATCGAGGAGGGAAAAACGAAGAATCAAAAACTCAGTGAGAGACACTGATCCCTAGCCGCCTCTTTCTCTCTCTCGCTCTCTCTTCTGTGTGTGTTTCGCTGTCTCCTTCCTTGGATTCACCTCTCTCTGAGGAACAACGCTTTTTAACTCTGATCTGGTAAAGGACTCTGGTTAAATCTCTAACCATGGTTTGTGTCTATATTTTCACTAACCTATTTATATATTTTGGATAAATTCATAGATCTATCCTAATGACACGTCATCGTATTATTTTAATTCTCATTATTATACTTAGTTTTGTAATCCTGTTAAATTTTGTTTTCTTTCCTATATTTTTTCCACTAGATTATGATTTGGTGGTGTCGTAGTTTTTACATTTTTTTTAGATATTTTTTATTCTTGACATATATGTTATTTATTTAATTTTGCTATTCTTTGCCAAAACTGAGAAAATGTCCTTATTTCTTTCTTCTTTGGTAGGTCCTTTTTTGTTTTTTAAACTCTTTCTTTCGTACTTTATCAAAGGAAACTATAAAAAGTTGTTCAATTTGTTTCCTTAGAAATTTAGAATATTTTGTTCTGTCGTTCGGAAAATAGTTAAAAAAATATTTGGAATATTATTACACATAATTCAAGATTATAAAATAATGCGAAATCAATTAAATTATAGTATGACTATGTTTCCTGCTTTTTTTTCTTTATGAATCACCACAAAAAGACGTGCGATCTCACCAATAAAGAGTTCAAAAATGAAATTATATCATTCTGAAAGGGAAGAAAATAAAGAAAGATTAGTAATTTGAGTCATAAATTGACCGGTAAAACAGTAAAAGAGGACATTCATCATCGTCCCATCTTTGGAAGAGTCTAGAACAGGCAAACAGAGCCGTTCGATTATAGATTCCTGTGGAGTTTTGACTGTCCGATTAAGGGAATGGTCCGTGTGCCAAGTGGCAGAGGATGAGAACGCCGACGTGGTTTTAAGAGTATCTAGTGGTAACATGGACCTACAAAATTGGGCCTAATGACTTAAAGCCCACGTTAACAATGAAATAATATTAGCTAGTGGCAAACAGTCAAGTAATTAAATATCAAGAAGTTCATATTTTACAAATGATTTGACGTTAAAATACACCGACGAAAAATTAATCAACAGAACAGCTTTGAAGATATTACAAAAAAAAATTGTTAATAACAGAAGATATTAAAATTTTGATGTTTGATCGAGTTAAAACTATTTAGTGATTTTCGAGACACTGTCATAAAGCTTTGGATATCATCATCTAATGGAAATGTGGTTTCTTTGCACTTAGCAAATACCTAACAAATATACTTTGGAATGGCTAAACATATCTTAATATTATTATTTTATGAACAACAGAACATATCTTAATACATATTTCGATATTTAAGATACATAAAAGGGGTTAAAATAAGACAACAAAAAAAAGAGAACCAAAAAATGAATTTAGATATCTTATATACAAATTTAATTATGAAGTCCATTAGGAGGTATCGAATGAATAAAGCGACTAAAATGGCACTTTTTGAAGTCCACATGAGTAATAGGGAATCATAATATATAATGAGATTAAATTACTTTGGACAGAAAAGATCTTGTCTCCATAATGCAAAATTCAGCTTTGGACACTTTGTACTATAATAATGATTTTTATTTGAATACAAAAAACAAATGAAATAAAGAGAGATTACGCATAAATGTAAATGCATGATCCAAAAACCATGTGCAGTAGTGTCTTCCCATTACTCGACTACATATATTCATGGGAAAAAAAAAACAAATAATTATGAAAACACTTTTAGTTTTACTATTTTAACTACTAGGTTTGAAGCCCCGCGCAAGCGCGGTTGTTTGCGATAGTTTTCTGTTTAGTTTTATTTATACTTTATCTCACATCGCACGTCCTTTTATTTTATTTTATTAGGATGTTAACACCCCACTTTATCTCGAGTTTTCTATTTTAAACATTTTAGCATATTATAAATATTATGTTTGTTTACTTCTGTTAGACTATAAACATGCATATGTATTTGACTCAATGTTAAAATTTGTAAGTATAATGTAAAATCGCATTTGCACCGAAATAAGATGAAAAAAACAATATATATACTTTTTTACATATCTACTTTGTTGTGGTAGCATATGAGTCTCATGACCATTGATTATTTTCTATTATGTTAGTTTTGTAAGTGAATATATTTTAAAACAAACATATCACAATCCTTAAAAAATTATATTTTTCACTGCAATTAAATTTACATATAAAAACTCGACTTCTATTTGTTTAAAAAAGCAAACTCTAACTCTATTTGTCATTGGTTTTTTATTATTTTAATTAATTTATATCCAACTTTTTAATTTGTAAACACATTATAACATTTAGAAATAGGATAAATCCTTTTAATAAAAAGGTAAATATATACCATTTCAAGTTAAATATATTTTTACTTATATTTAAACTTTTTCATAACTTTTAACATCAAATTATCACATAGTTTATATTAATTAAGTAATTTAGTTGTGTATTTTTCTTAGTTTTATTTATATTTAAAATATAAATATATGTAAAGAAATATGAATAGTCATGTATTAAATATCTTAAAAACAATTTAATGATTTTTTCTGATGTGGATAGCTTAGATGGAAAGAGCAACTCTCCTATTATATATAAGATTTTCTTTATGTTAAGAATTAATAGTCAATTTTGATCACTAAAAACAATTCTTATACCAAACTAAATATTGTGTTATGTGTGAAAAACAGCTCTTACCCTGAACAAATATACTACTGTTTCACCAAGAACATGATCATATCCAATTAGAGTTTCAGTAACTGCAAAACAGAGCACATAGCAACAATCAAACACACACAGCAACCAACAGGACTCACAAATCAACAAATGGATGAAGAAAACTCACCAGGAAACTATCTTCTAAACCAACAAACATTATACTCTCTGCTGCATTGCATTATTATCCAAAGCCTGATTGTTACCAGTAGTCACCACAAGAGCATTTTCCATCTTCGAAATGATGGTAACGGATTGGATCTCTTATAACTACACTTCGTCTTTCAAGCTTCGAAGCTAGCTTGAAAAAGACATGACAATCCCCACATATTCTCAGATTCTTTCTGATCCTAATCACTTTCTCACTAGGCAACGTCATCAAACCAAACGCCAAAGCAAGTTTCTCACTATGATGTCTAAGAGAATCCTCCATCTGTTCTCCTTCAAGATCTTGCAGCACAAAGTCCGTCTCAGGCACATAACCAATACCAATTAATCCATGAATCAACTGGTTCAGCTTCTTATCAACTTCAGCTTTCATCGGATGAGACTCGTCTCCAATGATAAAAGCATGAATCTTTTTGTTCACTTCAATCCAGCTACATCCAGGCTCTTTCTTCATCCCTCTGTATCTCATCCGTGTACGAATCTCTTCAACACTGTCCCATCTCTGAGAGTTTGCATATATGTTAGACAACACTGTGTAACTTCCTGCATCCTCTGGATCAAGCTCTAAAACCTTTTTAGCTACATACTCAGCTAGCACCATGTTCCCTTGAACCCTACAAGCACCAAGAAGCGTCCTCCACGTCACAGCATCAGGCTCACAATCCATTTCATTCAACAGCTTCACAGCATCCTCAAGCTTCCCAGCTTTTCCCAACAGATCAATCATGCAACCGTAATGTTCTCTCCCTGGCTCTATCCCATAAAGCTTCTTCATTTCTCTGAAATAGTACCAACCATCTTCAAGAAGCCCTGCATGGCTACAAGCAAAGAGAACACCAACAACCGTAACGTAGTTCGGTTTCGTCCCTGAAGCTTTCATAGCCTCAAACAGCTTCAACGCCTCGTGGCTATAACCGTTCTGCGCCAGCCCTGAAACCATAGTACTCCATGAGATCACATCTCTCTCTTTCATCTGGCGAAACACTCTCCGAGCATCCTCCAAGCTCCCACACTTGCAGTACATGTCCACGAGCGCGTTGTTGAGTATCAAGTCTCTGTCATACTTTACTATATGAACATGAGCTTGCATCCCAAGCTCCAACAGAGCCAAACCAGTACAAGCTCTCAACACGCTAGTCAAAGTAGCCTGCTCCGCGGTGAAGCCAGCTCTCTTCATCCTCTTGAAAAGCTTCAACGCGTCATCGCCTTTATTGTTCTGAGCAAAGCCACCAATGATGGAGTTCCAAACAATGGCGTCGCCTGTAACCATCTCGTCGAAAACCGAAAGAGCATCCTCTGGCTCACCAAGCTTAGCAAAGACATCAATCAAAGCACTCCTAACGAACACATCAGACTCCAATCCTTCTTTGACAATCCCACATTGGATCATTCTAACATCAGACATACCGTTGCAGGATCTTAACACAGAGGAGTAAGTGTAAACATTGGGTCTCACACTTTCTCTCAGCATCAAAACCAAAAGCTTTAAAGCTTTTTGGTGATGCTTGTGCTTAGAGTAAGCAGAGATCAACGTAGTCCAGGAAATAACATTCCTTTGAGGCATTTTGTCGAACAAGTTGTGGGCTTTATCCAAAAGATTGAATTTCACATACATGTTGATGAGAACGTTAACCAGGAAGAGCATTGGTTGGTTCCCGTTGAAGTATAGATGACGACAAACGAGATTTCCTTCGTGAACAGCTCTATGGTCTAAGCAGCACTTGATTAGCTCGGAGTAAGTCGCGGAATCGGCCCAAAGGCCATGACTTTGCAACGAATCCATTGATTTGAGAGCTCTGGGAAGGTCTCTCTGGTAGCAGAATCTGGTGAATTCGTTAAGAAGAAGAGTTTGATCGGTGGAGCTGTAAGAACATCGTGACGTAAGTGCTGGTCGGAAGAGTTTGAGCTTTGTCGTTACTGACTTCATCTTGTCCAAAGAGATTAAACTTCAAGAAGGATCTTAAATCACTATATGGCTCAGTAAGGAGAGCTTTTCAAATTTTACAATTTCTCTTTTTTTGCTATGTGTGAAGTAGCAAGAAACATCAAAATGGGATTCGATAAAGAAGCGACTAAAATTCAATTTTGGTAGAGCAAAATAAACAATTTCTTGAGATGTTTTGCCAAATATGTATGTAAATGTGATATAATAGTTTCAAACATCACAGCAGAGATTCGAATACTTGTTCTCTAAAACGCCAAAGTTAAAACTAGTAGAGAGACATAATCTTGAGGAAGAAACTCATTAGACAGCTTCTGACTGAACAAAAGGGTTAGCGATTTCTTCAGTGCCATCAGTTGGTGAGACGAGCATCACCGCTGTTCCACGACAAACCTAGAAACAGAGCCAGAGACAAAAATACAGTCGTTTACAATCTAATCGGTTTAAGAATCTAAGAATATGCCAAAATGTAACCAGAAGAAACAATGATCTAGGTGCTTATAATAGTGAAAAAAAAAAAAAAAAAAGGTAAATGAGTCATACAATTAAGCCGAGGCGTCTCGTCTGGTCGGTGGTCTTCAAAGGATCATCATGATCTGGTCAAACACATCAGACAAAAGGTCACAATCACAATACTGTATGTAATCCAAATCAACAAGACCACACAGCTCAAGTTTCACAATATATATATAAAAGAGTTAGTTTTAAGCTATTTTTTATATCACAGCAGAGTAAGGTGGAACAAATGAAATACAGACAATGATCATAAAACTACAGTATAATTCATGGAAATCAAAAAGACATGACGAGCTTCACACCTATCTAATCAAATTTATATGATATAGATACAGAGATTATCTCATTTATTGGCGGATTACACCAGAGAATCTACTCATATAATGCTGTGCAGTAGCCATATGAAAAGAGCAATAAAACAGCCCAACAAAACCAAGCAGTAGATGTAGCTGTGGAAAGCAATTCTTACCTCGAACAAACTCTACTGCTTCATCAAGAACAAGATTTAGCAACTGATCATAGCCCTTGAGAGTTCCAGTGACTGCAAAGAGTAACACAGAGAGCAACCATCAGATCTCAATTGGCATAATAATCATGGAAAAAAAAAAAAAAAAAAGAACAACACTCCTTTGTTACCTTGTCTGCCACCGGTGAGCTTAACTTGCACACCCTTATCCACAAACTTGGCCAAATCTAACACTGTTTCTTTTCTTCCTGACTGTAAACAACAACAAAAACAGAGAAAATCAAACACTGCATTGACTCAATTGACTCAAAACCATAATTAAAAAAAAATTGGTACTTTACATCAATGTAGCATAACTTACCATGTTACCGCAGAGTCTTCGACAGAAGTCCCCCCAAAATTTAACCTAAAAAATTGATTCAGAAGAGAGTCATTGTTATACTTTATGCAGAAATTTAACAGAAATGTAAAGATTGCTGAATGTCAATAATACTTCAAACACCGCCAGCTCAAGACAGCAACTAAAAATTAGGGTTTTGTCGATTCCTTGGCCACAATTCTTGGGGAGGGTTGTTGTCATCCAACTAAAACTAGGGGTTTGCAAGTGTTACTGAAACCCATTCCAATTTTCTAGACAAATCGATGAATTGGAAAATTAGAAAACCAACCAAATTCGGGAGAAACTACGGAGACTAGAACAAGAGATGGTATATGAAAATCAATGAGCTTCACAAACGAACATGATTGACTAGTCAATAGATTGGTGAAGAAAACTCACCGGGAAAACGAAGATCTGAATGGTCGGAGGACGATTTTGTCGATTCAGAGGACAATACCGATTCGTTTAGTCGTCGTCCGTCTCTCTAGTGACGACGCTCTTTTAATTTAGCACCGATCTCGAAAAAGACTCCGGTTTAAATCTAAAACCCCTAACTATTGGTTCGAGTCAAATCATTACACGTCAGCAATTTTTGGTTCGTTGAGTGGACTATTATAATTTTTGGCTGTCATACTAGTTTGGTTTGGTTTTTACAGTTTACAAAAGTAGTAAGAGTTTGTCTAGGTATGAAAAGAAGACAAAAAGCTTGTGTGGTTTTGATTAGTAGCCAAATTAGATTGATTAACACACATGACTTATCAGAATAAAATAAAACAATACAAAAACTAATATTTATTGTGTATATATGTTACAAATCTAGCTAGGTCTGAGTTTCTCGAAGGATCCTTAACCAGGCAAACCAACCAACAATCCCGATGGAAAGACTAAAGAAGATATGAAGGATATTAATCGTAAGTGAAAATGAGTTATTATGTAAATCTGCGATAATCACAGCTTTACATGAATGGCAATCGAAGCATAACGTGTTTGCCGAATTGTTCCACGTGTTGCAGTCATCTTCTAAGGTGTTGAAATATCTTGAAACCGTCCAAATATTTGGTTTCTCGTACGTTAATCCACATGAAAGTGGTGGTTTGCAGCAACCTGACTGTTAAAGGAGAAAGATAAAAAAAAAAAATCAATATTACAATGAAATAAAAGTTTTCTTTTTTTTTTCTTTTTTTTTTTTTTTGAGTTGTAACCTAGATTAATTGAAAAAACATATGTTACGTTACGTACCTGTATAGGAGTTAGATTCATCTGATAAAACTCAGCAGCCGACATGTTCTGGTTAGAGAATAGGTTGTTACAAACATTGTCCTTAACAAGACATCTTCTAGTACGATACCATTCATCGTCTTTGATGACCAATCTACGAACCCACCCCGAGTAGTCGTCGAACCTATACTCATTGATCTTCGTCCCAGGGAACAACCTAGGGTTGGTCTCTTGTTCGAGACAGTAAACGAAAACGGCTTTAGCCACGACCACGAACATCCACAAGAAGAAGATGAAGAAGTGGATTCGGAAGAGACAATCGGATTTGAAGTAAGCGGCGTAGAATCCGGTGAGAGTCATTACCAGCAATGAGAAGCTCACGAAGATTCCGGGAGTTGTCACCAAACGGTTACATTCATCGGTCCTGTAATGTAATGTCGAGACGGTGACGAACCAGAAAGCGGACGTGACGAGGAAAATCGCGTTTGCGATCAAGAAAGTGGTGTTGAATGGAAATGAGATGTTCTTTAAACATGATAACGATGAAGGGTTTTCTGTGTTTTGTTTTTCTTTATCTTTCGCCATTATATTTTGTTTTTGTTGAAAAAAATTTGACAGAGATAAAGGGGTTTAGTCAATTAAATTAAGGAGGTAAATGAGGATTGATCAAAGAGTTCAATGAGGACTTGTTGCACAAGATAAGTTTAGGTTTTGTAGATTGTAATTTAAGTAAACACATGAAAACAGAAAAAAACCTAACATAGAGATTATCTGTTTTCTTACTTGTCTGTGTTGTTTGTTGTTGACCGGTTTGGTCCAAAATAAATCGGTTGACCCAAAGATACAGGTGAGTTTTAAAAAACAATCACCAAATTAGGCTCAAAGGTTTGTATGACTCATTAGTATAACTAACATAATTAATCCCGTTTAAGTTTTTTTCTGTCAAATTATAATTAACTCAACTAAAAGTAAAACTTTAAAATCGGTTTCCGCTTGCAAAATAAAATGAAGTAACAACCAATTTAGCCACCATGTTACAGTGCGTGAAACGAAGAGGAAATAAGCTCAAACCCCAAACCAGAGTTTTAGGGTTTTGCTCAATTCTTGTCGGCCATTATCATTAATTAAAACTATATAAAAATGAATTAACACGAACATATTCCGTTAATTACAATAATATCGCCAAAACTAGTTCCTCGATGTTCCGAAAGAAACTAACTACGTTATACCAACCACTAAACCATCCTAACTTAATCTCAAATAATTGATTAATCTAGCTAAAATAAATAGTTTTATTGAAATAAAAACTTCAGATTTCATGGACTTAGAGGTTGAGACTTGTTGTGAACTGGCCGTCTTCTTCTAAACTTTGGATAATCCATCGATAGATATTTCGATAGAGCATTCTTCTCTTCTTCTTCACCTAATTGATTCTCTTCACTCTTAGATTTTACTGAGAACAAAATATACGAGATTATTAATACAATTTCTTAGTTTGAAACTTGTTGAGACTTGGAACATCGAATAGAATCTTTGCATTTTTCTTTTCTATTTATCTAGCAAGATGCTCCTGCAAATTATTGATATAATATATCTGCAACTAAAAACAAAATTCTGATGAAGAAAGCAAAAATTATTGATAACTTAACCTTTTCTCCTGACATGGTCAAAGATTCACATGTTTGACTTAAATATGTATTTTTAGGGATTCGTTTGACTATATATAGAACTGTGCTTATGAGTTTTGCTAATTACAGAATTTATTTTTAAGAGAAAAAAATAAATGTCGTCTGACTAAAAATATATAAAAAAAAAAACTTATCAACTCCAAATGATTGATATATTTACCTGAAGAAGTGACTCGAAGTTGTTCGCTTGAACCTTCATGAACTGCTGACGACATCGCCTGTTATTTTGCAAAAGAGATAGAAATGCACACGTATGAGATTTGATTAGAAACTTTCCATAACTCTAAACTGAATGTTTAAGAGATAAATATATAACATAAATTTCTTACATTTGCATGTTCACTAGTGATGATCATGAGCTTCCGTGGCGCCATTTTAATAACGATCTTTTCGCTTATACCTGCATCATCATTGTGACGAAAGTATTAAGTTAGTCATAGTTCAGTCGATCAGAATAAATATGTTTCCGTTTTGTCAGAAGCAAAACTACTACATCTTGAAGAAGAAGAAGAAATTTTTTCATTTACTCATTGTATATAATTCTAAAAGTTTATAGAGTTAGGCTTTGAGTGGTTGCAGCATGCATATAGAGATTGAAAAGACAAAATATTGTTTTGTAAAAAAGAATTATTAATCACCTTGGCTAGGACTAGGAGATGAGTAACGAGAGTTGAGTTGTAGAGAAAAGGTTGGAGTTAGAAGCAACAAAATGGCTATTGCACAAAGCAAGAAAGTGACTCCAAATAGCTTCATATTCTTCCAAGTGGTTTATAAGCTATGATAAGATTTTTTGTGCTATCTTTCTTTTTCTTCTTCTCTTCTTATATAGGAGTATCAACCAAAAGGGACTTGGACAATCTCAAATGGATATCTCTATCTATATATACTAAGACCACTATATTTATATATAATATACTAATGTGTGTATGTGAGATAGAGAGTGCACGAAACACAAAAGTGGGAGTTCCAAAACAAGTTGAAGAAACTATTTACTAAAAAAATAGTATAAATTTAGTATGTCAAGGTTTAAAAAGGGGTTCACGCCATCGAGGCTCGTTCTCGGGGTTGTCTGTATTGGGACAAACATAAGTTTGGCATCACACTTCATCAAACCCAATTTGTCGAGTCTTCGCCTTTCTGTCTTTTTTGTCTCTCTTCTCTCATTACATCCCCACACGTTATACTAATATATTTAGAAAGAGCGAATCATCTTTTAAAACCCTTTCATTATTCATGTAAATGATCTTGATGTGTTGATTTAGAAAATCGATTCTACTATGTCGAAGCTCAGACGATCACATCCTATTGAAATGCTAGATGAATATTGCAATATTTTTTGTTAGGATCGATCCAATGGAAATTACTAAAATTGCAAAAGATAAAGTACTATAAATTAAAAAGAGATATATCAGTTTATTCATCGTTGATTAGTTTGTATTGAAATATCATGAAACTTAACAATGTTAAATCAAATGTTGAAGTGTGCATATATGTTATTTGAAAAAGATTGTTACTATCCGTTGAGTGTAAAATACAAATACAACAGCGATAGGTTTGAATATTTAAATGCTATGTTCGTATCTTTTTTATAAACCCAAAACATTGTGTGCATTTACCAAAACAATCAAACTGTTTTTGATTTTTTTAATAGAGTTTTCTTGACGTCAATAATGTTTTTTGTACGAATATTTAGATTAGTATTTTTTTGCGTAAAATTGAGATTTAAAGTTATTGACATACTTAAGAGTGCTTCTCTTTGGCAGTAGGCATAAAGTTGTTGAGAGTATCACATCATATTTGCCTAAACTCTTTGCTCCTTCTCTCACTTTTTTGACATTCACACGCTTAAGTTACTTACTTAAAAGCTCTACCCAAATCGGGTGAAGATGAGAACATCACTTTCTAGTTTGTTACAAAACACCTTTGGTAACGTAAAGGCATCATTATCACGTTTTGAAAGCGTTTCAACTCCAAAATTTATGTGTATTGGACCAAAAGCTTGGAGATCATTTTTGGCCATGTCGGTACCGGATCACGTTTCTTTCTTTAGGATTTGATAAACAAAGTGAAATCAGAATCAGATATGCTCTGATTTTTATAACACTAATTAAAATCTGTCGTAACTAGAACAGGTCACGTAAAACCTGTTAAATCTGATTATTTTTGTTTTGATTTTGTGATTAACAACAATGAGCTGGCTAGCATTCCTACCTACAACGTTGAGCTTGCATTTTATAATATAAAGATTAAATAATCGGCAAGATCCTAATAGAATAGATTGGATTATTATCATGACATGTGTAATCACAATCATCAGCCTCGTGCAAGTATCATAGCACAGACGATCATTTGACCATAGGATAAATAACCACTAATTCAAATTCTTCTGGGAGATTTACATAAAAAAACCAATAATCAAATCCTACTAAAAACTATTTATCGTAGAACACAATTATTTCAATGTTAAAAGTTGATAAAAGTTCTTAGCTACTAATGTAAGAAATGTTAAAATGGAGTAGCTTAATTGTATTTATAAGGATGTGATTTTTTTATGTTGTGTAATAGAAAAGCAACGAACGACACAGCGAGACAATGGTCTTGAAATCGCCGAGAGTTGAGACAAATGTCTTGAAAACATGGAAAAGAGGTTGACCCAAGTCGCTGATACATTTGACCAAAAGCCATTGAAATGTGGAAACCTAGAATCTCTTAAGAAAAGAAAGAAAAAAAAAACATATTTAAACATATTTTTCTGTTTAAAACTTTAAGCTAAACCAAAAGCATGTACATACATGAATGAAGAAAAAGAAGAAGAATTATAGTAAACTCATCGGTTACATAACCCGACCATTTTGCATCTGATACCAAACTCAAACTCAAAAGCCCTAACTGTTAACCCAAAATAATACTACCAAAATGCCAATTACACACACCATGGCATAGCTATTAAAATCACCCAAGAAAAAAAAAAAAAAGAGAAACTATATTTACCTCAGTATTAAAAATAAAAAAGCTCCCCCTTTTAAAGAAAAATATTGTATTTCAATAAATCTTTCTTCTTCTTCCTCTATGCTTCAAAGTGAAATGCTTTTAGGACTAGTTTTGATCAAGAGAATCTACAGCAGAGAAGAGATTGTTTCCATCCTTTTTGTCTTCTCTTACCAGCTTTCTTCATTCTCACAGGACTACTGTTCCATTCCGACTGCAATCTGCACATAAAAATCATCAAATTCAGCCAAAAAAAGATTCCTTGCATCAAAGTGATGATGAATCAAGACAATGAAGATTTGATTACATTGGGAAAGCGAAGGATCTTCCACTCGTTGTGCTTGCATCAGAACGAACAGAGAGGCTTCCAGAGAATGCAATTGGTCCCGAGTACGTTATATGTCCCGAAATTGAAACTGCATCTGCTGCAGAGAAACTCGTTTCTCCAAAACTGCTTGAGGGACGTTTGTCGTCCTCTTCGTTAGAGCCATTCACCAAGTAGTTTTGTTGATGATTCTCCGTTTCAGGCTTTTCAGGGTCGTTGCAAGTTCTGTCTGGTTCTTGAGAGGGTGTTGTAGAAACAGAGGAAAGCTTTTGCTCTGCTTTTCCTAGCTCCTCTGTTTCCTTAAGCTCTGTTTCGAGAGGTGTGGTTTCAAAGCTTCTCTTTTCCTCATCCTGCAGTCACACACATGAGCAAGTTAGAAACTTTAAGATTGAAAAAACTGAAACTTTATCTGATAGATGAAATGTATTTGCCTGAAGCTGAGTTAGAGATTGTTCTTCAGGTTTCTGTTCATCTTCTCTTGACAGAATATCTCCCAAAGTTAAAGATATAGAAGCCACTTCGTCCTTGGAATTCTCATCAGCTTCAATCTCATGAGAAATCTCAGATGGATGCGTTTCCTTGGCTTCTCTTATCGCAATCAAATGCTCTTGATTGCATATGCTAGAGCCTTCAGCATCAGAAAAGACTTCTCTTGAATGTTCTTCCACATCTTGGCTTGTCTTAGGATCATTACAAACCTCGGAGCCATCTTCCAAGGACTTAGTTTCCAAAGCATTCACATTTACTTTCTCAACTTTCATCAAATCCTCTGACTCACACTGGTTTGAGTCTGAGCTACATTTCACAGAATCCTTCTCGCCGAATAAGAACTTTTCCTGGACCGGCACACCTTCATCGACACATATATCTTTCACGACATGGTAAGTATTGTCCTTGAAACAAACTACAATCTCAGGCAAGTCACAGGCCGTCACATTCTTGTCCATATAAATCACCGGATCAACTTTCTCAAGAGAATTCTTGTTAGCCTCATGACCTATAGCATCTCGGAGTTTCTTTCCGGCGTCATTAGAATCTCCACAAGAACGGCGTTCCAAAGCGTTTCCATCATTCTCTTTATCCCATTCGTCGCCGCTTCTTGTATCATAGAACAACTCACACACGTTGTTATTGTTCATCTTCCCATTTTCTGCAATCTTTAGCTCTGCGTCTTCCCACTTCTCCTCAGGGCATTGATGAGGCTTAAGCTCATCTTTGCAAATTTCTACCGAGTTTCCAACCGCGTGATCGTTATCTGAAGAAACATTCAAAGAACATCAGGAACACCTTAAAGCTACAAAGCAGGAAGCAGTTAATGATTCAGTAACAAAAATATTTGAAATGCTAAAGACTTTTTACCTGCTCTCATCGTTTCAATACACCAGAGCTATGTTATCTTCAAGCACCAGTCGAAAAAACCAATCTACATGTTCAAGGGAAGATCTATATCAAGCATTTTCAAGCAGATTCATAGAAAAGAAACAGAGAACAACAACATTGAAGTTGCAAAGAGAAGACAAGTATAAGGAAACTTCATTCTAGAGGATGGTATCCAAGAAAGTTATATCTAACTCTATCTATCTGTTTTCTCTCAAAGTTAGTTAGATACAGAAGCAACCTCCATATGAGTTAGATACAAGAGTTGTTCAACGAAGCAATGGGCCAGGAAGATTGTGACAGAAACAAAACAAAACCAAGCTTTGGGGCAAAATTATTCTATGGATACATAAATATGGTCAGTCACACATGTGAAAGATTCTTTTTTTCTTCTTCCAAAAATCAAATCATCATGAGTTCTAAGCAGATAATAAAACAGCAAAAAGATGAAATCAACCACTACACTGACCACTTTCCAACTTTTTGCTAATCTAAAGAAAAAGCCATTTAGATAAAAAGCTGTAATTGCCATTATAATATGAGAGAAATTTTCAAAAACAAGGCTTAATCTGGATAACTTGTAACGAATGTAATAAGATTTATTGCAATCAATTATATGGTTTACATAAGTGTGGCAAAGGATTACAAAAGAAATGAAGAATCTTTATGCACTGTCATATAGAAAGAAGATAAGAGACAAAAAGAAGAAAGCTTTAAACTTTTTTTGTGCAAAGCTTTTGTTTAAAAACAGCTACACTGCAATCAATCAATATCAGTTATAAAAAATTGGATAAGAACATAAAGATTTTATCTACTTTCTTATTATATCAATAAACAATTCGAATTTGCAGGAAAGAAGAAAATCCCCAGAAAAAAAAAAGTTTCAATTTTTATTAAAAAGATACACTCAATTGGATCTACTATAACAAGAAAAAACCTAATAACCTAATTAAAAAATATCAAAACTATTGGAATATACACAGATCTAATAACTAGAATCCAAATGAAAAAGCCTAAACATGAATCAAAGATTGAGACTTTGGAATCTATCAAAAAACAGTGAAGAACAAAGTAGATACAACAAACAAAACCAAAAAAACTTACTTGATCACCAGAATACAGAGACTCTCAACCTTCTTCCGCCATTAACGTTTAACCTAAAATTAGCAACAATAAAAACTCAATAAACAAAACAGATTGGAGAAGAGAAGAGAAAAAATCTCGGATCACTCTTATAAAGAAAAATCAAACCTTTTAAGAAGAAAAGCCAGATACTTTTTGGCTGTTAAAATTTCTAAAAGAAAAAACAAAATCTTGAAAACATGTAAAAAGGATGTTCAAAGGTCAATTAAAAATCACTGTCTCTGCAATTAATTTGAGCACAGAGAGAGAGATAGAGAGAGATAACCAAAAGAGTAGAAAAATCTCTCTTTCTTCTTTATTGCCCTTTGGTTTCGCATTTAATTACAGAACCAAACCCGAAAACATATAAAAATTCTGGAAAAACAACATTTAATGCCACCATTAATTAGAAACCGCAAAGGTTTCACTTTTTTTTTTTGCAAATACAGAATTTTTTTCTCTTCCATTTGAATTACTTTCCCGGAAAGGATAAACATTTCTGAAATCATTCAAGTTTTTGTCTAACATTTTCCGAGTAGGAAATTAAGAGGGAAATGCACATACCAATACTCTATAATCTCTTGATTTTCCTGGGAAAACTGAAAACTTTCTCGGAAAATCGGAAACTCTTCATAACCATGAGATCATCAGCAGAAATCGTACAAGATCGAAATACCCTTTTCTCTCACTCTCTCTAGTGTCTGAACTAAACTTGAAAGATGGAAACTTTCTACTCGGGAGGAAGGAAAAAATGAAAAAGATCGGATTTTGTTTGATTTTCCCGGAAAATAAACAGGCGCTTCTAAAGGTGAGAGAAAGAAAAAAAAAACTTCAGCTTTGGAGAAATCGGATCTGCGAAACGGTACCCTCGAGAGAGTATTTTGCTCTCATGGATTTTGACTTTTTATTTTGTGGGGGAAATCAGATTAATAAAAAAAAAAATTGAGGATTTATAAAGAAAACAAATGAAAAGTCAACTATCTGCCAAAGAATTTGGCGAGGCGGTTTGCATTTTGTCTCTTCTCCATTTTATTTATCTTTCTCTCTTTTTAAATTTGTTAATTTGGTTCGAATAGTTTTTTTATATGATCCCAAATTTTAATGTCCGACTATATAATTTTCTCATGGTGAATGTAGTTATCGAGTAGTCTATTCAATAAGTTTTTTAATGGCCTAAACATAACACGACAGTCGACAGGGTTGATTAGAATAGCAAATTGAACAATCAAAACTCTGAAAATAAAGCTTATAGTATTTAAGAAAGAAATCTACCTGTAACAACTCTGTACTGTAAGTATATATTTTCACAAACAAAACTAAAAGATGTACTTACACGTAAGTTTTTTCTTAAACATTAAAAACTTTCATATATTAACATTTATTTTCAAAGTTTTTTTCCTAATGAGAAAGGTTTGTCCAATTTGCTGGTTTGTTTTCTTTCCCTTAATTTAATTATATTGATATGTATAAAATGATTCATATAATCTCCATGAAAATGATATAGACGTGAGTTTTAAGTTTCACATATTTCTTGTTGCCAACTTCTAACCACACATTTTTTATGATTGCGTATAACAGAAACTAATTTAAAAACTAATGTTTTCGAAAAATGGAAAACGAAAAAGTTTGTTAAGGTGTTAGTAGAATTTTGCAGAAACAAGAAGTTTTATGAATAAAGAGTATTTAAATTCATTAAATCGAGACTATATAGATTATCTTTGTTACGGTACGTCGCGTTACACCCAATAAACTAAACTATTTTTAATACTATTGTTTAGGGATCGGAAACAAATTAAAAGATGATTCTCGAAGGTTAAACAACAAAAGAGTAAGTGACACGTATCAACCAAATATTACCTGTGCAGCTAAACTAAAGTTGTCGAAAGCAATTGAGAAAGCTTATTTCGTCGTGACGTACGTTGAGTTGAAAAAAATTGAAAAGTAAATAAATAAGTATATAAAGAGAAATGTACGTTCGTGGTGGTGTCTTGTATTAAAATGGTCCACCACGTACATTTCTCTTTGTATTAAACTATAAAGAGAAATGTACGTACGATCTCAGCGCTCGTCTGCCTGTGACAGCGTTTTATTCACTGTTCCCTATTAAATCGACGGCTATGCTTCGTTGGCTACGTTGGACCTACGTTTTCATCTTCAATTAATTCTCTTTCTATATAAAACAAATAATTCTTCGTACTCTAGCTTTTTAGTTGTCATTAATTCCTCGTATAGCTTTCCAAATTAACTATATATAATAATTTATATTTTTCTTTCTATATTTTATTACATTCATGGAGCTACTGCCATTGTTATATACTAGTTGATTTCTTAAATAGTCTCATGACTCATTCTTGTGTGTGATATCAGTAGATGAAGATGAAGATGAAGCAATTGTACTTTTAAGAAATTTAAGAGGTTTGAAAATATTTTGGAACGTATTAAAATGGTTGTCATCAATTCTTACTAGTAAATAAAATATTATGTTGGTTTATGGTATCAATGCTGTTCATATAAAATTATATTCCCTCTGTTTCAAATTAGTTGTCATTTTGGCAAAATATATTTGCAAATATTTGAACGTATCTGGACATGTTTTGCATTGCAAATACGTCCAAATATTTGCAGATACATTTTCTCAAAACGACAACTAATTTAAAACGGAGGGAGTATATATTATCCACTTCCGATTTTAGATATTACTAAAAGAAATATGACAATAGTCGTAATATTTAATAGGTGCATGCATCATATATTCGTTAGTTTTTCTATAAACTGCACAGAAGTCACGTTATTTTCAGCTCCCCAGATTATACGTGATTCAATTTTCTAACTTACAGAATTTAATAATTCGTGATTTATAACTTTCCAAAAATAAACACAAATAGTTCAAAAATCTCATAAGCATGAGAAAACTATACTGTGTCACTATTTAATTTGAACCACAAACAGAAGCACGAAAGTGGTCCTTTATCTGATTTTCACAACACCAAATGATAATTTCTCCTTCTCTTCGAGGAAACGAAGAATAAGAAAAAGCACTAACTAAAGTGCGAAAATGACCAATTTATAATGGTCGCTCACTGTACTATCCATAAATCTTATTATCTACTTTTATTAAGAAAGAAAAAGATTTAAATTTCAAACTAAAAGTTTAAAGAAACTGCCTCAATGATTTGTCTTAACACACATTTCTATTACTAACGATCGAATACATCGTCTCCACTCTAAAGTTACATTCACAAGATAATTAAGTATACAAGTTCACGAGTTAAAACTCTATTTGTAAGTTATAGGCTTATAGCCAACAGTATGAGATTGTAATTTGTTAATCATCAGAGGAAGTAAGAAACCATAAATCAACTATATAATTAACAATGGCATGCATAAATAAATCTGATAATAAAATAAAAATAGATGGCATAAACAAATTTGTATTCCTAGAAAACTCAATCCATTGTTGTTAACAAGAAAAAAACCCAAAACAAAAAAAAAAAACGAAAGCTGAAAACGTTAAAAATTAAAAAGCTAGTAAAAAAACCAAAACCAAGGAGTGAAGTGTTTATTCTGCGAAGAGAGCGAACTTCATCTTGTGGTTGCAGCCGGTGCGGTCTCCACTGACAAAGTAGTAAATCTGACGCCTACGGAGAAGAAACGTGAAGCCTCCGGTATTTATGCTCCACGCCTCCCTATTTTTTGGGACTAGCTTCCTCCCTCCGCTCACATCACATAACTTGTAGCTCCTCATGTCTGGGAGCAAGTAGACATCGGTCTTGTTCTTGTTGGTCTTTTGACCGTTGTTGAACTTGAAAGCAACAACATCGTTGACGTAAAACGGTGCATGCTTTATGGCCCACTCTTTGTAATCGAATCCGCTTTGCCACACATTGAGCTCAATCCTTTTATTATTAGGCGGTATCGGAGTTGTGTCGTTGTATGGAGAGCCGACACTGCCGCTTGAGTGGTTTGATGGGGCCGTGTGGTTGTTTGGGGAACCAACACTACCGCTTGAGTGGTTCGATGGGGACGTGTGGTTGTTTGGAGAGCCGACGGTACCGCTTGAGTGGTTCGATGGGATCGTGTGGTTGTGTGGAGATCCAACGCCACCGCTTGAATGGTTTGATGGGGCGGTGTGGTTGTGGTGGCTTTTATGTGTAGAGCCAGTGCCTCTCCAGTGGTTTGAGCCGGAGCTGCTTCCCCAACCCCAGCCTGTACCTCTTCCGTGAGAGCTCCATCCCCAACCCCAACTTGAACCCGAACTACCAGAAGAACCCCAACCCCAGCCCCAGTGGGAACCAGACCGGCCAGAGCTCCAACTCCAGCTCCATGCATCAGCGGTGCCGGAGAAGACACATGCAGTGAACACTAGGACCAAGAGTAGCTTGCGTGCCACAGAGAGATCCATCGCTTACTTCTTTCTTCTTTCTTCTTGGATTAATTGATTGCTAAACTATTCTTTTTCTCTCTCGTTCTCGCTGTTTGTTTTTGTGAGCTCTTTGGAGTTTAGAACTTCTCTTTTTATAGCCAGAGAGTAGGTGAGGGTCGGTTTCCAATTTGGATAGGAATTATGAAGTTTCATTATGTCGTCTCTCCAAAAATTAACCAAAATTATCTCGTCTTTTTCCAGTTTATAATCCTATCTCCTCTCAAAATTCGAACACGAAAAGGATTATGAATATATTTTTAAAATTCATTTAGGATTATTGCTCAAGTTTACAGATTCTTTTATTTTGTTTCTGCTAAACATAAATAAGAGTGACAGTGTAGTAGTGAGTGTACCACGAGTTCCACTAAAATAAAAGTGACAATATTGAAAATCTGAAAAGTCACAAGTCTCAAGTCTCAACTATGAGAAGAGACAAAAACAGAACTCAACTCCACTTCTGTTTTATTCCACATTTCTCTGTATTTGTCTTTATTGTCTCACTCTTCTTCCATCCGAACATGAAAGAGAACCTTAAAAGAGGCTTGTAAATGAATTTCAATCTCAACATAGTTGCAGTAACAGTTGACAATAATCTAAACTCAAATAATAGATTCTAAAAATCAATAAACCAAAACTCGAATCTTAGATAGGCTTAATGAGTCTCACAGTTTATGTGAAATCGTTTGGCTTCCCAACATTGATGTTCTGTTCTGCCAAAAACTCTGTTATGGCCTTCTTTTGCCATCCTTTGAAGCTCCTGTAACAAAAGAAAACAAACACCCTTTTACTCGTACGAGAATCAAGAATGCAAAACAATATTCAGAAGAGCATGATTTGTAGAGTTTACTTGTGATCAAGATGAGCCAAGATCTCTCCTCCGGGGAATGATGCTTTAGTAGCTTCAAATCCTGCTTTGATTGATTCTCTCCAAGTCCCACCAATGTAACTCTCTCCAGGTTTTGGTTCTTCCATTGGTAATGAGTATCCGGAAAGCAAATGTCCTACCCAAATATCGTCTTTCCTGATGAACTCACAACAACAACAACAAAATCAGACAGAGAAGGGATTTAAAGTTATGCTCAAAGAGTTGTTGAAAACTTACCAAATGACATCCATGTGACGAGGAGCATAATGTCCACCTCCAATCCCTAGAAGAACTTTCTTCTTTCCAGATTCACTGTTCCAGTCCCCAATGGCTTCACCGCCTCCTAACCCAAGCCCTTCCCACATTAGCTGGATGCACACAACACACAATGCTTATAGTAAATGAAAGCAAGGCTTATTCTCGAAGAACTGATATAGACTAAAAGCTACTACAAGCAAACGTTAAACTCAACGAAGTCTTCAAATCAACAAGACGCAACAAGAAACAAGAACAAGGACCTTGTTTCTACCTCTTGAAACCATTTAATGTAACAAACTTTTTTCACTTACAAGAGCCATGACTTGAGCCGCGTCTTGTCTCTTCCAGTATTCCTCTGTACTACCTATACATACACAAAAAGCAAACGATCATATCATTTTGGACTCTAGAACTATCAACACACACAAAGTAAGCATTGGACTACAAGAAAGCAGAGAGCTTTTCAATTCAGATATATGAAACAAAGGAATAAACTTTTTTACCAATCTCCAAGAACATGGTTGGCTTGCTAGTTATTGGTCCATGATGAGTACCTTCCAATGTTATCTGCATCCACACAAAAAGAAACTTACTTAACTCCAATTTTGCAAAGAAAAGCAAAAGCAAATTTCATTGAGTAGACAAACAACAATACCTCGAACTCAGGAACTAAGCTACGAGCTTCAGCCATTTTCTTCAAAAGACGAAACCATGGACCAATCCTAGGGTTTGGCAACGCCGCCCATCCCGGCTTTCCTCCTTGCGGCGGCGATTCTCCCTCTTTCAGATGAAGCACTCCTGCATTTGATCAACAAAGCATCCTTCAGAATATCCTAAAACAAAAAAACCCATTAAGAAAGTTGGGATTTTTATGCATACCAATCGGGTGAACAGTTAGAGCAGGACGATTCGAGGCGGCGGTGTGACGGCTGAGGAAGATGACTTCGTCAACAGCTTCACCGGTTGCTTCTTCCCACCGTAAATCGAGATCGTCTTCTTTCACTATAGATCTATCGTGTTGAATCACTCTCGTTTGCTGGTTTGTGAAGCTCTTTATGTCCTGAAAATTTTCGAATCAGGCCTGAAAGTTAATTCAGACGAGAGGAAACGCAAAAACGGGTCCGGCGGAGGATGATCAAACGTTTACCGGCGGCAAGACGGGCCCGGTGGTCCATCCCGGCATGGCGAGAAGCGCCGCCGCGGGATTGATCGACGCCGGGTCGCTGGTGGTGGCTACGATCAGAGTCACCATTTTTCTCTTTGACACTGTAACGTGACAAGTGGCGTTTACAAGCAATTGGATGCGAGTTGCGTTTGTTTGAAATCTGTTGTGCGTGTGAAAGAATCGTATAACGTTTCGGCCGCTTATTCTCAAAATCATGAATTGAAAACTAGGAAGTAGGAAGTAGCTTATAACTTTTGGAAAGCTAATTTAACAAGAGCTTTTTTGTTTGGTCAACAAGCTAGCTTTTAATGGTTTCGATTGGTGAACAAGTTTAAAGATTTTATCGAAGAAGACGGTTTGAATATATGCGGTAAAAATGGCTCTTCAGAAAAATAGCGGTTAAAAATCAGAAGTTGAATCAAGCAAGCGTTTGCCTTTGGGAGAAAAAAACGAAAATAAAAAAAATAGTTGGTGCTGCCCAGGATCGAACTGGAGACCTTTTGCGTGTAAGGCAAACGTGATAACCACTACACCACAGCACCAGATGTACACTTTATTCGTTTAAAAATATAAAGACACCAATTAATTATCTCGAATAACCCCTTCGACTTCGAGTGAGGATCGGAGAAATTAGACAGATGTTGAGTTGTTCGTCGGCGTTCCAAAGAGTAGCCTTTATGCTTATGGCTCCCAAATTAAAACCTCAGAAACTCCATCAAAGTATGTATTTTTTTGTGAACACGTTTATGATTTGAGTTGAGAGGCAATTTTCTAGTGTAAATCCGTAACGAGGGCTTTGGATTTTTGTGTCTAGTTGCAGAGACTGGGGCTGAGCAATTGGTTAAGAAAGCTAGGACGATGAGTACCCAATCCTCCATGAAAGATGCTTTCTCTACATACGCTGATTATCTCAATAACTTCGTAAGTGTCGTCCTCTTTGCTCGATGCTTTCTGGGTTTTATTTGCTGTTAAAAAAGATTAAACCTTTCATCGTTGGATTGACTAAAGAAATGATCTTTCAAACTGAAACATTGATTTTCCTGTGATTGTTAATCGAGATTGGGTTTTGTAAATCGTTGTTTAGTAAATTCTGACACTTGAATTGGGCATAAAGGAGCATACTTTATCATTTTGCTGAGATTGTAACTCTGTGTGTGTTTCTTTGTAGAATGAGAAGCGGGAAAGAGTGGTGAAGGCAAGTCGTGATATCACAATGAACAGTAAAAAAGTCATCTTTCAGGTTCACAGGTAAGAAGATCAAGCCTCTGATCTTTTCAATGTTTGTTGCCTCTGAAGATCAAGCCTCACAATGAACCTGTTATTGCTTAAACTCTAATCCTCTGTTTGTTTGGGTTCCATTTCTTGATGTGGCAGACTCAGTAAGGACAACAAAGAGGAGGTTTTGGAGAAAGCAGGGAAAGATTTAGAAGCAGTGAGAGAGCAACATTTTGCACGGCTAATGAAAGAGCTTCAAGGGACTGATTTTTGGAAGCTGAGACGAGCTTTTTCCCCAGGGGTCTGTGAGAGAGAGATACATCATTGATTCTCTTGGAAGCATTTTTGATTAAGGATGTTAACGTTTTAGGGTAACTTTCAGGTGCAGGAATATGTTGAAGCTGCAACGTTTTATAACTTCTGTTTGTCCGGGACGCTCTCTACTCTCGATGAGATAAACGCAACGCTTTTACCGCTTAGTGAACCTTCTATGGAGCCGCTGCAGATCAATATCCTTGACTACATTCTTGGGGTACTTAGACTCTCTTGATTTTTTAATGGTTTTGGCTATTTGGTTTGATTTCAACATTGTGTTTGAGTATGGTTTCATTTGACTTTGCACAGCTTGCGGATTTGACTGGAGAGCTAATGAGGATGGCGATTGGTAGAATATCAGACGGTGAGATCGAATTCGCGCAGCGGATTTGCCAGTTTGTTAGACAGATCCATAGGGAGCTAATGCTGGTCGTGCCAAAGATGGATGACAGTTACGACATGAAATCCAAGATGGAAGTGATGCTTCAAAGTGTGATCAAAATAGAGAATGGTAATACACATCTTGAGCAAATATGTTTTCAGTATTGTTTCAGCTTTTATGTCGGTTTTGTAATCTTTTTCGTTTGGTTTGTTTGTTTGACTAGCTTGCTTTAGCGTTCATGTGAGAGGATCAGAGTATATTCCACTGCTTGGAGATGATGCACCAACATCATACTTGTTTGGAGGTGCCGATCTTGAATGAGAAATTGTCATCATTGTTAAGGTTGGTATGTTTTTGGATTTCTCCTGAGGAATAGAATCTTTTGGTATTGAATGTTTTGAGAGAGTTTAGCGACATATTGCTTGCTGATGAACTTTAAAAGCAGCAGAGTCTCATATCTCTTTTGTTGCAAGACTTTTAAACATTAATGGTACAACAAGTTGTAGAAATTTGTCTCTTGTCATAAATTGAACTTTTCTATTTATCGCCACTAGATTACATTTGGAACTAAAGTCTAATAGAATCTTACAATTGCTTTCTTCCTGTTCTTGGTTCTTGTTTGTTTGTTCTAAATGGTTAACTTTATTATAAATGAAAATGACCAAATAAATACAACAATAATAATCTCTAGATATTAACATTAATTTTCTTTTAATGTACCAACTTTATCCCTAGTCCTAATCTAGTATGTATGTATATAGAGTTGTAGTATTTTGTTCAAGCTATGTGACAATCGATGACAAAATCCGAGACCACGCTTTCAAAGTTACGGGCAGGATCTAATTCTACCCAAGAATGCAAAGAGTTGATGTCTTATCTTCCAAAAGACAGAAACTTTTTCACAGAGCATCTCTATCAATACCAAGGATTTTGGTACCCACCAAACCTCTTAGAAGGTGTTCTATATAGCCAGAAGCATTTTCACGCTAGAGATTCAGACATCATCCTCGTAAGCAGTCCTAAATCAGGCACAACTTGGTTAAAAGCACTAGCCTTTGCTTTGGTTCAGAGACAAGAGTTCCAAAATCCTCTAGAATCACATCCTCTGCTCCATAACAATCCACATTCCCTAGTGCCCTTTATCGAAGCTTTCAACTTTCACACTCAAAAAGATACTTTTCCTAGGATCTTCTCTACACACATTCCTCTTGGGTCTCTCCCTGAGTCCGTTCAGGACTCGTCTTGCAAGATTGTGTACTGCTGCAGGAACCCGAAGGACGCGTTTGTCTCGCTTTGGCATTTCATGAAAAGATTGGTTCTCAAGGAGATGGTTGGTTGTACAATGGAGGAGATGGTGAGAGGGTTTTGTAGAGGGTCAAGTGTTTATGGACCCTTTTGGGATCATGCATTGGAATACTGGAAAGAGAGCCTAGAAAACCCGGAGAGAGTTTTCTTTGTTATGTATGAAGAGATGAGAGAGAAGCCAGAGGAATGGGTGATGAAGATCGCTGAGTTCTTGGGATGTTCTTTTACAGAGAGAGAGGTTGAAGATGGAGTCTTGGAGGATATTGTAAACCTGTGTAGTCTTGAGAATCTGAGTAAGTTGGAGGTTAACGAGAAGGGGAAGTTGGTGAATGGAATGGAGACTAAGGCTTTCTTCAGGAAAGGCGAGATTGGAGGATGGAAAGATACTTTGACTCCTTTGCTGGCTGAGGAGATAGATAAAGCCACTGAGGAGAAGCTGCTTGGTTCTGCTTTTAGATTCTTTTGCTAAGAATCTGCTTAATTAAACTTACTTTTCTTTTTTTTATTGAACTTTTTTCCAATGCATTGTTGTTTACTTGTTTTAATGGTTAAATATGCATCATTACAAATACATACCAACAAAAAAAAAAAATATCACCACAAGTCAACTAAATAAATATTTAGTTTAAGGGCCAGAAGAGTCGTGAACTAATTCTCTTTTTCTTCTCATTTTTGTTTCTTAGATATTATTTCTACGTGCTCTTCAAGTAAAGGATGTGTTGACTACTATTCCACCATACATAATATTTTAGGACTAAAGAGAAAGTATTTGCTTTATTTACTTGTAGAGCAAAACACAACAATGCATATAAAAAGAGCACACAAGCATTATCCTCAGTTACAATACAAAGCTTAAGAAGAAAAAAGGCATCTCATATAGTTTCAAACACTTTTGCAAGATTGATCTATTCTCTTAACAATGTCGTCATCTGTTCCTGATTACTTGGGAGATAAAGATCTGACACAAGAAACAAGAGATCTGATTTCTTCTCTTCCAAGCGAGAAAGGTTGGTTAGTGAGCCAAATGTATCAGTACCAAGGACGTTGGCAGACACAAGCTCTGTTACAAGGAACCTTGAAGTGCCAAAAGCACTTTGAAGCCAAAGATTCCGACATTATCCTCGTCACCAATCCTAAATCAGGTACCACCTGGTTAAAGGCTCTTGTCTTTGCGCTCATCAACCGACACAAGTTTCCAGTTTCTTCTTCTTCTTCTGGTAACCATCCTCTTCTTGTTACCAATCCACACCTTCTTGTGCCCTTCTTGGAAGGAGTTTACTACGAGTCTCCAGATTTCGATTTCTCCGAGTTGCCTTCTCCAAGACTCATGAACACACACATATCACATTTCTCGCTGCCTGAATCCGTGAAGAGCTCTTCTTGCAAGATTGTGTATTGCTGCAGGAACCCTAAGGACATGTTTGTCTCCTTATGGCATTTTGGGAAGAAACTTGCTCCTGAAGAAACCGCGGATTATCCTCTGGAAAGAGCGGTTGAAGCCTTTTGTGAAGGGAAGTTTATAGGAGGACCCTTTTGGGATCATGTGTTGGAGTATTGGCATGCAAGCCGCGAGAATCCGAGCAAGGTCTTGTTTGTTACTTACGAGGACCTCAAGAAACAGACCGGAGATGAGATCAAGCGGATCGCTGAGTTCTTGGGGTGTGGTTTTATTGGAGATGAAGAAGTGAGTGAGATTGTGAAGTTGTGTAGCTTTGAGAGTTTGAGTGGTTTGAAAGTCAACAGAGAAGGGAAATTGCCAAATGGAATGGAGACTAAAGCTTTCTTCAGAAAAGGAGAGACTGGAGGATGGAGTGATACTTTGACTGATTCCTTGGCAGAGGAGATTGATAGAACCATGGAAGAAAAGTTTCGAGGTTCTGGTCTAAAATTTTCTTGTTGAACAAATCAAATCTTTGAGACTTGTTGTTGTGTTTAATTTTGTTTTTGCTTTGATAATGTTTTCTACAATCTTGTGAGTTTTTTTTTTTTTTTTTTTTCCTTGTTGTCTGTGTTTTTTTTAATTAATAAAGTGATGCAATATTACTTCCTTTTTGTTACTTATGGAAAATAAATGTTATTATAAAATTATTGTTTGTTCAATAAGACAATTGTTCATGTCCTGTTTTACACTTGTACTATATGAGCCCTTCATGTGTTCCATGTGCTAAACACTTAGTGTGTCTACTGTCTATGGCAGGCTCACTTGCGAGATCGAGTTGTCCAAATCAACAAAACCAAACTTTTAATTATATAATATTTTTTTTAACTAAAAAAAAAAAAGAACCACAAATGGGAATTGGCTTCTGAAGAAAATTACAATAGTTCAACCATAATTTATTTTTTGATCGCCAGTAATAATAATGAATCGTATCATTTTGCAGATGTCAAAGAGAGTCTCGCTTCCTATTGGAGACAATTCTTTTCAAGATAAGATTCTTATCTCACAATAGAACCAAAACGTAGTGGTTAATTGGTTGTGTTTGGCTTAGGACGCACCCGTGATCTAAAACGTGTACAAACTCTTGTCATGTACACTTGTCTTTGTATATGAACGTAAACATGTGAGACCGGATTTTCCAAAGCATCAAATCAAAAACTCTTCTATCTCCTCTTTTTGTTCTTTCACTATCCTCTCTTTTTGAACACACACAGAGAGGAAACAAGAAAGTATCACAATGGATGCTTATCAAGAACCTCACCTTCCAAACTACATGAAAGACGACAAGGTTACTCAAGAAACCAAGAGCTTGATGTCTTCTCTTCCTGCAAACAAAGATTTCATGGGTTACGGTCTCTACAACTACAAAGGTTGTTGGTACTATCCCAACACACTCCAAGCCGTTCTTGACGTGCAAAAACATTTCCGGCCAAGAAACACCGACATAATCCTTGCCTCTCTGCCCAAAGGTGGTACCACTTGGCTCAAATCCCTTGTTTTCGCCGTTGTCCATAGAGAAAAATACCGCGAGAACCCCCAAACTCACCCTTTGCTCTCACAAAACCCTCATGACCTTGTTCCATTTCTCGAGCTTGAGTTATACGCTAATAACCAAACTCCGGATCTCACAAAGTTTCCTTCTCCTACAATCTTTTCTACACACATGCACTTAAACACATTGCGTGAAGCCATCACAAAGACTTCTTCCCCACCATGCAAAATCGTGTATGTGTGTAGAAACATCAAAGACACGTTTGTCTCCGGTTGGCATTACAGAAACATGTTGCATCGCACCAAGATGGATGAAGCCACTTTTGAGCTAATGTTTAATGGATACTGTAGTGGAGTTCTCTTATATGGACCCTATTGGGAACATGTGTTGAGCTACTGGAAACAAAGCTTAGAAGATAAGAAGAATGTTCTTTTTATGAGGTACGAGGAGATCATTGAGGAGCCTCGTGCGCAAGTCATGAGACTCGCCGAGTTCTTGGATTGTCCATTCACCGAGGAAGAAGAAAAGAGTGGATCCGTGGAGGAGATTTTGAAGCTGTGTAGTTTGCGTAGTCTGAGTAACTTGGAGGTTAATAAGAAGGGGACAACGAGAATTGGCGTAGATTCTAATGTATTCTTCAGGAAAGGTGAAGTTGGTGACTGGAAGAATCATCTCACTCCTCATATGGCCAAAACCTTTGACGAGATCGTTGAGTGTAGACTACGAGGTTCCGGTTTGGTATTTCAATAAGGTTGTGTTACATTAAATTAAAATAAAATCCTCTAGCAGCTTAGTTGCTCAAACAGAAGGATAGAGTTGTTTTTTTTTTGGAAGGAAATTTCAACAAATAAGGTTGTTTTGTGTTATGTTCTTGGCTTTAAATTTTCATGTGTTTTCTTCGATTGGATTTGTTGATAGTGTTCTGATGTTTTTTAATAGAGCCATTCCAAAAAATGGGGTACAGAATTGTACAAGAAATCTAACATTGTAAGACTATCCAAAACGTTAATTTTATCCAATCTCATACGCATAGGTTTTATCTCTAAATGGTCCATTTTTAAGATTGGCTAACCATAAAAAGACATGCGACCGGCATGTACGCACTTCTTGTCTCTTCTATCCCCAAATTTTAAACACCATTATCTATTTTCTAATTCATCTTTTATTTTTTACTTTTACATTTGTTATTATGATCAGCATTACGACAAGCTCAGATTCTGCATGCGTAAGCACTTGTTGCTTCATCGAGCAACAAATTGTCGGATCTTTTGAAAATGGCAATCTTCTTACCGCCAGATAGTTAGAACGCCACTTTCTCCAATGTCAGAATAAATATTGAGTGTGTGAGTTCTTAAGCATGTCAACTAAGTACACGTAGCTAACTATATATAAGAAGAAAACAAATTGGATTCTAATTGGTTAGAAACTAGTCCACGTCAGCCTATGAGGTTCCTTGTACGTAAAGATTCTCACTTTGTCCTTCTATATACTAATTTAAACTCCTCTCTGTTGATTCTTTTTGCTCTTCAAAAACACACATTTTCTCACATCTTAAAGAGAAAAAGGTTTATAGGTTCTCATGGCGATTTCGATATCCGGAGCTGTGCTTAGTGGGTTGAGTTCTTCGTTCCTCGTCAGCGGAGGCAAGAGAAGCGGCGTTGGCGGTGGAGATATGATAATTGGCCGGAAGAATGTGATTATTGCACCTCAGCGCAAGAAGTCGTGGGTCATGGCCGCCGTGAAAGGTGACGACAACTCAAAGCTCGATCCACAATGGCTCGATGATGCCTCGTAAGTCTACTTTTTTGGAGATTTTTGAGATCGACATAGGTAATGGAGATTGGCTAATTAAAACTTTTATTTAATTTAACATGAAAAAATCATAAGATGATAATTATTCTGAACAATTTGATCAATATTGAATTATCTATAATCCTACTTAAAAAGAATGTTGAATGAGAGAAATAGTACACATTATAATTCCACATCATTTTAACCCTCTAATCAAAATGTAATGAATTTCTTGTTCCTTAATTAGAGATCAACACATTTGGTTACAAAAAAACAGAAGATTTATCTTGAATTTTTTTTTTGGTATCTAATCCTAGGGAAATTTATAAAATATAACGCATAATTTTCAATAAACTAACCAATATAAATACTCATTCATTCATTATAATGCTTTTTGTATAATTTGTCACACACACACAAATAAAAGACTGAAAGCTTCCGAGTACGTGAAGGAGAAAGGAAGCGAAGTGGGACACGTGTCTGCACATGAAGGGCAAGAGATTTTAGATCAGATACAGAGAGTAAAAGACTACTTCATTGAGAAAGCTGGTGAAGCGATGGACATGGTGGTTGAAAATGCTCACAAGAGTTCAGATTTTGTGACGGAGAAAGCCAAAGAGACGGAGAAAGAAGTTGTTTCAATGACGGAGAAAGCCAAAGATTTCGTAGTTGAAAAAGCCGGTGAAACTAAAGAATACATCGTTTTAAGAGCCGGTGAAGCCAAAGAATTGACGACAGATGTGAGCAAGATAACAGCTAAGTACATTGGAGAGAAAGCAGCAGAGGCAAAAGAAGCGATACTGCCTCCAAAAACTTAAAGAGAGATTATGTTAGTAATTTCCGGCCGGTTCTCATATGCATTTGGTTTGGAGCCCTAAATAATTATTGATGCAAATATATATACATTATTCTATATTATATATGTGAGAATAAATTGATGCGTAGACCTAATTAAACTGTTATAGTCAGTGTATTTTTGTATTTTTTCTTGTTAAAGGATTTTCATTTGTGTATTTTTGTATTTCATGCATGTATTCGATCCTTCTCGTTCATATTTCAAAAGAAAAATGTGGAATGTTTTTTTTTTAAATATTAATTTAAAATGGTCAAAGTTATGTAGGACACTGTGTGTGTGATTTGTGGACACAGAACTGATGTGAATCGTAAGTAATATACTAAAATCACTTTCTTTAGTCAGTTTCACGCAAATCCCTAACCCAATTTTGGTGGACCATTCGACCACGGCATTCGTAAGTTAAATGTTTCATTAAATAATTATATTCTGATATTATCTTGATAGTTCTTAAAAAATAATATTATATATGTTACAACAAAACAATATAACTTACCACCCTTGTTACGGAAAAAAAAAACAACACAAAATTTTGGTAATCATAACAAAGACCGTATAATTACATTTAATTTATCAACCGATAATTTTGATCTACATCTTAAACCATGTTTGGTCAAATTTGGTCGACGCCTATATCCAGAGATAAGTTCTCGGTGGGTTCAAAAGTTGTTGGGATTTGATGCTTATCTGAAGAAAATGGTGGAAATAGAAACAAAAACTCAAAAAGAATGTCGTCAAACAAACGGAAAATTCAAAGACACTGTTAGGCCGATTACGAAATTTCTTGATTCTGTTGCTTTATTATTCTTCTATCTATTCAGAAAGTTGATACCACCTTTACTACTTGCGTCCACCATCCATATTGATATTATCATACGATACATTAATATGGTTAACAAAGATATGACATACACTATATATAAGATTCGAATAAACTTTTTTAAAACAGATAATAAAAGTGACTAAATGTTAGGTTGGTTTCATATGCTCTCACCTTCAATATAACACCGAAAATAAATTCAAATCGAACTAAAAGAATACTCAAAACTTATATCAGTCTCTACGTATAGGATTTGTTTCATTCTTAAGATTTGTAAACCATACAGAAACATGCAACCCGCATGCCCCTTCTTCTACGCACATCTCTTAACACCACCCTTCTTTATATTCTTCTTCTTTATATTTTTCATTTTAAAAATTTGTGTGTGTTTATATTCAAATAAAATATATGAAATGAGAGAGTAACATGCGACAGGCATGACCCTTCTCTCTATGCATTTCTCCTCTCCCAAAAATACGATCTTCTAAATAACACCACATTTCCCCTCTTCTCATTATCCTATTGAATTAAATATAATTATAATTTAATTTTAATTTTAAATAAAATGATCAAACTCACTTGCTCAATGTCTTATAATCTTAGTTACGTTGAGCTGTTTATTTTTTCTTTTTCTCTTGCAAGCATGTTAATGTTATGTTATTGGCATACGTGTTTTTGGTACAATAAAAGTTAATACACGTGACGAAACCAAGAACTAACATAGATATGTAACTGCTTCTAATTGGTTAGAAACTAAACCACGTCAATCTCTGAGCTTCCATATAAAGATTGTCACTTTGTCCCCCCCTACTAAACTAAACTAAACTCTTCCCCTTTGATTCATTTACCCCAAAAACACGTACACACTTTCTCCACAAACTTAAAGAGGAAAGGCAAAGATTCTCATGGCGATGTCGATATCCGGAGCTGTGCTTAGTGGCATGAGTTCTTCGTTCCTGATCAACGGAGGCAAACGAAGCGGCGTAGGAGGTGGATCTATGAGAGTTGGCTGGAGGAATGTAGTCGTTGCACCTCAGCGCAAGAAGTCGTGGCTCACAGCCGCCGTGAAAGGTGATGACAGCTCAAAGAATGACCCCAAATGGCTGGATGATGCCTCGTAAGTCTTCTTGTTTGGGGGAAATTTCAAAACTACACCTCTTAGGGTGCCAATTTTCAAAAATACACCTCTATAATGTCTATTTTCAAAACTACACTTTTTTCATTGATTAAAAGAACTCTAAACCCTAAAATATAAATCCAAAACCCTAAAATCTAACATTGAACCCTTAAATCTAAACCCTAAACCCCAAAATTTAAACCCTAATCTAGGATTAGTGAACCCAAACATATATATTAAAATTGGGAAAATGTGTATTTTTGAAAATTTCCACACTATAGGTGTAGTTTTGAAAATTTGTACCTCAAGAGATGTATTTCATAAAATTTCTCTTCTTGTTTGGAGATACTTTAGATACGATATATAGGAGATCGAGTGAAATAAAACTTTTGTTTAATTTTTGAGTCGTTTGGTGAATGCTAATACTACTAAAATATATTTTAGAGAGAAATAATACACATTATGATCTATTCACATTAACATCATTACTTTTAGTTAGTTATTTAAAATATAAAAAATAGTCGAAAAATCAAGATTTCTTAAACTTTTTTTTGGTATACACTTCCTTATTCATGATCAATCTTGATAATATTTATAAAATATGACACATGAAAAAATTATAATTTGACCGAAATAGCTACTAGCTAGTGTATGTATTAAAATAGCTACATGAGTTTATAAATACCCCATTTTCTTCATCGTAGTAATTTTGTGAAATTGTCACAAAAAAATATAAAAGACAGAAAGCTGGCGATTTCGTGAAGGAGATGGGAAGCGGAGTGGGACACGCGTCTGCTCAGAGAGGACAAGAAGTTAAAGATCATATGGAGAGAGCAAGAAACTACTTTACCGAGAAAGCTGGTGAAGCGATGGACACAGTCACGGAACATGCTAAGAGAGCTTCGGAGTATGTGACGGAAAAAGGCAAAGAGACGAAGGAAGAAGCTGTTTCAGAGACGGAGAAAGCCAAAGATTTCATCGCCGAAAAAGCTGACGAAGCCAAAGAGTCTGCGACGGATATGCACAAGAAAACGACTAAGTACGTCGGAGATAAAGCATCAGAAGCTAAAAAAGCGATATTGCCTCCAAAAACTGAAGTGTAGAATATTGTGTTGGTAAATTAGTAATAAACGATATTCTCATATATGTATATTTGGATAAACAAATAAATAAATTGAGGTAATACTGTGAAAAATATTTTTTTATTTTGTGAGAATACACACTCATAAATACTAATATATCCAAGTGGTGGTTAATCATTCAAATGCAATTCTGTAAACAAAATATACCATATACTACGTTAAAGCTAGAATTCGACCCCCCAAAAAAAAAACAAGTAATAAGTGAAAGAAACACAATGGTATCAACCTTGCGAGAGTGCAGGTGTTTTGGAGACTAGCTAAACCTTGAGTATGTTTCAACTTACTAATATTTTATACAGATTCTTTTTTTTTTCAATAAACAATATGTCAGTTTAATGTTTGTAAACTGTAACTACTAATGTTGTTAGTTCTGAAAATATTTCAACATCGTCAAAACATAAATGTTAAAAACACTGAAAGAATATGGTTTAGTCCGATTTGGCTTAGACTTTTACCGTTATTGATCGAATCGTACACAAATGCATTCTTTAAAGAATTCTTCGACCTTTTATCGGCCTTGGGATACGACAATCAAAACTGAAGTCTCTCTTTTGATGTAGGTTAAAATTCAAGATAAATAAAAAGAATTTTGCGTTCCACTGTTTTGTTTATCTCTTTTGCCTTTTGCGAATCAATCTTTCTCTCTTTTCTTACTTCTTTTCGTACTCTCTGTTTTGACATCAAAACAAAAACTTATAATGCTCAAATGGTACAACGTACGCTTAATAATTAACCAGAAGTTGCATTTGTTCATAGGATACTCTTTAAAACGTAAATCTCCAACATAATGTTGTTCAGAAAGATAGAGTATGTGTTTATACATAAAAGTATTATTTTTATTTAAATAAAAGAGAGTAGAAGTAGAGAAAGAAGAGAATGAGCAATGCGATGTAACATGCGGCCGGCATGGTCCCTCCTTCTACGCATTTCTCTTTCACCCAAAGATTTGACTTTTCTAAACAGCATGCTTTTGCCCTTCTTTTTTTTTATATTCCATTAGAATCTTTTACTATAAATAACTAAATAAGTAATAACTAATCAAACTCAACTAGAGTTTTTCATGTTCTTAATCGATTTCTTAATTTTATGTTTGTTGGAGGCATGGTCAACGGGATTTCTCTGCGGCAGATTCTGAAATCTCAGCAATGCAAATTCTTTTTACATACAAAATTTCACCTTATGTTATACATCAATTGATCTATTATAGCCCCTTTAGGTGTTGTTCACCGATCTACATATACACGAATCACGAAAGTTAAAATTGTTTGATAATAATGTGGAGATTTAAGGAATATATATCCACCAAATTTAATGGAAGTGTAGTGTGACATGCGAAACATTTTTCCTTAGATTATGGTCCATGTTAAGTGCACAAGTGTTCATGTTCTTTTTATTGCCGTTATGGTTGGATTCCACTAAATTAGAAACATCCAAAATCTTTGGAGTGTAGTAACACATGACATATTCGTCCAATTCAATAAAACCTTGGAAAAGAAACTCATGAGTTAATAACAAAGCATAAATAAAAAATCATTAATATGGTACAAGGAAAAGAAAAAAAAAAAAAAAGAAGTTTTATTGTATAAGTTTTGTATGCAAAAAAAAACAAAACATATTTTTTTATCAGCTGGTGTGTTCTCTGTTTCACTACCTAATTCAGGAAAAAAAAACCTCGTTAACCGAAGTTTAAACAGTTTAATTGTCTGCAATTTACTAATACAGGCAGGATCTAAGAGGTGAAAGAATCTTTTCCGAACCGGTTTAACCGACTAATACAGAATCTTTCTTTTCCTAACCGGTTTAACCGACTAATACAGAATCTTTCAGCTAACCGGTCTAACCGACCAACTGATCCTGTGGAAAACGATGGAGGGGGCGGCTGCTAACGTGCGCCGAGTGTATTTATGAGTAGACTTCCTCCTCCTCAATCCTCAAATCCTCATCAACAAGAAGAATCAGAAAATTAAACAAATCCATTTGTGTGGACTCTTTCTTCGCAGGTTTTGAGGAGATTCGTGTCGGCTGAATTTGTGTCAGACTCAGCATAGTGTGAGTTAATTTTTCCATTTGCATCTCTCTTCTCTTCTCACTCCTTCTTCTTCCTCTTCTTCTTCTCTCCACCCAACTTTATGTTTATTATTAATTTATAATCTCTTTCCAAATACATGAGATATTTTTCTCCTTTCTTTCTTTTGTATATAGATAGTATAAATTAACAAACTTTCTGGTGGTTTTCTCTCTGGCAATTGCAGTTGCAAAGTCGTCTTCTTCTTCTTCTTCCAGATTATCAACAGCGATTCAGTCAATAGAAGGGGACAAATCAATTCCCCCTTTTTGATTTCTTCTTCTTTACCGGCGCGAAGATCTTAAGGCGAGCACAAACGAAATCGGAAATGGGTTCGTTTTCGTTACTTTTTCTCTGTTTTTTCGTTTCCCCTAATCTGATTCGTTTTGAAATTGATGATTGACCCAAAATTCGCCTCTGATGATTAGTTTCCGAAACTGGGTTTTGTTCAATTTTAGGTTTTTTTTTTGTGGTCTTCCTCTGTTTGTAATCGTTCTAGGTTTAGTCTCTGTTTCAATTGGGTTTTTCGTTGAAATTATATGATTGATTGAATATATATTTGGTTTTCTTTCAGATGTCTGCTTGAGCTATTCATATCAGATGGATGATGAGATTGCAAAGTTCATCAAAAGAGTGAATCCACCAAGGTTATTTGACTAACTCCGAATTGCTGTTTCCTTCTTATGATTCATCTTCAATTTAGACTGATTGTAATTTGATTAATTGTCAATTTTAGGGTTGTGATTGATAACGAAGTCTGCAAGAACGTCACTGTCATTAAGGTAAAACTTTGATCTTCACTAGATTAACGTCTGGTTATAGTTGAAAGAAATGAACATTTTTTATTTGTTTCTTTAGGTGGATAGTGCTAATAAACATGGAATCCTCCTGGAAGTTGTTCAAGTCTTGACTGATCTTAATCTCACCATCAAGAAAGCTTACATCTCCTCTGATGGTGGCTGGTTCATGGATGTTTTCAATGTCACTGATCAAGATGGCAACAAAGTCACCGACGAAATCGTTCTTGAATACATTCGTAAAGTAAGTAAAAGCCATGAACGTCTTGTTGCTATTCATTTCGAACTTTTCTCTGTTAGTTTGATTCTTAACTCTCTTGTGATGTGGTTGTTGCAGGCTCTTGGCCCTGAAGAGTCTTCTTGCTTCAGTCCGTCAATGAGATCAACCATAGGGGTTAAACAATCTGTCGACTTCACTGTGATCGAGCTAACAGGAACCGACAGGCCCGGTTTGTTGTCTGAGCTATGCGCTGTGCTAATGGACCTTCATTGCAATGTGGTTAACGCTGAGATATGGACGCATAGAGCAAAAGCAGCGGCGGTTCTACAAGTGACCGACGAAGCGACCTGCTCTGCAGTCACTGATCCGGAGAGGTTATCCAAAATCAGGAAACTTCTCGGCTATGTGCTTACAGGTGGAAGCAGCAGCAGAAGATCACGCGAACCTAAAACCTTGGTTTCGTCTTCTCTGGACGAGACTTACGCGGACCGTAAGCTTCATCAGCTGATGTTTGCGGATAGAGATTACGACGAGTGGGAGAATCATGTTGATGATGAGGATAAGACTGGGAGGGTGGTTCCAGATGTGGATGTCTCCAATCTGCATGATTTGGATTACTCCATTGTGATGATCAAATGTAAAGATAGACCGAAGCTTCTTTTTGATACTGTCTTCACTTTGACTGATATGAAATATGTGGTTTCACATGCCAGCATTGATGCTGAAGGGCCTGAAGCTTATCAGGTATATATATATACACACATTAGTCTCTCTCTCTCTCTGTTCAGTTTAAGGTTCTTGACTTTGATCCTTGATTCAAATGTTGTTTCAGGAATACTACATAAGACATGCAGATGGATCTCCAGTCAAATCTGAAGCAGAGAGACAGAGAGTGATCAAATGTCTTAAAGCAGCTATTCAAAGAAGAGTCTCTGAGGTATGTTTAACATTTGTTGTGATTTTTGCTTGAAAGAAGAATCATTGTGAGAATGTTGCTTTAACATTTTGGTTTCTTGTTTTTTTTTAGGGCTTGAAGCTTGAGCTTTGCACTACAGATAGAGTGGGATTACTCTCGGATGTGACTCGGATCTTCAGGGAGAACAGTCTTACGGTTACAAGAGCTGAAGTGAAGACAAAAGGAGGGAAAGCGCTCAACACATTCTATGTGAGAGATGCTTCTGGTTACCAAGTTGATGCTAAGACCATAGAGTCGATTAGACAGGTGATTGGTCAGACGATACTTCAAGTGAAAGGAGGAAACACAGAGACGAAACCGAGCTCTCAAGAATCTCCAACTGGGTTTCTCTTTGGTGTTTTCAAGTCGAGATCTTTCGTCAATTTCGGGTTGATCAGATCTTAAGATTCTTCAAGGATCTCTCTCTACTTGTAAATGATAGTAAGTAGTAGTACACTGTGTGAATATGTAAGTAGAAGAAGGTTTAGGTTATCAAAAGTTTTACATCTTTTTTTTTATACAAGGCTTTGTATTAGATTCTTCGTCTTACATTTGTGGATGTATATAAAAGTTGGATTTTTCTTAATGGCCTATCACTTCCAAGTCATTTTCCTTAATCGCTGGTTAAGTAAATCTCGTAAGATTTTCTTTTGACTGGCTCTGTTGAAACATCTATTTCAGATATTTTTTGGTACTGCTCATAATAAACAATCGATGACAATATTTAAGTTTACAATGCTAACTTAAGTATAAAGTCAAAACGAAAATTGGGTAATGATCCTTCTTGATTGGTGTGCCACACCATTGACGTGACAGTTGCCACGTGTCTATCGTTACATCCATAATCTTCTTCTTTTTTATCGTTTTTTAATGAACTCAAAATTGAGAAAAACTTGCACCCACGAGCTTTAAAGTTTTTTTTTAATAATGTTTTGTTGTGGTGGTTGTTGTTGTTGTTGTGAAATTTATTTGGCTTCACGATGATATAAATGTATTTTCGGACGGCAATATTTGATACTCTTTTTGTTCTCTGAAGTAACGCCACTGGCCCCAAAAAATCCTAAAAACATAGAAATCTGAAAACGACTCTACATATTGAGCCAGCCAGACAGAAAATGAGAGAAAATATAAATAAATAAAAACAAACAAAAGAAAGAACGACAGACAAGAAAGATACAGAGATTAAACAGGTAAAAAACAAAAGAGACAAAAAGGATCAACTACATAAGAATGACAATAGTGGTATATCGATGTCAATTAGATCGTCTAGATTTGGTAGATAGAAATCAGGGTTTGGTCCATCTCTACATATGTAAGTTATAATTAGTAAATGGCTTAAATGATACACTGGTATATCATACTTCGATACTTACGTAGTATCGATATTAACCCAAGTTCTTTTTTCAAAAATAAGAAACATATAATGACGACTAGTGACATAACTAAAGGAGATAAGACCAGTCCAAAGTCCAAACTATATACTTTAACATGTGTATATTTCGAAAATATATACATTCAAATGCAAAAATAAATTTCAGGTCCATTAGTGAAAATCTTGGTTGATTCTCGAAATCACTTGTAGATTCTTCTCTCCCATCCTATCACATCACATATAAATCCAAAAGAAAATTTCTCGTAATTTTTATATATTTAGATTACATGCAAATATAAGTTCATTAAGTTCGTAGCTAATAGCTTAGATGAAATACGTTTTAAGTTGTTTCTTTCATATTCTCCTTAGAAACTCCAATCGACTCCCAACGGTACCATTAAATTTCCAATACAAAATCGTAATTAAGTTCTCCTCCTAGTAAATTGACTTGAGATTTTAATTCATCTGATAAATCGTTTGGCATCACATCTCAAGCTATAAATATTCACATGAATCACTTCTTGAAATCCAAAACAAAAAGTAAAAAAAATCTTGAAATTGTGAGCAACGTATCAAAATGAGCGACAACAAGAGTAACGCTAAAGGGAAAGAAGATACTTCATACCTTGGAACAGCGTTAGCCGTCATAGGTGTCATCGGAGCTATCGCCGGATTATTCTCCGGCGCGGATAGGAAGACAATGAAGGCTCCCGGTAAGGATGGTCGAATCTTCAGGGATGCTTTCGAAAGCGACCCGAAAAAGTATTTTCGGAACCTGCGTAACAAATGAATATTTGAGTACGTGGAATTGATATCTCCGAGTTTCTGTTATATGCTTATGTAATAAGAAGAATCATAGCAAGGTTGCATGTGATATGTCATATGTGTAACCATGTTATGGTCGTTATGTTTTATTTTAAGAAAATTTTATCTAATTTCCTCATTGTTTTTCCAATATTCATCATCGGTTGTAGAATATTGGCCAACAAATAAAAAACATGCAATTTAACTTCTTTTTTTGTCTGCAACAAGATAATTAAATCCAGGAATTTACATGCAATCATTTCAAGTTTTGATTAATAAAAAATATAAGTAAACTACAAAGATATTGATATAAAGAAGTGCAATCATATTCCTCGGTACATTCTCTATACTAGTTCTCTCGCAAACATCGCTGGTACAGTTGTAAACTACGTCGGTACTGCAAGACCCATCGTCAATACTGCAATTGATGTCTTCAACGTGGTTAAAGCCGTCGTTATAGCCGAGACCAAATCTCTCTCGGTAATAACTAATAAGACGATGAAGGATCCAAATTTTGAATGATCGTATTTGGGAAAGCAACCTTGAAGTCTACTTAATTAGACCTGCTTTACAAAGAAATGGAGTAATCTTTTGTTTCAAAATGTATGCCAGTAAAGAATTTTTATATAATTTTCAAACTCCTGTTTTGAATTTCGAATATGCCGGTCTCTCTTAACGGTATAATCTGATAATATGGCTAAATCCCTAGCCAATTCAACAACCACACGGTCCACACCCAACTGTATATCAAAGTTAAACCAACCTCATGAACGTAATAAGTTGTTTTCAATAGCATATGATTTGTAATTAATATTTAAAAGTAACATATGCATGAGTTTTTATATTTAAAATTGTAAGTTATTTATTTTTAGTCATTGTAATTGTTATTTTTAAAAAGAACAGATTAATCTAACGTTTGTTCCAAAAATATAGGGATTTCCCCTAATCAAGAAAAAACATTCAAATCCCCTTCGAGTCCTCGACGTCTCTCAGAGAGTAGTCAAGAGTCTTTCAAAAGTCTGCTTAGAAACCCGAAACGAATTTCAAACGGAGTCATTATATTACGTACGGTACACAGATTCTCAAATCTTGACTTGCCCTTGTTTTGTTTGTTCCCATAAAATTTAGTACTCCATACGATACAACTATATAAATGTGTATGAAATATTCATTCATAATTCGTTAAAACCAAAAACGAAAAAGAAAAATCCGATGGGTCTCATAAGTAGTATCGTCCTGTGTATTCTTGCTCTACGTCACCGCCAGTTTTACAATAGCCACCGTCATAACTACAGTCATTGCCGCTGGAGCCATCACCAGATCATATTTTTTCCGATTTCACTCGGCCTTGGAGGAGGAAATGGTGCAACGATGGTAATTGGTTAATTAAATCAAAATGTATGAAATTATGTTGAAGTAATTATATTCTATGATGAAATCAGAATAATAATAATAACAATTTACTATACATGCGACTTCGAGCTTTTCTTGTATTCGTTCGTTTACAATATAATTTTACTATACTGTACTTCGAGGCTCAACACAAAGACAAGCATGAACAATTATAAAGTCTTTACACAAAAAATAAACTTTGCGAGTAGAGATCAATCATATTCAGAAGGTGTTGACAGACCAAGAGCCAGGAATATATGTGACATTTCGTGGTGAACAAGGAACATCCGTAGCGAGTTGTAAATCCGACTGCAGACTGCTCAATTCAAGACTTGGTCATTTCAAACCCTAACTCAAATTACTGCGTATAAAAACTACGTATATCAAAATCACTTAAAATTCCACAAATTTATTCATAATTAATTTATACTCCTGGCTCAAATTTATAACGATCCCGGCTTCAACACTAGTTTATTCTCATCATTAATTTAACTAGAAAGACGAATTATAGCGGCTTCGGAATTATCACATCTCGTTCACACAAAATATGGTTCAAATTGTACAAAGTTGCGTACTTATGAGTATTACAACTTTATTCTAAGAGAAGAATGGTGCAGCGTTATAGACAGAATCACGACCAGTATAATAATAATAATACTGATATAACATTTGAACTGCTTGGAGTAGTTTATATAAAGTGAAATTATATCCATGAACGAGTTGAGAACAACCTCTCATCTCTCTCAGAGCTTGTGCAGTACTTGGAAGAATTAATACCAACGTCTCACAAAAGGACTAATTAATTCACACGCCTCTCGAAGAGTTTTTTGGTTAAACTCCACCTGTATCATTAAATTACGATTTAAACAATTTAAGTGGCCTCCTGGACTCCTTCTAGAAAATTGAACTAATCTTGTAAAATGTAGTCAGTCACTCTCAAACGTCGAAACGCAATAAATTGTTTGATATCGCGTTCAACTATATAATTCCCATGAACGTTATTCTTGCACTTTCACTGGCGGAAAGTCAAAAAGACGAAGAAGAAAAAAAAAGATAAAAACAAATGGATTTTGTAGCAATAGGGATGAGCGTATGCACCGCAGTTACCGCCATAGGTACTGCAACAGCCGCCGTTGGTCCTGCTGCGACTGCTGTAGCCGTCGCCGGAGCTGTCACGGCAGTTGCTGATGTAGCTAATAAAATAAAGAAATGAAAGAATCTCCAGATGGTCGAAGGTTTTTGTAGGACCGAACTATGAGTAATAATGCTTCGAATTATATTCTATCATTGATGTCTTTTTTTTTTGTCTTAGATTATTAATTCATCTCTCTCTCTATCTATCTCTATTGTGCTCAAAAGTCTCAAATGTTTATAACTCTTTCATACTTGTTCTTCACAATGACTGACTTTATGAATTCCACAACTGTTGACGCCAATGGACTTTGATAGTTGATACTGGTTAAAACTATAATTAGATCCTTGCACAATGTCTAACTATAATTAGCTCATTGCACAATGTCTAAATATAATTAGCTCCTTCCAGTGGTACTACAATGTCATCCGATCCATGTACCCTCAAGTCTTTGCAAAATTGTTTAACTTGAGGCAAACTTGATGCATATCAGTGTTTAATCTCTCAGTTAAACTATACTTAGTGACACTGTATCCTTAACGATATCAACACAATTAAGATCAAACATAAACAAAAATTAAAGTCTTTACATTTTTTTTTTCTTTCAAAAGCAATCGTACAGGATAGAGATTAGTCATCCATAAGCATATACGAGGAGAAGAAAAAAAAATTCAATTAAGAAAAGTTAAAATAGATTTGCAAAAAGGTCTGTAAAAATAATATAATTAGGCCAAGAGCCAGAAATCTTTGTGACGTTTCGTGGTGATCAAGTAACCACCATTGTTACTCTTCTTCCTTACCGCAATAGCCATACAATCGGAGTTATGGATACAATACTCAACCACTCCTCCTCCCATGCCTCCCTTGGCGCGCCACTTCCAAATCACTTTCCATTTCGATGTCCTTTTCCTTTGCCCTAGAACCAAAACTCCGGCTCCTTGCTTCTTTGATTCCTCCACTATTGTCTTTCCTTTCTCCTCTGCCGTCTCAACCACCACTATCTCCGTTTTCACCTGAAAACAAAACCACAAATGTCAAAACAAAGAGAGGTTGTTGAATCTAGTAGTAGTACTGGTCACTCTCTCTTATCTGTAATTAAAAGAAATGAGCTTACATTAGGTTTCTTGAGTTGACAAAAGTTCTTCAATGGATGAACTTGTTCATGAGCCCTTGAGGTTCTCTCTCTTTGTGTCTTATCTATAGCTATTCACATAACAAGCACTTTAGTTCATAGAGACTCAACAAGTTGTGATGTAGACTGAATTAAAATCTTAAGTCATGAAAACAAATGAAATACACAAAAGGCAACATTGGGCCCAAAACAAGTCCAAAACAAAATCTGAGGCCCGATCAGAGTAAAATCGTCTCTCTTGTTTTATTCAGGCAAGATTTAAAATGGTTTCTGGCTCTAATGGTTTACCTCTAAATCAAAGGTTAGTAAAATGTAACTTGTGTGTATATATGTAAATTATGAATATATATACCTTGTCCTATGGGTGTTTTGGTGACATGGAGGAGAGTGACATTGTCTTCATCTTGAACGCAATGTGTTAATGCCCATTGAAGAGCATTCTTTGTTTGTGAAGTTGTGTCCACGACAACCATCACTTTCCTCCCACTCTCAGCCTGAGCAGCTCCTCCTGCTTCACCATTCTTATTACCTTCCTCTGTTTTCTGATTCTTGCTATGTTTTGAATCGTTCTTCTTAGAACCAGAAGCACTTCCTTCATCTAATGATTTGCTCGACGATGATCCTCCTTTGAATGATGTCCTAATCTTGTTCACCCAATACCCTGCTGGTTTCCCCATTTTTAAGTCTTTTTCTCTGTTTTTTTGTTTTTGTTTTCTTCTCTGTTTCTTGAGTTTTTGGGTTTGTGTTTTAAATACTGTCTTGTTTGTTTGGTTTTGGTTGGAGGCATTTCTTGAACGTGCTTGCCATGAAAATAAGTAACAACCCCCTTTTGGACTTGTTCAATCGCAATCTAATCCAACCTGGAAAATTCTCATAATATTATATTTCTTATAATGTAATTAATTAGTCCTTTCAATAATCCACATCACAATCTTGTTACAAATGCAGAGCACTACTTGTCTCACAATCCATTTCTTGGAGCATGTTCTGATCCGAAGAATTTTGTCATAATCCGACAAGTTTATTTTGATATAATAAAAAAAAAAGATCCCAAAATTTCATTATGTGAAATTCCCATAGGAATAAAAAGTAATAATCATCTGGGGTCTTAACATTACGGCCCTCGATTATATAACAGAGTTTATAATAATCAACTAAGTTTCTCTTTTCAAATATCAAATGACACAAGTAATGATCTTTTGAGCTATAAAACACACATATATGTATTATTTTGTTTCAGACCATCCAACCAGGGAAGAAACCATTAACATTCTGTGATGTTGTTGCAGAGTTGCTTGCATTTGTCACACCAGGATTGTAATGACTGTTAATTAAGATTAACACGAAATTAAGAGTTAAATCTTTAAGGGGCCTTACTTATTTGCTTATGAATATATATATACCTCATCTGCAATGCTACATTGCCTTGTAAAGGCTTGAAGAAACCCGCTTCTTGGCTTGAATGGTTTGCTTGATAAGAGCTGAATCCTTGTTGTTGTTGTTGTTGTTGTTGCTGTTGTTGGGAATGTTCCGCAGCAGAAGAAGCTCCCCATAGTGATTCAGTAAGTGCAGCATCACTTTCTTCCAGCTGAGAGAGATAGAGAGCCATGTTATAAGAAATCTCAAAGGCTTTCAATTTCTTGCGGTAGAAGGTTTCGATAGATACCTTCCTCCTAAGATCTCTGTTGGTTTCCAATAGCATATCCTCCTGTATATTGGTAAATCTTAGTGTGTTTAGGATTGAGATTCTTGGACATTGTGAGACGACTGTTATTGTATAGACTATAGAGTATGTATACCTTTGTTTTGAGCTCGGATAGTTGATCAAGCATAGACCGGGCCTGGCAAGGAAATCAAATCAAGATTTTGGTTTTGTTCTAAGTTCTCATAGGACCAAAGAATCGAATATGCTAGGTGGTATATATACCTTTGTGGATCTTATTTGTCTTAGTGATGCATCTACTTGGCGTTCTAGCTGCTCAAGCTCATTCACTCCCATCCCGGCTATCTCTTCACCTAGCAAATGCCTAGAGAGAAGCAAGTTCCACAAGAGTTATGCTAGTGTACTTTGGAGTATGCATTTATTACTTCTGAAGTGTATTATGAATCAAGCTCATGTACCTTTGTGAATCTTGAAGGATCTCAACTCTTGATTTGAGCTTCAAGTAGTCTTGGTACTTCTCCTGCAATCAAGAGAAACTTTAATTAAGGACAACAATTATAACTTTGATCGAGGTTAGCCTTTGACCATTCATATATTGAGAAGATATGTACCTGTAAATCTTTAGCTGATTGATTTGGATCCATTGTTGCATAGCTATGTTTTCTATACTTCTCAACCGTCTTAGCCATACCACTAATCATACAAACAATTTGAATGATCATTAAACTTTTATCATATATTAATAAATCATCAGATTCTGAATGTTATTTCAAAAAATTTCAAAAGGGTAAATAAATAAAAAAATCCTTTTAGGACTGTAAAATCTCCTTGTTAAAAAATTCAAGAACATCAAGATCCGTATCAATCTCATGATGGTTTTGCAAGAAAAAAAAGTTTTAAAATTCTTCCAAAGATGAAAAATTTGCTTTGCGCAAAAAGAAAATTATATATGAAGTTGAGTATCATCATAGTTGTCTCTTTAACTTTAAATAGGATTACAAGTACTTGAGAGATACTAACTTAAAGAAGTAGTCAAAGTATTTGGTGTTTCTTTACAGCTTTGTGAATATCCAGAGGTCAATCCTTTGTCTCTTTGGTAATTTGGATCAACCCTTTGAAAACAATATCAACAAGACTCAATCTCATGGTTAAAAGCTTTTGCTATAAATATTTAATATATATAGCTTCTATACACAAGTCTCTTGTACTTGTCTATCAAAGCCTCTAGCTGTAATCATCATCTTAGACCAACTAAGATCCTGATCGTCCTTTTATTAACTTAATCTCACTCTAGGAGCCATATTTGTGCATAATAAAAACCAGAAATCACAAAAGAAGTAGACTAATCAATCATCTACAAAATCAAGAAAGACCTAAAACTTTCTTATCCTTAAGAATCAAAACCCTAGAAACTTGTAAAGAGAGGATAAAATAGAACTTTGTGAAAAAAGTGGTTGTCATATATATGAGAATCAAAGATTGAAGATTCTGTTACCTATTGCTGCTGCAGAATTCGTAGAGCTTGCCACGGTTGGAGAAAATGAGAAGAGCAATCTCAGCATCACAAAGCACAGAAAGTTCATAAGCCTTCTTAAGCAGACCGTTCCTTCTCTTTGCAAAAGTAACTTGTCTGTTGATCTTGTTCTCTATCCTCTTCAACTCCACTTTCCCTCTCCCCATCCTTTAATTCCCCTCTCTCTCTCTTCTTTCTCTCCAAGAAACCAAAACCCAACAGAAAAGTTTCCTTCTTTTTTTTCCCCTAAACTCACAAGTGATGAATGAAAGAACCTTTAAATAAACCACACATAGAGAAAGTGTATAAGTGAAATGTGTAGAGCGTATAGATCTTGTCCTAATAAAAGGATTCTGGTTCTAAATCTAGGGCATGATGAATTGGTGTTGCTTCTCTTGTCCGGTGATTGGTGGTGATGGAGGAGGTGGTGTTAGTGGTAGTTGTGGTTGTGGTGGTGGTGGGCCACCGTGCTCAGGTTCTTCTTTTGTTGGAATGTTTTAAGAGAATAGCTTTGTGTTTGATCTTTGCAGATGCTAAGCCATTCTTGGCCAAATAAAAGCTTACAAACTTATATCCACCCTTGGAAACTTACCTTTTTTAAAAAAGAAATTAAACTTTCATAAATTCTTAAAACATTTCGTGTATATGTAACTATATAGTGGGATTAGCTATATATATACCACATTATTTTATTCATACTTCGTCAGAGAATAGTATATTTATTTATTTTCTCTACATCTTTTTTTTGCAGAAAATAAAATTTGATTCCTAGTACTTTTCCAAGGAGAGTTAAGATATCTCTCTCTTTCTCTCTAGTCCAAACAAAATGCTCCAACTTTTCTCTTTCACCCTCGTCCATTGGATTTCAAGAAGATAGATATATTTTTATGCCGTATTTATATGTATATGTATAGATTGATTTGTTTCATCAGATCTAGTACCTATTAAAATTATGCTCGAAAAAGAAATAAGAAAAAGATTCTATATATAACCTACAAAAGATGCCTTAAATAGAGCATATTCAGAGGTCCAAGTCCTATCTATTAGTATTCCTCCATGATTTGGTTATATATTGTTCATGAAATGAAAGAAATAAACCGAAAGTTTTTGCAGGTATTGACACGTTTAGATTATGAAGAGTGACCTAGAATGCATACAAATTGTGTGTGTGTGTTTGTGAATAAAAGAAAGAAAATGATAGGCTTCTAAAGATATGTTTTTTTGCTTTTACCTCTCTTGCCGACAGGTTCTTTCGTATGACAGCTACTTCACGAAATGCATAAAACGGATCTACTGTTTCAAGCAAATTATGTCAAATTGAAATGGTTAATATAGTACTAAAAAAACTGATATAGTACTATTTATTTAATTCTTTATGTCATGGTTCTTTTGTGTTTTAGATTTCTAAAAATTTAGTCACTATCATGTTCAATGCAATACAATCACTCCAAGCATGTAATAAGAGTATATATGTAATTTAAGTATTTAACTAAGATTAAAGCATGTCCATCAGTGAAATTATACCAGTCTCTTAAAATTAAAATTAAATGAAAAAGATAAAAAAAGAAGAGAGTGAATGTCTAAAAGGCTGATACGTCTCTCCCCAAATATACTCTATTTATGGATCTCACCAATGGACATGCTCTTAGAGAGTTCTATGTGTAGGTTACTATATAGATTCCCTTCTAAAGAGGTAAAGTTAGTTAATCAAATCGATTTTTCATAAAACACAGGAGAATCTAAGATAGATTTCAAGACATATATTATACTTAATATGCTCAATAAATTACATACGCATGTATAAGATTTCAAGATAACAATGACTCATTTGAAACAAAAACTGTACACTTTTATTCTGATTTATTGTCAAGAAAAAGGAAAACAAAAGAGAATTTCTTGTGAATAGTTTAGCTCTCAAATCCTAGATTTTTCAACTTTTTCATAGGATGCTTCTTGTCAGGTTAGTACAAATGTTTTTTTTCCTCAACTTCACGAAGAAGGTCTAGTAATTATATGCAACGGTTGGTTTGTTTTACTCACTTCTTCTCATAGCAACTATAGTAATCCTATATCTACATCATGATCATGATGGTTGTAAATTTACTCATGTGATATGTCTCACACAACCTTTTTTTTATATACAACTTTGCTTGCTGACTCATATTTCACTTGGTACCTTAGTTATCTTGTTCAACCAATACATCAATAGAACTTAAAACTGTTTGTCCTTTTGTGCTAGCTAAATCATCCATTTATTTAATTTGTATGAATCTTCTTGATGGAAACTTGATGTAAATGCATTTCTTATCCACATCATCATGCAAAAACTGGATCCTTATCTTCTACGTGCTCTCTATTCTCCACCATTCTTTTAAGATTGCAAGTGGTCACCTTACAATATGTAATCTATAGATAATAAGTTAGATGCTTTTGCAAACATCTGAAAGGGATAAATACGATAGAATACTGCAATATGCTATTCCATATCAATTTTGTATCCACTATATGGATCACTTAGGAAATAATTCATTGTTTTATAAATATTTACAGAAATGGTGTCTGGTAAAATAGTCATCTAGTTAAGTTTATAAATAAATATCCACAAATTTAGTAAATGCTGCCACAAGTGACTGTTGGCTGCTATATTTCTCTTTAATCATTTTAACCATCTAACAGATTTATTATTTTCTGCAAAATTATATATTGTAAGACAAATTAGAAAACAATAATCCTTCTGTTTCTAAAAGAATGATATTTTTTTCCTTGTTTTACAAAGCTAGATTTTTAAATTCTTTAGTGTATTTTCTTTAAAAAATGGTTTTGGAAGCAGCAAAAAAAGAGAGATTGTCCTGTGGTTTTGCCATTATAATTTGTATTATCTTGTAGACCAGGGTAACAAAAACCGTAGGTCCAATACATACGGTCCATGTAATTAATAATATGTAATAAATAATGTAGGATTTCTGATGCTTGCAGGCTTCTTCTGTATATTTAGACTAGCAAACTGGAACTAGATTAGACCCCATGATAAGCTGAAACCCTAGTTACTCATGGACCATAGTTACTAAAATAGATATATTTAAATCTTTCATTTTGTCTGCACCTAATATTAGTTGGAATCTAGTTCAAATATAGTTAACGTAATATAGTCTTGCTAGATATTTCTTATTTTCATCAACCTATTAATACGCACTTGTAAATTTCTTACATATGTACTAGGGCTTGTATAGTATACAGTTAATTTCTTCAAACCTATGATATGCATGTAGAAAGTGGGCTAATTGATAACATTGCTAAATAACGAGACCACTTAATAGAAATAAATAAAGAAAGATTATGACTAGTTTACTGTCGTTTTGTGTTTACGAGGTAACACGAAGAAAGTTGGCCAAATAGTCGTAAACATTCAATTAGCATTTACAGTATAATTGTACTATCGCAAATACTTTTTTAACAAAAAAAACGGAAGCTGAGCTGCTGAGGGAAGCATTATGCAGATTGAGGTGATTGACAGAGCTTGTAGGCGACGTGTCAAACTTTCATTTGATCTCAGAACTATATTTATCCCTACACTTTTCGGATGTGTTGTTGCGATTGAACGGAACAGTAAAACGTATATCACGTGCCTGTACTGACACATGTCAACATACTACTGCCTTTCCATTAGTCTGAACCGACACGTGTCGATCGCTCAATCATTCTCCATGGAGTTTAGTGACGCATTATTACGGAAGCCATTACGCTATGAGTTAAGTTGTGTAGAATGAAAGCTGAATATGGTTGCATTGAGAGCCGAGAGGAAATGGCGAAACAGTCGGCGTATAAAGTATAAACTATTTAAAAGTCGAAACCAGAAATACAACCAATTTATCTAAATAATAATCATTGGATACTTTTGAAAAACTCTCAGTTTATTTAATAATATTTATTAAAATATCAGTTTATATGAACAGAGAACATGGTTGCCTCCGTAGCATAGTGGTATTGCGTTCGCTTCGTAAGCGAAAGGCCGCGAGTTCGATCCTCGCCGGGGGCTTCCTTGTAATCATTTTACCTTTTCTACGAACCTAAATTCTCATATTTATGGACTCTTGTTAAATCGATTTCCCTTTTTGTTTTTCTTTCTTTCAAGATTACCCTCTTTAGCAAATGCAATATATATTTTTGATATGAACCTAAAATCTTATAATTTTGTTGTTCTCGACATTTAAATATTTAAATACGAATTTTATGATCAGATGAGTGATATTAGTGACATAATAGAGTAATTATGTTGTTACAAAAAAAGAGAGTTAATTATATAATATATGGGCTTTAAGCTTTAAGCCTTTAACAGAAGTGTTAAAGCCCAAAGTGAACCGTGGGAATAAAGAGTCCACGCGCCACGCGGGACCAAAATCGCGCGCGTGTCATATAAATTCCTCGTCGTCGCCGTCTTACCGAATTTGATATCTGACTATTAGAGGTTCACTGTTCGGTAACTGGAGCGACCCATAGGAAACGATGACGATCGAAAGAGCTCGAGTCCCGTTAAGCCGGTGGCAACAAGCGGCGGTTGCGATGGGATCTGCCGTCGGTGTGTTGGTTAATCCTCGCAGAGCGGATCTGATCGCGGCTCTAGGTGAAACCACCGGAAAACCAGCTTTCGAAATGGTTCTCGAGAGGATGAAGAAGAGCCCTGAAGGACGAGTAAGCCTTTAGTATTTTCTCGCTTTGAGGATCAACATTTTTTTTTCAAGAGTGATTTGATTTCTGAGTAATGCGACGTTAAAGAACATTGAAATTTGAGGAGTGGGGGCCTAAAGATTGTTATGGATATTAAATTTGGAAAAGAAAGATTGAATTTTGATGTTGTGATGTGATTCATTTACATCATATCGATTCTAATTGATGTTGTGGCTGATGGTTAATGCTGCCAAAGTAGTTGCATGGTCATATCGATTCGTCTTTGTTTGCAAGATGTTGGTTACAATGGTGTTTGATCTTGTTTCTTCATCTCTGTGCACAGGCTATATTACTGGAGCGTCCTCGTGTTGTCTCAGAGCAAGTAGGTCACGCTTGGGATCTACCAGAGAACACATTTGGAGCTGCGTATGCAAAGTTCATGGGATCTAGGAACTTCTCTCCGGATGATCGCCCGCCGGTGAGATTCATGGAGACCGACGAACTGGCTTACGTGGCGACTCGGTCGCGCGAAGTTCACGACTTGTGGCACACGCTCTTCAGCCTCCCGACGAATCTCATAGGCGAGTCGGCTCTGAAAGTGATAGAGTTCGAGCAAATGTATCTCCCAATGTGCATGCTTTCCGTGATCGGAGGCACAGTGAGGTTCAACGAGAAGCAGAGGGGAATGTTCTTGAGGCATTACCTTCCTTGGGCTGTTCGAGCAGGAAGACAATGTACAGACTTCATGTGTGTGTGTACTATGAGCGTCACTTTAGTGAAGACTTGGAGCAAGTGAGGAGAAAATGGGGAATCATCCCTGCTCCTCAACATCCTAAATAGATTTGGATTTTCACACTTTTGAAAAAAGACAATATACTTTTGTTTGTTCAATAGTTGTATTGGTGATTTGATAATAACAGAGAACTTTGGAAGTTCTTGATTATAACATTTTGAGCAGAATAATATTACAAGATAACAATTTGAGATAAGGGTGACAAGAAACCGACTTCTTATCATTTAAAGGCTCACATCAAACAGTTTATAGTGAGAGAGAGACGATGTAACAAAGAACAATGGATACGCATTTGCAAATGTTTCTTTTTTTACTTGCTACCACCAGTGAAGAGATAACCCAAGGACGATCCACCTCCGGGAGCTGCATGAACTTTGGTCGAAGGACGGTCCTGCAAAGAGAGAGAGAGATCATTTAAGAAAAAGAAGAGAACATATCCATTCAATGGTATTCGAGGAAGACGAAACATACAGTGAGGAAGTTTCCGGTGTTCTGTCCTTCGGCTCTGGCGTAATTGTTGACTGGAGTTTTGATACCGGCGGGAATCTGCTTGTTGAGCTCTGCTGGCTCAACACTAGTTGTAGCAGTTGTCTGTGCGGTTGCAGTCACAGCTGCTACTGGTGGTGGTGCAGCAGACGCAGACCCGTTGTTTGGCTCAGCAGGAGAGGGACGAGGAGCTGGAGCTGGAGCTGCCGGCTTAGGAGCTGGAGCGTCACCGCCACCAAAGAGATAGTTCAGTGAGCTTTGACCTCCACCACAGCTGTTTCCACGACCCATTGTATAGAATACTAAAGAGTTTTTGAAACCTAACAAAAACACAATAACAACGGAGTATAATTAGAAACTTTGAGCTACAAGTTCAACATTCAGAGATCATAGATTCAGAGAAGTGAGAGAATTTGAACTTAAAATTTGATCTAAGAGTGCATATTTGCGTGTAGATCATAATCTCTTATTCTCTTATAAGAGATTCACAATCACATTTGGAGACATTCTTTGTTTCCTTCGCTGGAATATATAATACCAAAGCACAAATGGTATGTACAATCCACAACTGAAAACGATAGACGACAAAAAACCAAATTTCTCGAAGAATCTTCCACGAAAATGACATGCTCGAATCAGAGGAAGAAAACTAGATTATAGCCAATTTTTCAAACAAGAGAAGCAAAGGAATTAAAGGGGGGGTGGGGGGAAATAGGAACAAGTATGAAACACTTTCAGATCTAAAACAAGCTTAATCGAATCACAATTCTTAGAATTCAAGACCAAATCTCCTAAAAATGACGGCTAAAAACACTATGTGATCCGGAGTATAATCGAGGGATCATTACAGAGGAATCTACGATCTAAAATGAAGTGAACTTAAAAGGGAAATCGATCCGCAGAATTGAAGACTGCAGAAACATACCTTTCGCGATCAGATCTAGAAGAGAAGCAAAGGGAAGGAGAAGGAGAAGCAAACGCAGACTCAGAACTGACTACTGAGTCATAAGCGAGATGGTCTAATATATAACACTAAACCGGTTTTGTTACTAGAGCCTGGGTTCCGGTTTAATTGATCGGTTCTTCCTTTAGTTGCCACCAAAAGAAACGTTATTCAAGTTTTGAATCTTTTGATTAGTAAAATGTTTAAAAACAAAGCAAAAATTCATAGGTTTCATCGAATATTTAAATTTAAAAGTATACATATTCATGTTAAAAAAAAGGATATTATTCGAAAACCGGTTATTCGATTGGATTGGAGGTTTAAGAAAATTCAGATAATCATTATTTTGGTTTTGAAGTGGAACAAACAAAAGGTATTCATTCAAACAGTAACACAAAACGAGTGAACATTATTGATGCTTTATGAAATTTCACGAAATTCGACGACGGTGGGCGATTTCAATATAGTGTGGGTTGTGGGCCATTTTCATGTAATGGCCAGTCTTTATCATTTGTCCGAATATTATTATCAGCCGTTTTAATCATTTAAAAATTTTGAACTTTAAAACAAAACATATTTTTAGAATGAACAAGAAAAAAGAGACTTTCATTTAAAAGCTTCATGTAGCTACAAGTCCATGTTTAGACTGGTTCAAGTAATAATTCCCAGCAACAAGCAACATCAAGCTCGAAACACCAAGTTTCCACGAGAAACCTAAACCGAAACCATTAGAAGAATCCACCTTCTTCTTCTTCTCCTTAACCGGAACCGTTTTAGAATCCAAACATTTCGATTTCCTGAACGATGAATAAGTCTCCACTTCTTGGATCGTCAGTGCCGGTTTAAGCGAGCTCTTTGCGGTTTGGAAATGGCGATTGAACACTGCGGTTGCTGCAATGTTCTCTCTAAGAGAGACGGTTCCGCTTTCTCTGCAGAGACCTTCGAGCTCAGCACCAGTAAATAGCTCCGTCTCTTCAGCGATTCTTCTGAGATCAACGTCGTCTCCTAGTCTCATGTTGCGTGTGTGCACTTGCAGTATCTCAAACCGAGCTTCAAGATCAGGCGGTGGCACGTAAAGAACCTAAACAAAGACATTTTCAAGCAAAAAGCTTAACAATCCGGTTTGCTATTTTAGAAAGATCCAATATGAGGACTTACAAGATCAAATCGACCAGGACGCATAAGAGCTGCATCAATGGCATAAGGACGGTTCGTGGCAGCCAAGACAAGAATTCCCTAAACCAAAGCAAACCAATAAAAAATCATTGTAAAACAATCTATAAAAAGGTGTGGCCTTTTTGTTTGGTTATGTAGTATGTACCTTTGCTTCTTCAAGACCGTCCATTTCGGTTAACAGTGTAGATAAAAGCCTTTCTCCAACTGTAGAACTGTTGCTTGAGCTCTCATCACCTCTTCAAAGACACATGGAAATGAAAATGTTAAAGAGTCTATAAAGCGAAAGCAAGAGTTGGGAGATAGATAGAGACGAAACCTTTTACAGGCGACAACATCAGCTTCATCAAAGAATATTATACTTGGAGAAGCAAGTCGAGCTCTTTGAAACGTGTTCCGCAACAATGCTTCACCTTCTCCAACATACATAGAAAATAGCTCTGCACAGCTTAAGGAAAAGAAGGAAGCTTGAGCAGCATTTGCAGCGGCTTTAGCAAGAGTTGTCTTTGAGCAACCTGGAGGACCATGGAGGAGTATTCCACGCATTGGCGATATGCCCAGTTTTACAAATGCAGATGAATGTTTGATTGGCCATTCAACAGCTTGCTGGAGCTTTTTCTGTCACAAAAAAAGAAAATTTGAAACACATTTAGTCGCAATGCCAGAGTAAAGATGGATTCTTATTTAGAGTGTTGACCTTTAGGTCTTTGAGACCACCAACGTCCTCCCATGTCACTTTAGGGATTTCAACTGTGATGCCTCTTGTTATACTCGGACCAACTAAAGACTTTGCAATCTTGAAGTCTTGCACTGTTAAGATAAGAGAATCTGAAGATCTTTTACTTGCGGAGATGGCCGCTTCACGGCATAAGGCTTCCAAATCTGCCCCAACATAACCATTGCAAGATGTTGCTATAGCTTGTAGATCAACACTAGGATCCAAACAAACTTTCTTTGTGTACAGCTGAAAAAATAGCAAACATGAAGCTTCACAAAAAAGTTCCCATTTAAGAAGCAAGTAAGCAAAATCCCATTTAAGAACTCAATACTACCTGCAGGATTTTCAAACGATCCTCCTCATTTGGTGTGCTCACTTCAATTAAAGTATCAAATCGTCCCGCTCTTCTTAGCGCTGGGTCAATCGCATCCACTCTTTTGACAAGATCGAAGAAAACCATTGAATCATTTGCATTCAAATACAAAAGTGTTAAAACTAAAAGTAATGTTTACAAGGTAGACAAGAACCTGTTTGTGGATGCTACAACAACAACTCTTGGTGCAAATGATGAAGGTTTGTTTGAGTCCATGAGTGTAAAGAGTTGAGAAGCAATACGAACATCCTGCTCTCCTCTGCAATTTTAGAGAGAGAATCAAATTACTCTCAATCAACTACTGTATTGATCTCGTTGAGAAGTTTAAAGTGATATATGATACCTAGAATCACGCCGAGGACAAAGAACATCGATTTCATCGATAAAAATCACAGAGGGCTTGTCAGAAGCAGCGTGAAAAGAAGCCTCGGCAAAAGCATCTCTCAAGACTTTCTCGCTTTCTCCAGCATGACCTCGATGTACAGAATGGGGGCTGAAACAGAGTTTGCCACACAAACACAAAGCATAAATTAGCTTTGGCCTATTGCTCCACACAACAATGTATACAGAGGGTGCAAAACAAAGTTTGCCACACAAACACAAAGCATAAATTAGCTTTGGCCTATTGCTCCACACAACAATGTATACAGAGGGTGCAAAACAAAGTACCTTAAAACAATCAAATGTGCATTACATTCCTGGACAACAGCACGGACCAAGCTTGTCTACAAGAAACAACCAAAATTGCAATCAAGATCATTTGAATTCCGCCGCTTAAATAGTCTAATCAGCTTGGTTTACACTAGAGTCTAGTAAATGAAAGTTAAGAACTTTGATGAACCCAACACAAATTTGTTTGGAAAATTTCAAGCTTGAAACAGAGTGTACCTTTCCGGTTCCAGGAGGGCCGTATAGGAGCAACCCTCTAGACCACTGCAATGAGCAGAGAAAATTAATAAAATTGAAAAGTAAGCTTAGATCAGGTATTGGATGGTTTACTTTGAGACCAAGAGTTCGAGCTTCGAGAGGGTAGCGAAAAGGGAAGATTATGAGTTCACGAAGAGCTTGCAAAGCCCTCTCGTTGCCACCGATTTCCGCTTCAGCTCGCCATGTTTCACCGCCGACGACGTTGTCGCAGATACTACTTTCGGTTGCCATCGGATTTCAGCAGAAAAGAAGTAAACTTTGGGGAATTACAAGTTTTGGGCTTTGCAGGGGTTTATGCGCCGGAGAACGGAGATCGCGACGAGAGACGTAAGACGTTCACCGGTGGAGATAAATTATGTTAGGGTTTTGTTTTTCTTGTGATTTTCCAAGTTTACCCTGTTTTTCGGAAAATGTTTTCAAATTGACCAAAGACAGAATCAAGTCGTCTTACATAGAACTTAATCGATGATATGATTTTGTCACAGAGAGCTTCTCTCATAGAAAACTGAAAACTAGTATTCCCATTTCAACAACATGCATTATCACCATATTATTAGTGCTCTCTCTGTATAGAATACAACACAAAAATATGACAACGATCTGACAATAGTTGTCAAGTGATATAAATATGAAGTCTTTCAGTCTCACGGCGCGTGGAATCTCACGCTGCCGGCAGAAGCCTGGTTTGCGGCACGGTTACTTCCGAAATTCTTCCGGTTTGATTCACGAGCAATTCTTGATCCAAACTAAAAAACACACAACCAAAGTCCAAGAACAAAAGTGAGAGAGAGAGAGAGCATAAAAACACAACACAAAGATTTCAACTTTACTTGGTTTGGGTCAGTTTTCTCAATCTCTGTTTACCTGTATTGCTCTCTTAGGCATCTTTGCAACTTCAGGTAAACCAAGCATCTTCGCAACCTTCAAGAATTAAGTAACGTTTTAGAATGTTCTTTACAAGAACAAAAATGGTGGCTTTCTTTATTTACTCACCTGTCTAAGAATCTTCTTATCTCCCTTTCCACTTGGTTGCTCAAGATCAGCGATCTCCCACAAGGGAATGTCAAGGAGAGTCTTGATCACATCTTCATCTAAGAACGGGAATCTCGCCTCCAAAATGCAATACAAATACATTTTAAGAACAGGGCACACAAGAGAAAAACGATTTGAGTTTCTAGTCGCAACGCAACATATACCTCTTTGCCATTATCTGCAATGCATCGATCATCCCGACCCAAATTTCTCTTCCAAATTCTCTGCATATCCAATTTCATTTCTTGATCCAACGCAAACCAACTAAAGAAAAGGACAAAACTTATGAGATGAGTCAAATATTAGTTTCGATACATAAGAGAGAGTATCTGCAGACATGAATATACCTCCCATTTCGATATTTGGTTCTGTGTCTACCATAACCAGCGCATTGCTCATCAGCACCAGCGCCAACAAGAAGAATTCTAGCCTCGGACTTGTATTTGATTCGCATGTTATCTTCTTCTACTGCTTGACTTTCGCTTTCTTCATGAATCCAACCATCACCTCGAGCAGCAAGCCATAGTGCTGTTCCTATGTTAAGGTCCTATAACATAGCAAACGATATTGTATAATATGATATCAAGTTTGGAAGAATGTAATGAGAAATCCTCAAGACTTTGATGTTTACCATGTAAGTATCTGCAGGATTGATGAGTGACATAACACGCTTTGTCTCCAAGGTTAGTTTTGACAGATCAGCATCAATCTCGACAAGTCTCCACCTGAAATTCCCAAGAACATTTGCATCAACATAGATAGTAACAGTTACATGCATTTATAAAAGGTCTTTCAGAGCTAAACCTTCTCAAAGGTGCAATAATTTTAAGTTCCTTAATTCCAGCCTTGGCGGAGATTCTATCAGGAGCATTAGGACCATCAAAGCTGACATTAAGAAGATCAACTTCATCTGAAAAACAAAAGAAATAAAAACAAAGAGATTTTGAAATCTGAATTAGTTTCAGTATTGATGCCAGAGACAGAGACAGTGCAGAGGAATGGTTACATTTTGAATCAAGGCACTGATCCAAGAGCGCAGCAAGAATCATCGAATCTAATCCACCAGAGAAGAGAACAGCTACTGGAACAACTTCTTTTTCTCCCTGTTTATGCCAAGAACAAGTTGTTTCGAGGTAAGTACTCACAAATCATGCAGCATTTAGTAAAGCATATTTTAAAAAGCTCATACCTGAAAAATGCTGTGCAGTGAAGTACGCCGCCTCACTGATTCCTTTAGAACATCCAAAACTGTCTGCGCCAATCCTAAAGCTAAACCTTGTCAGAATATCAAATTTGAACAGAACTGGAGGAGTAAAGACGAAACTTCAGCAGTACCTGAAGAAGTTGAAACAGCATTGTCTTTCTCTTCTTGAATTCCACCTAGGGATGACGCTGATAGATCTTCAGGTCTTGGCACAACAAATTTCCTTTCCCATTCAATCAACTCTTTCCACATGGTATCTCTCCATTCGTGTTTCGTGACTTCACCATGAATACATTCTGAAACCCCGAACGAAATGCTGTACACTCCACACGGAAGCTCTTCCCAAAATCTATGAATGCTACTACCATTTTCAGCATCCAATCCTGCCAAAGAAATGTTACTTAGGCTTGGAGTGTACATAAAGAGACACAAAATTATTCTACTCAGCAATACAAACCAGAACCGTCAGCAACAGAAGAAGCTGGTGAAACAGATGATAGAAGCAAACGAGGGTCTTCCAGAGTTGGCCAGTGAACAAGGAGACTCCTCCTACCAAAAGCATCTTTGCCAAACCATAGCGTTCTTGAGCTTTCCTGCCAATATATCATGGCCCAGGGGCCTTTCACCATAGAAAGAACATCTGGAACCAAAGCTTTTGCTTTCTCTAAAGACTTCAAAAGAACTTCAGTATCATTATCATAGCTGCTGAGTTCAATTCCTCCGAATACTTCTCCTGCATACAGAAATTACCAATCAGTATCATATAATGTAAGAGAAACTGCATAACAATTCAAGAAGCTTAACAAAGAAACCACACCATTGTAAGCTAGAATGTTTCCAGAAGAGTCCACCAACGGCTGGATTATAGGACTAGTTCCTCTAAGTTGTAATGTGGAACCCATAAAATGCAATTCACCGGAAGAAGTAGTATCCTCAATCTCATAAGTTCCTTCGCTAGCCTCGGAAACAGAGAGAGTCACAGATTCTTGATCACAAGTCGGTACGTTTGGTCGAAGGAGAATCTTCTTTTCGCCTACACTATCAGGACCTCTTTGTCCCAGGACAGATTTAACATCTTCAACAGAGAATTGTAACTGGTTTAAACCAAGGAAAAACACCAAATTAGCAATCACAGTTACTAAAACCTCATATCAAATGCTATCAGGATCGATAACATAAAATCAGAATTATCGTTAGCCATCAATTAAAAATTCAAAAGCGAAATGTTTTCGTTCTACACAGATGTTAGAAACGAGATTACAGACACAGGGCAAAGAAAAAGCTTCAATCTTCAATCTTCAACAGTGATTACTAAACTAGAGCATTGCAGAAAGTTATTAACTTTAACACTAAACTTCAAACCCAGAAGCGACGGAGAAGTAAAGAAAAACTCCGAGCACAGACAGCTCAATACGAGAATGTCGAGAAGGGATCTGAATCAAAAGTGACTTACTCGTTCAAAAGGAGGAGCCGAGAGAAACGGCAACGTCGAGAGTTCGATACGAACGCCGCACACTATAACCGCAATCCCGCACATGTCTCCGCCGGCGTCTTCTCTCCCTCCCAAGTCTTTTTCCCGTCAAAAGTTGTCACGAAATTGCCTTAGTCTGTTAAACTGAAAATAACGATTTTTAAAACTCTGTTTTACATTACAATCAAATCGCCTCCGTAGCATAGTGGTATTGCGTTCGCTTCGTAAGCGAAAGGTCGTGAGTTCGATCCTCGCCGGGGGCTTTTTTAATTTTTTGCCTTTTGTAAAGTCCCGTCCTTTATCACTAACACGAAAAGTCGAAACCGACTGAAACATTCGATGACTCTCTCATATGATTACGTGGCATGATGTTAGTGGATAAATATCCAAAAGGTTGCAAAAAGGAATAAGTTAAAAAGTAAATAGAAAAATTCCCAAGTTAAACCCTAGGAGCAATATATATACACATCCCAAGTAAACTCTTTTTTTCTTGTGTTCTCCTTCTCCTTCTCTCTCTCTCTCTCTAGTCTGATTGGGATTTGACTCTGTTTTTCTTCTACACAGTAGCAGGTATTAACTTGTGATCTTTCAATGTCATACAATGTGTAGTTTAGGTTTTTACTGTTTTCTTCCACAAAGGTTTACTCTTTTTGTGGTTCAATTCGCAGCAAAGTTAAGATTTTTTCTCTCTTTCTCAAAAACTTAAGCAGTTATAGGTCGTTGGAAGTTCAATTTAAGCCTTATATATATGTAACTTTCAATTACAGTAAGCCAATTGGATTTTCGTAGTGTTTATGAACAGATTCACTACTTGCAATTCGAAGTTCTGCTCTGCAATTCACTTTTTGGTTTTCACTGAGATACTTCAATTGAAGATTAGAGCTTTTTCTGAAACCGAATTATATTGTATTGTTTGCATCTCAATCTGATTATCCAATAAAAGTAACTGTTTTTTTTTTAACAATGAACATGAACATACTCTGTTTGATTATGAAAGAAACATTCTTTTTGTGGTTCTGGCTTTTGTTTTTGTTTCTGTTTCTAATTACTAATGATAAAAATCTCTTTTTGGATTATGCAGAGAATGACATCTGAATCAAACGCTCCATCAGTGGAACCAACAATTATAGGCAATGCGTTTATTATTCAATACTACAACCGCCTCTATGAATCACCCTCGGATGTTCATAAATTCTATCTCGAGGACAGTGTTCTTGGAAGGCCAGGTCTCGATGGTGAGATGGTTTCCGTCGAATCATTGAAAGTAAGCTCTTTACATAGCATAGTGTAGTAACTAGTAAGCATCATCGAAACTAAATTTCTTACAAGATCTTTGCATTGGTTTTGCATTGCAGGCGATTAATGAGCAGATAATGTCCTTTGTTCACCAGTACTCGAAGATTCAGATTCTGAGTGTTGATTCCCAACTATCTTTAAACAATGGAATTGTGACACTAGTGGCCGGTGTGATGATTGGAGAAGATGGAGGGAGGAAGAAGTTTACTCAGACTTTCTTCCTTGTGCCACATAAAGGAAGCTACTTTGTGCGTAACGATGTCTTTAGGTACATGTCTAGTGACGTTGTTGAACCACAAGTTACCATCGAGGTTGTTGAGGAAGTCGTCGCTGGTAAGTATTTTTTCACCAGATCAAGAACTCGAAATTTTTACACTCTTTGACATTGTTCTTGATTCACTTGTTGTTGCTTTTTAACCAGCAGAGCCTGTAGAGGCGGTTCAAGCTGAAGCTACGGTGAGTGCCATAGCAAACGGACATGGGAATGTCCAGAATGAGGAAGTTGTGAATGGAGACAGTAATGTACATAAAGATGCTGAAGCTAAACCTCAAGAGGACGCTCCAAAGAGATCCTTTGCGGCAGTAATTGCGGCTCAAAATGGTAAAGCTTTACCTGCAAAACCAAAACCTGTCCAAAAGCCGAGAGCTGATCCTAAACCTAAAGCTCCTGCCACTGAAGCTCCTGCTCCAGTTCCTGCTGAAACCAAAAGCATTGAACAACCACGTCAGGGGAGTAGCATATTTGTGGGAAACTTGCCAATGGACGCGACTCCGGAGGAACTATATGACACATTCAAAGGTTTTGGAGCTATTAGAAACCGTGGTATCCAAGTCAGAAGTTACATGGTTAGTTAATTCTTCAGATTTATCTTGTTGTATATGCGTAGGGTTCGATACTTTAAACCCTAGTTCAACTTCACTCACACGTTTGAAATTTTGTATGACTTATCAGGAACAACGAAACTGTATTGGGTTTGTGTGGTTTGAATCTAGTGAAGCAATAAAGAGTGTCTTCCAGGTAAAAAGCTTTGTCACCATCAAATTTCTTAACTTGAGTATGATTTGAAACTCTGTTTCTGATTTTGAAAATGCATCTATAAATTCTCTAGGCTCATAAGGAATGTCCAATCTACATCGGAAACAGAAGAGCATCTATAGAAGAAAGTAGAGGTAAGTTTTTTGGCTCCAAGAATGTAACGTCATGACAATGTAACGCAAAGAAGTCGTTGTCTTTAATTTGGATTCTGCTTGCAGGCAACACGAATCAAAACGGTGCAAGAAGCAACGGTTACAATAGGAATGAGAATGGTCAGAGAAACGACGGGCACAGACAACCTCGCGGCAACGGTGTCAGAGGAGGACGAAGCAATGGGACAAACGGTGCTGAGAGACAGAACGGTGCGGCTAAAGCTTATCAGAAGAATGGCCATGGCAATGCTCAGACCAAAAGCTAGAGCTTTTACTTGTTTTGTCCTGTCCTGTCCTTTTATGCTTTTCTCATTGATTGAGAATCTGAAGGATTGTTTTTTTTCGGATTAGAAGTCATTCTTTTAGGTGAATATTTGGATTAGAGTTTATTAATTCAATTCAAAGGTTCATTTTTTTCTTCTTTGACCCAATCACATCGCTTCTTGTTGTTGTTCTCATCACCATGTAGATGAATGCAAAAATCTCAATCTATATGTGTAAGTCAAAGAGAACAAAACTGAATTAAGTTTCTAACGACAATTTCAGTCTGTTTTTTTTTTTTTTCAAGCTGGATTCTACAAACTTCTTTACAGGAGATAAAGAAACAGCAAAACATAAATTCAAGAACATGGAGAACGTAAAGAACAACACCAAGGACATGGAGGAAAACATGAGAACCACCTACACATTGATGACTGCTGCTTCTGGTTCGCTGCTGCTTCAGCTGGTTCTTGTGTCTCTTGTGATTGCTGCTTTGGCGCTGCTTGTTTCTTCTGTTCCTCTGTTTCTCCACTTGCTGATTCACTTGCAGCTCCTGCCAAACTGTTTAAAAAGACTCAAAACTTTAACTAAACCAATCCAACAGAAAGCAAAAAACAAAGAAGAAGGCATTAGGGCAAGGAAGGGTTTTAGTTTTACATTGGGAAAGAGAAGGAATGCGCGCTGTTTGAGCTCCGGTTAGAACGGTAAGAAGTTGTAGGCAGAATGGTTGTAGGAGTTTTCCAAGAAACAGCAGGATGTTGTTGTTCTTCTCTCTTGTCCTCTTCCTCTCTACGTGCTTTCTCTAACACTAAAACTGCCTCTTCCTCTGCCTCATCATCTGAATCATCAACAACAACAACAGCCTTTGGTTCTGATCCTGGTGGAGGAGGCATAGGAAGTGAGGGGCTATAAGCAAGCAGCTCTCCTGATTTATAAAGCTCTCCTGATTTCATCATATCAGCAGTGAAGCTGTTACGTCCTCCTAAATGGATACTGAAGAGAGACTCGTTCGAAGTGCAGCTCCATTCAGCTGGTATATTCGATTTGCTTCTCTCGAACACCGACGATGGGATCCTGTTCGGGTCGTAGTTTAGCGGCTGATCATCATCATCGGCATCGTCATCCCTGTCCATGACTTGAACAGGAGGTGAGTCTGTTGGAGAAGAAGAAACCTCTGGATCATCGTTTGATGGTAGATGTTTTGGTGGTGATGCGTATGTGGAAGAAGAAGACGATGATGATGAGGAAGATGATGAAGAAGATCTTGAATGTGTTTCTTCTGAGTGAATGATTTCACTTTCTGTTTCTTCTGAATGGATCGTTTTATGCTCGTTATCTCCATTTTCTTCGTCTATTAATAATAACTCATCTCCTGTTGAAACTTGTTTGTTTTTTTCATCTTCTTCATGTTCTGACTCCATTAACAAACCTGAAAAAACAAACAAAAAGGAATCTTCTTTAGCCATTTCACGTGTTAATCAGACAAATCGAAACCAATATACATTAAAAAATCAGACATTTAGCAAAGGGACATACCTGAAAAACGATTTGGTTAGATATAGTGAAACCAAAAAACAATATTTAAATCAGTGAAGATTTTTCACACTTGGATAAGTTGTGAAATTTTCATTTTTTTGTTCTTGTTAGAGAAAACGGAGGAGGAGGAAAAAATCAAGATGAGGGAAAGGGGATCTAGGGTTCGTTGTTCTGGGGATATCAGAACGAAAGGTTTCACGTAAAGTTCGGAGCTTTTGAGTTTTGACTAACAATGGCTGCGTTTCGCGCCATGTCGACTCTTATCTGTTTTTTTCGTTTGCATTTTCGACTTTATTATGATTTCCTGTGTGACGGTCTATGATAGACTCTGTGTTCCATCCAATAGATAACCACGATGACTTTGAATACGTGGCTTTATGAATTATGATTGAGATATGTTTTTACTCTGTAAACTGAAGAACGCCATTCTTTTTCTTCTTCTTCTGCTAATTGGGAAACTGATAGATTTTGAACGAAAGGTGAGGTTTTGGACTCTGGGTTTATAGTTTCTCTCTACGACTGTAATCATCTGTTGGATTTGTCAATTTTGTTCGGGTATGTATTTGGGAATTGATACCGCAGACCTAAAATTGATCGCCGGCGATAATCTACTGAATTGGATCTTCCTAACTGTAAATTCTGTGAATTTACTTCGTTAATAGTCATAAAGAACGTAGGATGATGTCAATCAATCTAGATTTTAGACATTTGAGCGTTTTTATAGGTGGATTCTTAATAGTCTATATGCAGTTTCTGATCGCAAATTTCCACTAAAATTTGGGAAAGTCTCGTCTTTTGATTTGTGGGTTTTTCGTTTTCGTTAAGATATTTACAGAAAGCAAGGCTTTTTATTGTTTCGCTCTGCTATGATGAAGAAGAAGAGCTTGAATTTGATGTCAAAATTGCCTTTTTTTCCAGGTTAGGAACTGTAGCCAAACCGCTTACTTCAATTGATTCCGTATCACCGGACGGTGAAAGTTTTTGGCTTTGATGCATTCAACATTTGACAGTAACTTGTAAGGAAGAAAGGATATAGAAGAGCATGGGAGAACAAAGCAACCGTGGCCATCCTTTCTCTGGCCTTAAGAAGAGAGGCCAATCAAGTCGTTCGTGGGTGAAGATTGATGAGAATGGGAACTCGACGGTTTTGGAGCTCGACAAGGCAACTATAATGAAGCGTTGTTCCTTACCGTCCAGAGACTTGAGACTTCTTGACCCTTTGTTTATCTATCCGTCGAGTATCTTGGGGCGTGAGAGGGCGATAGTGGTTAGTCTTGAGAAGATCAGGTGTATAATCACAGCGGAGGAGGTTATTCTCATGAATGCTAGGGATGCATCTGTTGTTCAGTACCAGTCCGAACTGTGCAAACGCCTCCAGACGAACCAAAACCTAAATGTCAAAGGTCAGTGAGTTTTAATATAGCTTTGGTACCTCTGGAATTGAGATTGCTGAGAAAAACTGTTGGTTTCAGATGATTTGCCGTTTGAATTTAAAGCATTGGAGCTGGTTTTGGAATTATCTTGCTTGTCTTTAGATTCACAGGTATGTCACAATGTCTTCTCTAATTAGATCCATCATTCTTCTATAAGATCATAGAGCTTTAGGCTTATGTGGACTTGGTTTTCAATAGGTGAATGAGCTTGAGATGGAAGTGTATCCTGTTCTTGATGAATTAGCATCAAACATCAGCACGCTTAATCTAGAACACGTGCGGAGGTTAAAAGGTCGTCTTCTTGCCTTAACACAGAAAGTCCAGAAGGTAAAAAACACAATGAAGCTCTTTAGAATTGGGAAGATTAGTACCAGAGATTTTGAATTTTTGGGGGTGTAAAAAACAAAACTTTGCAGGTTTGTGATGAGATAGAACACTTGATGGATGATGATGATGACATGGCTGAGATGTATTTGACTGAGAAGAAAGAAAGAGCTGAGGCTCATGCTTCTTCAGGGGAGCTAGAAGATGATAATAACCTCGACGAGGAGTTTGATGGATCTTCTTCAGGGATACATTCAAAGTCTGCGCCGGTTTCGCCTGTTGGCTCAACAGCTGGAAACTTTGGGAAGCTTCAGAGAGCCTTTAGCAGCATCGTTAGCTCACACAGAAGCTTGTTGAGCTCCTCTAGCAGCGGAGAGAACATTGATCAATTAGAGATGTTGCTAGAAGCTTACTTCATCGTTGTTGATAATACTCTCAGCAAACTATCATCGGTTAGATTCCTTAAATCTTTTTTCTTTTTTTTTTCAGTTTAGATGTTGTTTCATATCGTTTTTGATAATGATCTTTTGTGTCTGCAGCTCAAGGAGTATATAGATGATACAGAGGATCTGATCAACATTAAGCTGGTAAACAGAACAATCAAAATCAAAGTTTTGTTATCTTCTTCTTCTTGCTTGCATGCCAAGATTCTCAGACTTTGTCCATGTTTTTTTTATTTTTCTTCTTAGGGAAATGTACAGAATCAGTTGATTCAGTTTCAACTGCTTCTCACGGCGGCGACCTTTGTGGCAGCCATTTTCGCGGCTGTAACCGCGGTTTTCGGGATGAATCTGAAAGACTCTGTTTTCAATGAACCGGCCACGTTCCAGTGGGTTTTGCTTGTGACAGGTATTGGATGCGGTTTTTTGTATTTTGGATTTGTGTTATACTTCAAGCACAAGAAAGTGTTCCCACTCTAAAAGATGTAACATGTTGCACTTGCACATAATAGTTTATTTCGAAACTAGTGTGTGTTTAAATAATGAAATCCTAAAAGCAGCCATACACTTAAATAGTAAGAACAAAAGCATATGATTCAAACCAATCTCACTAGACGGCGCAAGAAAACGTATGAACTAGGAACCGTAAGCACAACACTAGCCCACTCAACAGTTCCCCAAACTTCACCATTGCGTCTTTGGAGGTTAATCACGGAACACCAAATGTTCTTGTTTTGACATTGACCACCAGGTTGCTCAGACTTGTCCCATAGGATCAAGAGTTTCCCACAGTAATTAGCTGATGCAATAATAACACCAAGAGGAACATTCCTATTAAATGCCTCCAAACCTTTGACCACTCTCCACTCTTTACGCTTTTTGTCATACCAAAAGAAAAGTCTTGTTCTAAGAGAGTTCCGAACACGAACATTCTTTACCTTACACTCCAATATCCCATTCCCACCCAGTGTTGCTCTTGATGCGGCAACGTCCCATTTACCTTCTTTCGGATCATAAACATAGCGCTTCTTCTCGCTACTCTCAACGTAAATCTTTCCCTCGATCACTCTCATTGATTTAAGTAAAGAGAGGCGGAGCTCAGCGCCAGGGTCAGGTAAAGCTTCCCAAGTTTGAGTCTTTGTGTCGAAAACCTCAGCCCAATTCGCGGTTTCTTCTGCCTTGCAACCACCCATTACATATATTTTCTCATCGAGGACGCCCGCGACCGTGAGCGCCTTCTCTCGAGCCACTCTCATGCTAGGAGCTTTACGCCATGCATTGTTAACCCCCTTATTGCGAACACTCATCATCTTGAGGTGGTTGTTAAGCCCCGTGGAAGATCCGCATTGCCCAAATATTGCGTATGTTTTCGAACCAACCTCCATGAACGTTGATGGTTCACGACGAGTATATGAAGAAGGAACACGTGCCAACAAGGTGTTTCCGGTAGACGACGACTTCTTAATATCATTGGTTAGGGTTTGATCAGGCTTTATCCAGAGGCTGAACCATGAGGGAAGACGATGATCGGGAAGCTGTAAACAGACGTAAAGTACTTGTTCTATTCTTTCCAAGTGCTTTCGCGCAAGATCGAGCTCAGTGGATGCGATAATAGAGCGGAAGCTCTTGGAGACTAGGGAGAGTTTAGGGTAGTACGATTTCGGTATTCGGGCTAAGCAGCTTACGACGATTTCTTCGGGAAGAGACGAAAACGTTGTTGTCTTCTTCTTCTTCTGCGGTGGTTCTTCAAAGACGGAATTCATAGTGGCGGAGGCTATGGTGGGAGCAAAAGCAGAGATATTGTTTTGCGGTGCTTCTTCTTCTAGTTCCACCATCATACAATTACAATAGTTAAGAAAAAACGATTAGGTTAGGTTGCATGAAAAAAATAAGATATTATTAGGTCTTTTATGAAATGAGCATATAAATTACCCTTTTCTTTTTATTATTGAAACCTAACCCCTTTGAGTTAGTTAAAATAAGAAAAATACCATAAAATGGATAATAAATATAATTCCAAAAATAGGCTCATAAGTTTTTTGTATTTTAGTTTTGTGTTATACTTCAAGCACAAAAAAAAACATTCTCACTCTGCAACCTATGGGTTTTCTTCTTGTAAATATACAACATTTAATGGAACGGATCTTGTTAGAGACAACAAGATGTAACGTGTTCACATAAGAGATTATTTCAAAACTAATGTTTGTTTAAATAATGAAATCTAAAAGCAGCCATACACTTAATGGTAAGAACAAAAGCATGATTTAAATCGATTTCACTTGACCGCACAAGAAGACGTATGAACTAGGAACAGTAAGCACAACACTAGCCCATGTATAATGAAGATTATAGAGGAGAAATATAGTGAAGATTATTTGGATGCCGTTTTTTTGTACTTTGGTTTTGTGTTTATACTTCAAGCACAAAAAAGTATTCCCACTCTGAAACTTACTCAAGAGTTTTCTTGAACGGTTCTTGTTAACAGAGAGACAACTAGATGTAACATGTTGCACATAATAGCTTATATCAAAACTGATGTTTGTTTAAATAATGAAATCCAACAGCAGCCATACACTAATGGTAAAAGCATGATTTAAACGGATTTCACTTAACAAACGCAAGAAAGCGTATGAAGTAGGAACCGTAATCACTAAGCCACGCAACATTTCCCCAAACTTCATCACCACCATTGCGTCTTTCAAAGCTTAATCACCGAGCACCTAATGTTATTATTTGACATTGGCCACCAGGCTGCTCAAACATGTCCATACTAGGATCAAGAGTTCCCAGTTGGTGTAGAAACGTGTGATATTGATTGAGAAGCACACAACAAGGTTTCAAATTGGTGTAGAGTGTAGGAACAGACGTGTGCTATTAACTGAGAAGCACACAACAAGGTTTCAAATTCGTGTAGAGTGTAGGAACAAACGTGTGCTTTTCTTGTGTCTGCAGCTCAAGGAGTATATAGATGATACAGAGGATCAGATCAACATTAAGCTGGTAAAGACAGAACAATCAAAATCAAAGTTTTGTTATCTTCTTCTTCTTGCTTGCATCCCAAGATTCTCAGACTTTGTCCATGTTTTTTTTCTTCTTCTTAGGGGAATGTACATAAATCAGTTGATTCAGTTTCAACTGCTTCTCACCGCGGCGACCTTTCTGGCAGCCATTTTCGCGGGTGTAACCGCGGTTTTCTGGATGAATTTGCAAGACTCTGTTTTCAATGATCCGATCATGTTCCATTGGGTTTTGCTTGTGACAGGTATTGGATGCGTTTTTTGTATTTTGGGTTTGTGTTATACTTGAAGCACAAGAAAGTGTTCCTACTCTGAAACATACCACATGAGTTTTCATGAACGGTTCTTGTTAACAAGATGTAACATGTTGCACATAATACCTTATTTTCAAAACTAATGTTTGTTTAAATGATGAAATCCTAAAAGCAGCCATGCACTTAATGGTAAGAACAAAAGCATATGATTCAAACCGATCTCACTAGACAGCGCAAGAAAACGTATGAGCTAGGAACCGTAAGCACAACACTAGCCCACTCAACAGTTCCCCAAACTTCATCATCACCATTGCGTCTTTCAAGCTTAATCACGGAACACCAAATGTTCTTGTTTTGACATTGACCACCAGGCTGCTCAAGTTTTTCCCATAGGATCAAGAGTTTCCCACAGTACCTGGTTAATGTAATAATAACATGAGGAACATTCCTATTAAATGCCTCCAAACCTTTGACCACTCTCCACTCTTTACGCTTTTTGTCATACCAAAAGAAACGTCTTGTTCTAAGATAGTTCCGAACACGAACATTCTCTACCTTACACTCCATTATCCCATTCCCACCCAGTGGTGCAACGTCCCATTTACCTTCTTTCGGATCATAAACATAGTGCTTCTTCTCGCTGTTCTCAACGTAAACCTTTCCCTTGATCATTCTCATTGTTTTAAGTAAAGAGAAGCGGAGCTCAGCGCCAGGGTCAGGTAAAGCTTCCCATGTTTGAGTCTTTGTGTCGAAAACCTCAGCCCAATTCGTGGTTTCTTCTGCCTTGCAACCACCCATTACATATATTTTCTCATTGAGGACGCCCACGACCGTGAGCGCCTTCTCTCGAGCCACTCTCATGCTAGGCGTTTTACGCCATGCATTGTGAACCCCCTCATTTCAATCTCTCATGTCGAGGTGGTTTTGTAGCGTCGTCGAAGATTTGTATTGCCCCAATATTGCATATTTTTTCGAACCAACATTACCGACGAACGTTGATGGTTCCCAAGGAGAATATGAAGAAGGAACTCGTACCAACAAGGTGTTTCCGGTAGACGACTTGTTAATATCATTGGTTAGGGTTTGATCAGGTTTTATCCAGAGGCTGAACCATGAGGGAAGACGACGATCGGGAAGCTGTAAGCAGACGTTAAGTACTTTTTCTCTTCTTTCCAAGTGATTTCGCACAAGACGGAGCTCCCTGGATGAGATGATAGAGCAGATGCTCTTGGAGACTAGGGAGAGTTTAGGGTAGTACGATTTCGATATGTAGGCTAAGCAGCTTACAACGATTTCTTCTGGAAGAGACGAAAACGTTGTCTTCTTCTCCTGCGGTGGTTCTTCGACTACGGAATTCATATGTAAATTAGAAATTAGGGTCAAATTGTAACACCAAGAGGAACATTCCTATCGAATGCCTCCAAACCTTTGACCACTCTCCACTCTTCACACGTTATGTCATACCAAAAGCAGCCTTTTGTGCTACAAGAGTACCAAACATCTATGTAAGACTCTATTATCTCATCCTCCATTTCTGCTTTTGCTGTAACGTCCCACTTACCTTCTTTCAGATCGTAAACATAACACTTCTTCTCGCTGGTCTCAACGTAGACCTTTCCCTCCACCATACTCATTCTTTTAAGTAACGAGAAGCGGAGCTCAGCGCCAGGGTCAGGTAAAGATCCCCATGTTTGAGTCTTTGTGTCGAAAACCTCAGCCCACTTCGTGGATTCATCTGCTTCGCAACTGCCCATTACGTATATTTTCCCATCGTGGATGCCCGCGACCGCGTTCTCTCTAGCCACTGTCATGCTAGGCGCTTTACGCCATGCACTGTAAATACCATCATTGCCAACCCACATGTTGAGGTGGTGTCGCGTCGAGAGCTTCAATGCGTATGTTTTCGAACCAACATTACCGATGAACATACCAATAAGAAGAGAACACGTACGAGGAGAATATGAAGAAGGAACACGTACCAATAAGGTGTTTCGGGAAGAATACTTGTTGTTATCCTTGTCCATGATGTCATTGGTTAGGGTTTGATCAGGTTTTATCCAGAGGCTGAACCATGACGGAAGACGACAATCGGGAAGCTGTAAGCAGACATAAAGTACTTCTTCTCTTCTTTCCAAGTGAAATCGCGCAAGATAGAGCTCACAGGATGAGATGAGAGAGCAGAAGCTCTTGGAGACTAGGGACAGTTTCGGGTAGTAAGATGTTGATATGCGGGCTAAGCAGCTTACAACGATTTCTTCTGGAAGCGACGAAAACGTTGTCTTCTTGACGTTCTGCGGTGGTTCAACGTCCGAGTTCAAAACGGCAGAGGCGGTGGTGGGTTTAAAGTTAGAGATCGTTTTGTAAATTAGGGTCAAATTGTTTACGAAAAATTTGAAAGGAATACTTAAGAACAACAAAACAGCTACAAGAATCGAGAGAGAGATAATTTTGTTTTGCGGTGGTTCTTCTTCTAGTTCGATCTTCATGGTTTAGAAAACAGGATTAGCTTAAAGATATTATTAGGTCTTTATGAAATCAGCATACAAAAGAGCCCAAGTGTGAAGAAATAAGCTGCATGAAATTATTTATAACAAGCCGAAAGTAATAAATCCAGTGTTGAATAAGAACATATCTATAACACAGATGAGTTAGGATAAGATAGGCTTAATGTGATCCTAATAGAATTAGGAGCTGTGTAATTCTAATAGTAATAGGATTAGCAAAGTTGTAAATACCATTGTCAACTTTAGATTTGCTGAGAAAAACTGTTATCAACTTAGATTTGCTGAGACTTATGATATCAACTTAGAGTTTCGCCGCTGTAACGGCGGTTTTCGGGATAAATCTGCAAGACACTGTTTTCAAGGATCCGACCATGTTTCAGTGGATTTTGCCTGTGACAGGTATTGTTAACAGAGAGACTGCAAGATGTAACATGTTGCACATAATAGTTTATTTGAAACCACCATACACTAATGATAAGAACAAAAGCATGATTTAAACAGAGTTCAATCTGACCACCTGCTCAAACTTGTCCCATACATCTAGAGATGTCAAAGGGGCCAACCCGCACCCAAACGGGCCAGCCCTCCTCGGTTTTATCTCTTCGGCGGATCATGCAGGTCAGCCTGTTGGGGTTGCGGTTCCAAAATTTAGGCCCAAATCAGCTCAAACGGTCCATCCTGTGAGACTCGCCAAATAATGGACATAAAATGTTAAACTCTGCCCCGACCTGTCGCGGACCTAAATGGGCCAAACCCTTGGGATGCCTCCCAAATTGGACCTAGTAGGATCAATAACTCCCAGTTGGTGTAGAGTGTAGTAACAAAAGTGTGCTATTAGTTGAGAAGCACACAACAAGCTTTCAAAACCGTTGTTTATCTGTTCCATAAAAACAGAAAAACTACAAGTCAAATTCAATCTATGAACGTCTAAATCAATCGATAAAAATACATTTTCAAGGAAAGAAAAAAAAAGGCTTACAAGGACGTAGATATCAATTTTGTAGATCAAAGAATAAGTAGTCCAAATTCCAGCGTTGATGAAACTAACAAAAGACAACCAAAACGGCATGCACGTAAAGCTCTTCGTCTCCAACATTGTATTCTAATGTTTCATGCATAAAGAAAAAAGAATTAATCAAAACCCACTATCTATTAATTAGTAGTTTACTTATCCATCAATAATAGAGAGAGCTTACCTAAGCAAATGAAACAGACATACCAATGTTGTAAACGTTGCAAACAACACCAATTAAAGTATGCTTAAGGGATAAACTTTCAATTGCCCAAATATTAATCGCAGAGAAGCTTATCAGAAACTCTAACTCAAAAATGAGACATATATAAAGACCTTTCTTCTGCACATAAAGATCAACATCATATAAAAAAACCAATGTAGAATAATATGATTAAAAAACAAAATATGCATAAAAAGATGGACATACAAGTGATTCGTCACTGTAGATATAAAAGACAAGCACGTAGATAAATTCTAATACGAGACCAATGCCATTAGAGGTGGTGACGAGAAGACTGTCCTTGTGAATCATATGGAGACCATACAAAGCCCAAAAACCCCATTTCATCAACATCGCTACATGACGATGCGGTTCAAATCCCTCCACTGATTTCTTCTTGTATATTTGTATAAACTTTGGCCTGTATTTATTGCAAATTTTTATAACTCTTTACTAAAATAATCGTTAGATGTAATTGTGGGAAATTCTAATACAAGGAACAATACAGATACGCAGTATTAATAACCCCTATATACAGATTATGTTAGGGGCAAACTAGAAAATACGACTTTCAAAATTAACATTGATAAAAAATATAAACACATACATACATAGACACAACAAAATTGTGAAAGAAGAAAAGGGATATTACATTTGTGAAAGGGAGATCATAGTTGATATAACATCCCCTGCATCATGGCATAGAAAACTTGTCACTACCATAGCTTTGTTTGTTTTTTTGGGTGCAAAATCACTACCATATAGTTATGTCGAATTTGTGCTTATTAAATATCTATATTTGCCACACAAAGAAAACAAAACAAAAAACTCTTTTGCTCACTCAATCGAACCTATCAAGATAAATTAGGATAAACATAAATTATAACGACAAAAAATATGTACACATGGATTAGGGATTGAGACGCAGATAACGAGAGAGAGACGCAGATCATACCAATAATTCCGATGATTATACGAATATCTTTCACGTTATTCATTGTGAAATTGGCGAGATAGAGAGATTATATAGGCGATGAAGCAGATGAAGAGCTGAAGAAAGCTTAGTCTAGCAAGACAACGGTTAGTGCAATTTTCGCCTGTGAATGTGTACGCATATACTTGTATGAAGGGAGCGAGAGAAAGAGAGGCACGTCTCAGTCAATGAGTCAATGTTTCTCTGGAGTTGTTTTCTCTTTGGCATATTTCTAGGGAATTAGAAGATTGTATATTTGTAAATCTAAATATTTTTGTTTGTTACGATATGTATGGATAACTGTTTCTATTTCTTTTGTAGATAACAAATGTTTTTATTTTATTAAAATGAAAATCTTTGAAGATTTCAAAGAGGAATACGAACCATTGAAGGTTTCTCTTGTAAATTTCCGTCAATGAAACCATTTGATCAGAGTCTTTAATTTGTTACACATCATAGAGAAGGAAAGAAACCACAGTTCATATTAAAATCGTCTTTAGTGGAGATCGAGTTATTCATGCATTCGATATAGGAAAACATAAAAGGAATTGCATGTTATATTTTATTTAGTGGGCATAACTATCAAGCTTTTTTTTTTTTTTGTTTTTTTTGTTCAAATGCATAACTATCAAGCTATATGCATGGAATTGGAATAACAACAGAGGATATCATAGGGAAAAAAACATACGTATTTGATTGTTTGCTATATAAAAAAGAAACATGAACTCCGTTACGAATTACCTTAGAAAGAAATTCAAAATCATTGCAAAGATCAAGACTAAAAAGACAAAAGACCAAGCATGGAATGATTTGACGGAGAAAACATGTAATTTATTAGGCCGTGTTGTATCAAACAAAATGCTTGATCAAGTATTCAAAAACTGAAAAAAAAAACTAAAATGCTCGATCAGAATTGAAGAAGACAAGGAAAATAGATTAAATCTAATTAAAAGCAACATTAATAGTTTATTGCAAAACATTAAAAGCAACAATTCACTAAAGAAAGCCATTGGCAAGTGGTTAAAACAAAAGCATTGATTCAACCCAAGTGCACTTCATAACGCAAGAAATCGTATGAACTAGGAACCGTAAGCACAACACTAGACCACTCAACAGTTCCCCTAACTTCATCATCATCATTGCTTCTTTCAAACTGAACCACGGAACACCAAATGTTCTTGTTTGGACATTCACCCCCAGGCTTCTCAAACTTGTCCCATATGATCAAGAATTTCCCACAGTATTTAGCTAATGCAATAACACCACCACCACGAACATTCCTATCAAATTCCTCCAAACCCTTAATAACTCTCCACTTTTTACGCTTTTCATCATACCAAAAGCAGCCTTGTGTGGTACAAGAGTACCAAACATCTATGTAACACTTTGTTCTCTCATCATCCACTAATGCTTTTGCTACAACGTCCCATCTACCTTCTTTCGGATCATAAACATAACAATCATCCTCCACGCTACTCTCAACGTAAACCTTTCCCTCGATCATTCTCATTGATTTAAGTAAAGAGGAGCGGAGCTCAGCGCCAGGGTCAGGTAAAGCTTCCCAAGTTTGAGTCTTTGTGTCGAAAACCTCAGCCCAGTTCGCGGTTTCTTTTGCCTTGCAACCACCCATTACATATATTTTCTCATCGAGTACGCCCCCGACGGCGAGCGTCTTCTCTCGAGCCACTCTCATGCTAGGCGCTTTACGCCATGCATTGTTAACCCCATCATTGCGAACCTTCATCTCGAGGTGGTTGGGTAGCGTCGTCGTCGAAGATCTGTATTGTCCCAGTATTTTATATTTTTCCGAACTAACCTTACCGATGAACGTTGATGGTTCCCAACGAGTATATGAAGAAGGAACAGGTGCCAACAAGGTGTTTCTGGTTGGCGACTTGTTCTTATCATTGGTTAGGGTTTGATCAGGTTTTATCCAGAGGCTGAACCATGAGGGAAGACGATCGGGAATCTTTAAGCAGACGTAAAGTACTTTTTCCCTTCTTTCCAAGTGCTTTCGCGCAAGACGGAGCTTCTTGGATGAGATGATAGAGCAGAAGCTCTTGGAGACTAGGGAGAGTTGCGGGTAGTACGATTTGGATATGCGGGCTAAGCAGCTTACGACGATTTCTTCTGGAAGCGACGAAAACGTTGTTGTCTTCTTCTTCCGCGGTGGTTCAACATCGGAATTCATAGCGGAGCCAGAGGCGGTGGAAGGAGCAAAAGAAGAGATTTGGTTTTGCGGTGCTTCTTCTTCTAGTTCCACCTTCATCAATAGTTAAGAAAACATGATTAGTTAGGTCTTTATGAAATACCTTTTTGTTTTTCTATATCAATAGTTAATTAAATTATCTTCCTACGACGATTTCCTCAGGAAGAGACGAAAACGTTGTCTTCCCCTTCTTCTGCGGTGGTTCTTCAACTTCGGAATTCATAGCGGCGGAGGCTGTGGTCGGAGAAAAAGCAGAGATTTTGTTTTGCGGTGCTTCTTCTTTTAGGTCGATCATCACAATGATTAGGTTAGGTCTTTCTTAAATACGTTTTTATTTTATTTTTCTAAATTGAAAACTAACCCCTTTGAGTTAAACCCCTCAATTATTAATATAGCAAGAAAACCCTCAACTAAAAACCCCTCGATTATTAAGTTATGATGATAAAAGGCCTCATGTTTAAATCCTTCAGTGTACACCTCCACCTACTTTCTCGTTAAAACTGGACGAACACATTTAATCAAAACGCAGTGTTCTAATAAACCAAAAAAACAACATGATGTTTTTGTTAAACAACACGCTTTGTACTCAGAACATAGCTTAATTTTTTAGGGTTCGTAGTTTCGTTTGGTAGATGCCCACATTTTTCTTCTCGATCAATTATTTGTCTGTTTCTCCTCATCAAATCTGATTATCTTGCTAGTTGCTTTTTGGAATTTAGTGAGACTCTTCGTTTCTATTTGGAATTAGTTAAAAACTGATTATTGATAAAGTTATTTTAGACTTTCTTTGATTGGGAAAATGAAACCTGCGCTTTGTCATGTTAGCTGGTTGATGAAATCTCTGCTGGAAAGGAATTATAGAATTGCAGTAAAGAGGAAAGAGGTTTGTCACTGAATTTGCTCAATTAGATTTCAGATGCATTAAAGCTTGAAGTACAAAGTCAATACATAAATTAAAGAAGAAGATAACTACTGCATGATGTGAAAATCCCAAACTAAAACATCCTAAATAATCAGAAAATACCCACGATTCCTAAATCCATAAACCCAACTACTCAAACCCAGATTCAATTTTGAATCAGTTAAGAGTTTCTGGTGATTTGATATACACTACGATGGAAATTGCAGTGCAAGCTCTGGTTCTGAAAAACCAAAAAACAAAAGCAACCCATTTCATAATGAGACATACACTAGGATGACCTGGCTTCAAGCTCTGTGTTTTGAAAGATCCAACAGTGATTGATAGAAGATACGAATATTCGGTTTAGATATTATGTTAGTAATCTTGTAAATCCTCTTTGTAGATCCCAGATTATGTGGAACTGATTGTAACCACTATGGCTATACATAGCTAACGTAAATACAAGAATCCCTCAAGGGAAATTCATCTTATTTCAGTGATGAAAAGTAAAACCTAATTTTTGGATTTTTAAACTGGGAATTTTTAATCAAAGTTTGCAATGAAAAACATGTCGTTTTTTGGATTATCAGAACACAATGTCCGTCTAGTTTTAACGAGAAAGTAGATAGAGGGGTCTTGACATTGAAAGATTTAAACATAAGGGGTCCGGATCATGGTTGAACCCAGTCCGACCACCGGTTCGGTCCGAGACCAAGCAAATCCTGGAATAATTTAGGGAGAAAAGACGAGTCTGAAAGGCCATGTTGTTTCAAACAAAATGCTTGATCAAGGATTCAAAAACTGAAGAAAACTAAAATGCTCGATCAGAATTGAAGAAGACTAAGCAAATAAAAATAGTTTATTTTCAAACTTCTGTTTGTTCAAAATAGAAATAGAAAAATAAAGCAACAATGCACTGAAGAAAATGGTGAGGAACAAAAAGCATTGATTCAAACCGAATTCACTTCATAACGCAAGAAAACGTATGAACTAGGAACGGTAAGCACAACACTAGCCCACTCAACAGTTCCCCAAACTTCATCATCATCATCATCATTACGTCTTTCAAGGTTAATCACCGCACACCAAATGTTCTTGTTTTGACATTGACCACCAGGCTTCTCAAACTCGTCCCATAAGATTAAGAGCTTCTCACGGTAGTTAGCTAATGTAATAACTCTTACACCACCACCACGACAATTCCTATTAAATGCCTCCAAACCTTTGACCATTCCCCGCTCTTTACGCGTAATGTCATACCATAGGCAACATTTTGTAACACTATCATAAAGGTACCAACAAACATCTATGTAACACATAATTCTCTGATCATGCACTAATGCTGTTGCTGCAACGTCCCATCTACCTTCTTTTGGATCATAAACATAACGCTTCTTCTCGCTGTTCTCAACGTAGACCTTTCCCTCGATCATTCTCATTGATTTAAGTAAAGAGAAGCGGAGCTCAGCGCCAGGGTCAGGTAAAGCTTCCCAAGTTTGAGTCTTTGTGTCGAAAACCTCAGCCCAATTCTCGGTTTCTTCTGCCTTGCAACCACCCATTACATATATTTTCTCATTGAGGACGCCCGCAACCGTGAGCGCCTTCTCTCGAGCCACTCTCATGCTAGGCGCTTTACGCCATTCATTTTTAACCCCCTCATTGCGAACCTTCATCTCGAGGTGGTTGTGTAGGGTCGTCGAAGATCTGTGTTGTCCCAATATTGCGTATTCTTTCAATCCAACCTTACGGAGGAACGTTGATGGTTCACGAGGAGAATATGATGAAGGAACTGGTACCAACTTGGTGTTACAAGACCTGTTGTTGTCATCCTTGTCCATGTAGTCAATTTTTAGGGTTTGATCAGGTTTTATCCAGAGGCTGAACCATGAGGGAAGACAACGATCGGGAAGCTGTAAGCAGACATGAAGTACTTTTTCTGTTCTTTCCAAGTGAAATCGGGCAATATAGAGATCAAAGGATGAGATGAGAGAGCAGAAGCTCTTGGAGACTAGGGACAGTTTCGGGTAGTGCGAATTTGATATGCGGGCTAAGCAGCTTACAACGATTTCTTCTGGAAGCGACGAAAACGGTGTCTTCTTCTTCTTCTTCTGCGGTGGTTCAACATCAGAATTCATAGCGGTGGTAGGAGAAAAGCAGAGATTTTGTTTTTCCGGTGGTTCTTCCTCTAGTTAATAAAAAATGATTAGTTATGGGACTGAAAATTAGAGATTTTTTATGGTAATCTTCCGTAATTAAAAAATATATAGTCGGCCATATTAAGAATATGAGAATCATGCATACAGCTATACAATTAGTAAATTTTATACTCCCTCCGTTTTACTTTATATGTCGTTCTAGACATTTGCACATATATTAAGGAAATTCATTAATTGACTGCTTTACCTTACAGATAATAGCTATTTACCATTTTAATTATATTAAATTTATTTTTCTGCCTTTTTCTTTTTATTTTATGAAAAGAAAAATATCTCTTTTTCCTTATTTTCTTCTTCACCGAGTTCACGACACACAAACAGTCAAACACCAAGCTTTTTCAGAAACTAAATATATCAAATCTAAAAGCAACAATAGTTTATTTTAAAACTTCTGTTAGTTTAAATAGATTAAATCTAAAAGCAACTACGTATATATACTATTAAGAAAGCCATTGGCAGGTAGTGGTTAAAACAAAATTGTGATTCACTCCAATTCCACTTGCCAACGCAAGAAAACATATGAGCTAGGAACAGTAAGCACAACACTAGCCTACTCAATAGTTCCCCAAACTTCATCATCATCATCATCATCGCCATTACGTCTTTCAAGGTTAATCACCGAACACCAAATGTTCTTGTTTCGACATCGACCACCAGTCTGCTCAAACTCGTCCCATAAGGTTAAGAGCTTCCCACCGTAGTTAGCTAACGTAATAACTCTTACACCACCACCACGACAATTCTTATCAAATGCCTCCAAACCTTTGACCACCCTCCACTCTTTACGCTTTTCGTCATACCAAACGCAACATTTTCTATGACTATCATAATGGTACCAACAAACATCTATGGCACACATTCTTCTCTCATCCACTGGTGCTTTTGCTGAACCCTCCCATCTACCTTCTTTCGGATCATAAACATAGTACTTATTCTTGCCTCTCTCAACGTAAACCTTTCCCTCGATCATTCTCATTGTTTTAAGTAAAGAGAAGCGGAGCTCAGCGCCAGGGTCAGGTAAAGCTTCCCAAGTTTCAGTCTTTGTGTCGAAAACCTCAGCCCAATTCGCGGTTTCTTCTGACTTGCAACCACCCATTACGTATATTTTCCCATCGAGGAAACCCGCCACCGCGTTCTCTCTAGCCACTGCCATGCTAGGGGCATCACACCATGTATCATAGTCAACTCCCTCATTGCAAACCCACAAGGTGAGAAGGGGACTCGAAGAATCTTCTTCGCATTGACCCAATAAGTATGTTTTCGAACCAACCGTACCTTTCCACGTTGGTGGTTCAAGAGGAGAATATGAAGAAGGAACACGTACCAATAAGGTGTTTCCGGAAGAAGACTTGTTGTTATCCTTGTCCAGGATGTCATTGGTTAGGGTTTGATCAGGTTTTATCCAGAGGCTGAACCATGAGGGAAGACTACGATCGGGAAGCTGTAAGCAGACGTAAAAAAAGTTTTCTAGTTTTTTCAAGTGACATCGCGGAAAGTCCAGCTCGAAGGATGAGATGAGAGAGCAGAAGCTCTTGGAGACTAAGGAGAGTTTCGGGTAGTGTGTTTTTGATATGCGGGCTAAGAAGCTTACGACGATTTCCTCTGGAAGCGACGAAAACGTTGTCTCCTTGTTCTGCGGTGGTTCAACATCGGAATTCATAGCGGCAGAGGCGGTGGTAGGAGCTATAGCGATTTTGTTTTGCGGTGATTCTTCTTCTAGTTCCATCTTCATAAAATCTAGGGAATTGTAATAGAAATAAAGGAAAACAAGTGCAAGTTTTTAATAACACCCAAATATCTACTTAGAATTAAATTAGGAAAAAAAATAATCGAAAATAAGGGTTTTTAATTATATAAATACTCACTTAGAATTTTAGAGCAAATTAAAGAATAATATAGTTTTAAGTAGTATATATATTTATTTTCTATGTGGACATTCTCAACAACTTATGGATCAATATTTAACTAAAAAAGCTTACAATATATATTTACAAAAGGAATGAAGTCGGTAGTCAACTTTATAAAAAAAAACTAAAACTTTATTAAGAAAAGTAATTACTCCATGCCGCGTGCGTAAACTATAATTATGCATATTGCATAGGTAATTTAATTTTTTTTGGTGGTTGTAACTCATAAGCAGAACCAATTTTGGGAGCAAGCAAAACAAGCAGCAGTTTGCGACCTCGGCCCTAAATATAATTTTATTGGCCTTTGTTTTGACGAAAAACTTTGGCAGTCTAGTGATATCCGTCTTTTTCAACTGTCTCTAGCAGTCTTAGTTTGACTCCTCAATACTTTTACTATATTTTATTTTTTTCTCTCTTTTTTTATAAAAAATTCGGCCAAATTTATTTTAGGCTTCTGGCCTACCACATGCCAGGGATAGCTCTGTTCATAAGAGAGATTTTCTGTTTAATTAAGGCAATATAGTAACGAGTTATGAGTTATATGCATAGAAGATTCTATTGCTTATGGTTCATTATATGTTTTCATTTCTTTTCATCTCTTTGTATCTGTTTCAAAAAACTGTATGAGTCTACGGTCATGGATTGTGTAATCATCGTTTTTATAAAGTGGCGTTTATACAAATAAAAAAAAACAAACAAACAAACAATAGATGATCCACACATATCGGAGGGAACACGTCTGCCATTGTCATCGGGGGAGATGCTAGAACAAAAGAAAACAAAAAGAATAAATTCAAAAACTTGGCGATGACGAATAATTGTTTTCTTTAACAGTAGAAATTGCAATTTGAAACAATCAACTACTTTTAATTCTTATCCTTATTTTATCTTGCTGACAAATGCCCTTTGTATTTTTTTGCGCTAATAGAAAAGGAAAAGAAAATGATGAACTCCTTTGACGAATTACCTTATAAAGAAATCATTCTACAGTACATCGATCATTGGAAGATCAAAACTAAAAAGACACAAAAACAAGAAACAGACAAAATACTCAAAATTGACTTAAACAAAGACTATAATTTGTTACGCCATTCGATTCTACTCGTGACAATATTGAAGACACGATGATCATGATCTGGCCAAATCAAATGTCATCATCAACGAATCATGATCATCATCTTTGTTTCGTATGTTTAAGTACGTTACATAATATATCTTTTTTCAGTGCATCCATTGTGGATTACCGGAGACGACGCTTCATCTTCTATTCCATTGCACCTTTCCACAATGGGTGTGGAATCTAACACCCAATTGCCTCATTTACCTTCCCCAGCCTCAAGATAGGGATCTCAAAGCTTAAGACACTTATCTGCCTACCACTGTCGAAATCAAAGCAGAATCCTTAGCGGAACTATCATATAGGACCACATCTACACAATGTTTAAAGCCTTTTTCTAGATCTCCATCAAATAAAAGTTATATACCTACAAAGAAAAAAAGACCAAAAAAAAAAAGAAAAAAAAAAGAAAAAAAGACCAAAAGCATAAACTGGAACAACTTCAAGGAGAAAACATGTAATTTATTAGGGGGCAATGACTAGAACAACCTTTTATTATGTCTTAATGACTAGAACAACATCTTCCCATTTTGCCAACTGAAAATATTTTTGTACCTATTTTACCTCCATTTCTTTGTATTCGAAAAACGATATTTACGAGACTGCCATTAATGAAAGTTTATCACGTCAACATTCACGAAATAAAAACTCTACCAAATGAATGATGGTAGATTTAGTCACCATCAGATATATTTGTCGACACGGTAAATTTAGTCTCGAATGGTATTGTTTGCGCGATAGAGTTGTTAGCGGACCAGTAGAGTCATACTAGAACAATTTTAAGGAGAAAAACACCTAATTTATTGGCCGTGTTGTTTCAAGCAAAATGTTTGATGCAAGGATTAAAAACCGAAGAAAACTAAAGTGTTTGATCAGAATTGAAGAAGACTAAGCAAATAGATTAAATCTAAAAGCAACAATAGTTTATGAACCAATATGCTAGCTCACATATAACAATAAAATAAGCCTACTTAAACGAAAACTAAGCAAATCTTGGGAAGCACCAGTGGGTTTGATCTATAAGCAAGTTCTTCGGCCATGTGATTTTACTTGTGGCAAGATCGAAGACACCGCACTTTGAAAGATGATCAGAATCCTCCCAAACATCATCTTCAACGAAACATATTGAATCACTTTTAACTCCATCACCACCATCTCTAACCGGTGCTCTTATCGTAACCCCATGTCCAAAGATCAACATCTCATCATGACCATCTCCAATAGAATACACTCTTTCCCATTTCCCACTCTCAAGATTCATCTTAAAGACGTAAAACAAAAGTTTCTCTTCATATTTCTTTTCTTTCAAGCTCAAGATGACAAGTACCTCTCCTGATTTGCCAATCGCTATCTTCCTCCTCCAAATGTATTCCCACGGTTGCTCAACGAAGTCAAACGGATGGTTCCAGTAAGGGTTCTTGATACCTTCTTCTTCTTTAGGGAAAACTCGAGAGAAGTCGAAAATCCTGATGTAATGATCAGTTGTGAACACATAGAGCTTACTGTTCTTATAAGCCATATCGAAAAAGCCACGCGAATCTCTGCCTTGTAGAATCAGACGCGACCACGAATCATCTCCTTTCTTGTATGAGAACAAGTAATTCTGACGTAGAACCCAAGCAACGACATAATCCCCTGTTCTCTCGTTTATCCAGAGAACAGCTGATTTTATGCATTTGATGTTTTCCTTCAGCTTGTTGGAGTATTTCTTTGTCTCTCTTGACGAATCCATATTTTCGTGCTTGCTTCTTCCTGACGAATTCATTGCTGGAAGATCGACCCTTTTGCCCGTGAAGAGGTTCATGAGATGGAATTCGATACTAGCATTCACCAGTAGGAGCCAATTTCCGGACCTAACCAGACAATGGTTGTCGTTGCAAGCTGAGAGTTCGATGAGTTTTGTTTCGTGACTCTCGTCTTCTTTGGAATCGAACAGCGTCGAAGGATCACCTTGGTATGTCATCTTCCAGAGAGACAGAGGCAGACAAACGCATGTTCTCCAAACGGAATACCACTCAGAGCAAACGGATTTTGCATTGTAAAAATCATTAGAGCTCAAGCTTTTGAGGATCTTTCACAAAAGATCGGGACAAAGCTTGGACCAATCGTGCTTCCTAGTATTTTTTCTTCGTCTCCTCTTCTTCTTCCTTCTTTCCAAACTGTTCGGCGTATCCATGTCTGCGCTTACGACCACACTAGCGAAACATCAACGGTTTCAAAGGTTTAAAACAGAGGAAACATCTTAACATGAAAAACCAGAAAAAAATAACAGAGGAAACCTAATTAGGGTTTTAAAATTTGACATCTTACACGATTTATTTGCAAGATTAGACCCTCATTTTTAATCTATTTTTTTTACTAGTTACCTATAGTCATCTCAACCAATTATTGTTACCAAGACAGAAAAAAAAAAACAAGAAAGAACACATCTACACGAATTTGGTTAAATTGAACTCTAAGGACTTGTTGAACAAGTTACAACTAGCCATTAGTGAAGTTACTCACTCTTCTCCATACTCTCAAGAACCGTTACAAAAGCTGATTCATGAACTAAAATTTTAATCCTTTAAGCATTTTAGCTTGTAGACGATGTTTCTGTGAATGTTTCCTTTTTCAAATCATTTTCTATGTCCTGATGAAGCCATAAGAACCGCAACTGCAACTATGAACATAAAGAGCATACTAATAAGAAGTGCATATGTTCTTCTCGATGATCTCCTGTATTCTCCAAACAGCAATATCCCCCAAAACGTGCTCACAAGAGGAAGTGCCTGAAACCCATCAAAAATCAATGTAAAATGATATGTTTGTTTAGAATCTTCAAATAGAGAAGAAAAGGGTTTTAGTCTAAACCTGAACAGCGTCAGCAGCTGCATAGCCAGCGGCTTGACCGCCCATAAACTGAAGACCATTACCAAAACCACAGAGAAAACCAGCCAAGAGAGACCATCCACGGCCGTTCCAGTCATTTAGGTAAGCCTTGAAAGAAGATCTTGGGAGACCAAGAACAGGCCAATATAGAAATCCGATGTTGAGTATCAGACCAACTACAAACGCAGAGATTGAGAAGTAGAAGAAAGCAGTGTACACGTTGAGTTTAGGAACCCCATGTTTCAACGTGTGCCATTGATCGTTTGTTGCCAAGTTGAATGCAGGTGAGAACAGAGAGAAACAGATACCGGCAAAGAAAGTTATCGCCAGTCCAATAATTGTGCTTTTCCCAAACACCTATCAAAATGCAAAATCTTGATTTTGTTTTCAAGAAAACTATAAACCATATTTGATATTGGAGCGGAAATGGAAAAAGATTGTCTCACCTTTATAGCTCTTTGTTTCTCAAGCTCTATAAGAAAATCTGCAGTCCCTTCTTTTGCTTTCCCTTTCGCTAACCGATCTGTCTCTATTTGAGAGGAAGAAGCAGTCTCTAAACTGAAACAAGATCAAGATTAGTGCTAAACCAAACCAAACCAAACCAAAAAACAAAACAGAAAACAAGTTTAATGAGTCTTTTTAAAACCTTTTGAAATCTTGGAGTTTGGATTTGTTATCAGCTGCATTTGATTTATGAACAGCAGAGCCGAAACAGACAGCGATCAAGAAACAAGCAACGCCAGGGAAAAGGATCTCAGCTCTGTTGATTCTATCATCCAAGAAATAGTTCAAAGTTGTGCCTATAACAACAGTGATACTAGATGTGATGACTTCAGTGACAGATAAACCAACAAAAGCCCAAGCATATTGTGTTGCTAAGTTTCCAAGGCTAAGAACAATTCCTCCAGCCATTGCAAACATCACAGACTGCCAATTATCCTGTCATTAAAAAACAAAACCAAAAACGCTCTTCAACAATATATTTCCAAGCAGAAAAGTGTGTAAGTATGTATATGTGACTGACTTGAGACAGCTGTGTGATGAAATTTGGTCTGCCTGGGCCTATTTGGCCAAGAGTGAAGGCTATGATTACAGCAGCTAAGAGGTTTGTGATTGTGTAGTCAAGATAAGTGTGTTGAGGAAGCCGACCGCGTCTTTCGGTTAGAGTCATGATCGCTGGCCATGTCCCTAAGAAGAGCAGAGCCAAGAGCATACAAGTGATTGCTCCTCCTTTGCTCTCTATCATATACATCTTTCACTCTCTCTATGCATTAAACAAGAAGAAGGAAGATTCTTCAGTTAGAACAGAACGCAAGACACATACCGGTACAAGAAGATCTACAGGAAAAACCTCTGTTTCACTGAGTTTCAATTAGTTCCCTCGACCTAAAGCAAATTCTTAGACTGTTTCTTGGTGTGAACATAGAAAATCAGATTAAGGGTTGTAGTTCTAATAATAAGATCTCAGGAAAACTGAAAAAATAGGCAACCACACAAGGCAACACAGGAAGACAAAAATCTTTTCGGATTCCTAAAGAATCAATAAGAAGAGAGACAAAAAAAAGTAAAGATCTTTGACTAGTGGGTTTCATGAAAGAATTTACCTTTTCTCTTTGACTTTGAGGACTTTGAGGAGGAACATAGAAACCAGAGAACAGAGACGAGAGAGAAAGAAGTTACAGATTCTCATGTGATGGGGGGAGATTCAGAGTATGTTTGTGGCTGTGATATACCACTGTCAAATTCAGCAGATAAAGACAGCTCCTTTCCCAAAATTATTGTAAACTATGAAGAATTTCTACAAAAAGACAAATGTCTCGACTTGCGTACAAATTTTATTCCTTTGCCAGTGCGAAAGTCAACTAATGACGTTATCTTGTCTTTATTTTATTGGAAAACCCATTTTGAAATATTAAAACTTAATAATGTTTATAACTTGAAAATTTGAACAAAACAACTTTTTTTTTTTTTTTTTTTTTTAACAAAACAACTTGGAAACAAAAGACTAATAATTAATAAGCAACTCCTGGAGCAAACCACTGAGTTTTGTTTATATAAACGCATAATCTCTTACGCCATTCGATTCTACTTGTGGCAAGATCGAAGACACCGCAATCTGAAGCACGACGGTCATGATCTTGATGGTCTGGCCAAACATCATCATCGACGAAACAGATTGAACCACTCTTGATCCCATCACCAAAACAATCTTCAACCGGTGCTCTTACCGTAACCCCATGACCAAACACCAACATCTCACCTTTTATAGAATATACTCTCTCCCATTTCCCACTCTTACGATTCATCCTAAAGACGTGAAACAAAAGTCTCTCTTCATGTTCATTTTCATATTTCTCCTTTTCTTTTAAGCTCAAGATGATCAAAACCTCTCCCGAGTTTCGAATCGCTATCTTCCTCCTCCAAATGTACTCCCACGGTTGCTCAACGAAGCGAAACGGATAGTACCAATACGGGTTCTTGATACCTGCTACTTCTTCATTAGGGTTCCCTCGAGAGAAATCGAAAATCCTGATGTGGTTATCAGTTGTGAACACATAGAGCTTCTTGTTCTTACAAGCCATATCGTAAAAACCACGCGAGTCTGTGCCTTGTAGGATCGGTTTAACCATGAAACATCTCCTTTCTTGTATGAGAACAAGAATTGCTGTCTAAAGATCCAAGCAACGACGTAATCTCCTGTTTTATCGTCTATCCATAGAACAGCTGAACTTTTCCATTCGCGAATGTCTTCCGAGAGGTTTTCCCATCCGATAATGTCCTTGAGACGACGATGCTTACGACAAGTCTTGACCAAGAGTCCACACTTTTCGTCAGATTTCATTTTCACTTCCTCCATTGACGGAAGCTTGATCTTCTTAAACGTTAACAGGTTCAAAAGATAGAACTCGGTACGATCATCAAGCATGAGGAGCCAGTTGCCGTAGCTAGCCATGCGATAGTCTCCGGAGAGTCCTTCGACGAGTTTTCTTGTGTAAACCTTGTCTTCATCGGGATCAAACAGATTTGAAGACTCGCCTTGGTGTATGATCCGCCATGGACGACTACGAGGACGATTAGCACATGTTTTCCAAACGGAATACCAACCTAAGCAAACGGTTTTTGCTCGGTGAGAGTCGACAGGGATCAATGTCTCGAAGATCTTTCGCAAAATATCGGGACAAAGCTTGGACCAATCAAGATCTCTAGGTTTTGACGTATCCATGTCTGCTCTGTTACCTGCTAGGGTTTTCGTTTTGAAATATTGTATCAAGCAAGAAGATTCTACTAAATATTCGGTTTCTCATGTACTAGGCCTGATTTGTTTAAGGATTATGGGCTTGTTAGAGCATGTGCAATGCACATACCCATACATACCCATATGGGTATGTTCCCACATTTAATATATTAAAAATAATATTATTTTAGTTAAAGATTTTTGGAAGAAACTTTAAGAATTATGGCACAACATTGCACATACCATATGGATTTCTTTAAAAAAAAAATTATGATTTTTTTTTGAAGTATTTATAAAATTGAAGAAAATATTATTATTCATAATAACTCGAATACATTATTAAAAAGACAAATACAACATTTATTACATATAAAACGAGGAAAAAAACGCATAGAGAAAACACAAAGACAAACATACATGTTCTAAACCATATGAAAACATGATTAATGACCAAATTTGTTCCAAATATGCTCAACCAAATCAGCTTTCAATTGGTGATGCTTTTGTTGGTCACGAATATCAGCTCGATTAGCCATAATATTGTGGACATTCGACGGCAAGCGGTCAGGGGGACGTACTCGTGAAGACCCGCTCCCGTCTGCTCCTCCTTGTTGGAATTCCGTTACGTTATCTAGTTTCAGCGTCTCTTTCATCTTCCACAATCATATTGTGTAATATGATACAAGCCTTCATTATATTCCCTATCTTCTGCTTATCCATTGTAAGAGACGGGTTTTTAACAATTGCAAATCGAGCTTGTAAGACTCCAAAAGCGCGCTCAACTTCTTTGCGGGCAAACGATTGATGGGCACAAAATAATTTTGCTTTCGGTTCTCCTGGCTGAGGAATTGGTTTGACAAAAGTGACCATTCCGGATATATACCATCTGTGAGATAGTAAGCCATCTTGTATCGGTGTCCATTAACAGAGAATGACACCTTAGGAGCTCGACCTTCTAATATATCATCAAACACGGGTGAGCGGTGGAGAACATTAATGTCGTTTAAAGTACCTGGAGGTCCGAAAAATGCGTGCCAAATCCACAGATCATACGACGCGACAGCCTCTAAAACGATTGTTGGTTTTGCATGACCCCGTGCATATTGCCCTTTCCATTCCGTGGGACAATTTTTCCACTCCCAATGCATACAGTCAATGCTTCCTATTGAGCCAGGAAATCCACGCGTCTCTCCGACCTTGAGTAATCGTTTAAGATCTGCTGGTGTAGGCCTTCTGAGATAGTCCTCCTCGTAAAAACGATGATTGCGTTGGTAAATTTATGCAAGCATTTCAGCGCAGTGCTCGCTCCTAGTCTGAGGTATTCATCGACTGCATCAGCTGCATTGCCATATGCAGCATACGAATGGCGGCCGTGCATTTTTGTAAGCCGGTCAAACCGGGCTTTCCAGTACCATCCGGTATGTGCTGAAAGAAGGGTAAGTCGGATAGCTTGTTAACTATACGCATGAACAATGGTCGGTTCATCCGGAAGCGACGTCGGAAAATGGCCTCGGGATAGATAGCATTCTCACTGAAATAATCATTGATCAAGCGGATGTTCCCTTCTTCACGTCTTCGATCTATGACCGCTCGTTTCTCCCTTCTCTTCTCTGGCTCAAGAACTTCATTTATATCATCTAAACACTCTCTCATAGATTTGCAAACTCATAATCGATTGCTTGTTGAAACTCATCATCAAATGAAAAAGGATGGTTGGAAGATGATGCCATTTTTAGGTTTCTTTGCAATTTAGAAAAGAGTTAGGTGTTTTAATGAATAGAGATGTATGAGAGATTTGTTTCTAATTGTGTAAAGATTTTTTTGAGTTGTAATGAATGAAGAAGAGAGTGTAATGAAAGAGAGTTTATGATGCAACAAAGAAAGACAAAAGGTTTTATAGAACAAGAATTTCACATATAAGTTGGCCGAGAGTTGCATGTGACATGGCCGAGACAAAACACAAACAAACGAAAACAGTGGCCGAGTTTGTTTTAATGTGGCCGACAAAACTAAAAAACAAGTTTCAAAAAAGAAAAAAAGTTGTGTCACACATACGACCAAACTCTGAGGTCGGCAACAACAACAAACACGTTTTCAGTCAGAAGGAGAGAACGAAGATGTCGGCAACAACATCTACACTTTTCTTGCTCCAGGCTCCTTTTTAGTCTGCATACACGCAAAAACCATTGCTTATAAACACATAAATTCAAGGAAAATTTAAAGAACACATACGCATTGATGGAAGCAGAACACATTACCTAAGTTCAAGGATCGTTTCACCACTTGCGCCTTTTCTCCCATCTTCGCAGAGGTCTCTTTCAGACACCCTAAACAATCCTCCATCTCTCTATCGGCCTCACGGGAAGCTGCTCCACAGTCCAAGCAATCTTGCTCTGCTTCCATCAGTAAGTTCTCACAGGCGGCCATATCTTCCCTCAACTGGAGTGTGTGACGCTGAAGAGACCTAAACCGATCGTAAGATGCCATGAATGCTTTCTGAACATGTTTGTGTTTGATTTGGAGCAAGTCCAACCGGCGCTTTTCCGAGTTGTACAATCACAAGTAGGTCCTGCAAGAACCATATACAGGAAGCAGAGCGTTAAACTTCAAGCTTCCGACATAAACAACAAACATAAACTCAGTATTGAAAGAACACATACGCAATATTAACAACAATACGAAAACACAAGTGTTGGTTTTGCTCAGTATTGGCAAATGTTTAGTGTAACTAAACTCATATTTGTAAGGCGGGAACACAAGGCATCAAACCATTTATTTAAAACATATAAAACAACGGGACATGACTAGATTATAAGGAAACCGGGAACACAAGGCATTAACAAGGCATTAGGACATTTCACTTAACTGAAACCTAAAGATAAAACCGACTAAATAGCTTATCCTTGACCTTTCTCTATATCGTTAAGTGGTTCGGTTTTTCCTAAGAGGTTAGATAGGACTTGTTTATCCGCTAATATCTCTTTGTTAGTGAACTCCTTCTCACTTAGAGCAGCCACGGCTTGGAGGTTCTTCAAAGCAGCCTCCTGTCTTTCGCTGGTTCTCTTCACGGTCTTGGATCCTCTCAACTTTGCAGCCTTTGCTGCCTTCACACCCATCGGTCTCTCTTCTTCTGGTTCCTCCCTGGGACCAACGCCCCGGAATCATGTGGCTGTGCTCTTTTGTTTGCTCTGCTTTTGCCTTTATCCTATTTGAGAACGCCACTTCTGATCGTTTCTAAGAGCTCTCCACGCATGGTCTAAGACGAAGTTGGTCTTATGATCCTGGTAATAGAACTTGTAAGCCATCTGGAAGATATCATCATCGGATTGGCCGCTTGTAGCTTGACGGCTCGCCATGTCAAAGCATCCGCAAAACCACTGCACTTCTTTGTTTATTTTCGTCCATCTCTGCTTGCAAGTATTCCACAGGCGAGGAGGGAAGTCCTTCACCGCAGTACACCCATGATAGTAGATGCAAACCCGTTTCCAAAACGCTTGAGCTTTCTGTTCATTTGCAGTCACGCCATCTTTGCTAGTGTTTAACCACGCGGTCACCAGCGCCCCATCTTCTGCGATTGACCATCTTCTTCTCGCTTCCCGTGTAGCCAATGGTGAGCTCTCGTCTCCATCATCATCGTCATCTGCGGTGGAGCTGGTTTGGGTACTAAAGTTAGGAGGTTGGTCACCGAAGAGAGGTGTCTGAGTACTAAACAGAGGAGTTTGGGTACCAAAGAGAGGTGTTTGGGTACTAAACGAAGGTGATTGGGTACTAAAAAGGTGATTGGGTACAAAACGGAGGTGTTTGAGGTGTACCGGTTTGGTTCATGAGGTATGTGAAGGATCTAGAAAGCTCGAGGGACTATTGGAACCCATTTCGTAAACAGAAAAGAGATGAGTGAAGAAGAAGCTCGTGTTTTAGGGTTAGCGATATGATGAGTGAAGAAGCTCATCAAGTTGTGTTTTTATAGGCAAAAGAGGGTGTTACTAAAAGCGACAAGACATGAAACTGTTTTTAAATTTTTTTTAACTCATTTAACTCTACACTTTAGTGGTTGACATTGCATTTAACTCAACATAACTCAACATACAAGCAAAATTCCTAATCGCTCACAACCTAAATCAGACCTATGAACCAATTACAAGCAAACAACAACCGCAACCATTAACACCTCTCTACCTAAACAGCAAACAATAACTACAGCCGCAAGCTAATCTATCACACAAAGGCGGAAACCTAACCTTTACTTTCTCGAGCTGATTTGAGTTGCCATCATCTCCACCAGCTGTCTTCTTCGACGCCATCTCGAGACATGAGAAAAAAGAAGAAAGAATACATGTTAGTTAAAAGAAAAGAGCATTCAAAGCTCTAAGATTAATGCTTTCTAGTTCCGTTTGGATTTGTATGAATCATAAAACACAAGAGACACCAAAAGCATTATAGTATATGTTCCGTTGGATTCAGATATGGTAAGAATCAATGTCACGCAGAAACATTCAACCGTACATGATACAACAAAAGGAATCAACATGAGCTCGCAAACCATTTCCGGGAGATTACAATCACGGTTCAGACACAAAAGGAATAAACAGTTTCACACAATTCGATTCACCTCAGATTAAATCAGACAACCACACATGGCAAATCAATTAAACATTTCCAGCAAACTCAATTTCCTAAATCACAAATCCGATTTACGTTTTCAAACTACTCAACCACCAAAATTCATTTTATACTGACTTTGGATAGAGGTCCATACCTGAGAAACTCGCCGAAATTCAAAATAACTCGCCGGAAATCGCCTGAGATCGAACTGCGAGACGACGAAGAAGATGAAGAAGAACAGAGGAGAAGAAGAAATGGACGAAGGAGAAGAAGAAATGGACGAAGGAGAGGAAGAACAGAGCATAAACGGGTATCGGAGACAGAATTCTCGTGTCGCCGATTTTCAGATCGGTGTGAGAGACGGAGAAAGCGAGGAGTCAATGAAATGAAAAACAAAAAAAAATTCGGGACACCGAATTTTTCCACAACACGGCTCCTTCAGCTGACACGTGCCGCATCAACCGGTTCTGGGCTGCTTCCTGGAGAGACGATTGTTTAAGTTGGGCCTACCACATGTGAATTGTTTTACAATTTTTCTTTATTTTTGGGCTAAAGCACCGATGCATGTGCGTTGCACTTGCTCTTAGTGTTACAACAAGATAAGGGTTTATAAAATGAAGGGTTCAGGTAAAAATATACAAAGAGTTACTTTTACCTACAGCTAGAGTAATCTTGGCAAAAAGAAACTAAAACCAACATTCCAATATGATTGGGTTGAATATGAAATACATAGTCCATGGGTTGCATCAATCGCTTGAAAGTGATACAAATAAATGACACAACCCACATTGTTTCTGAAAATAGTTGCATAAATCGTTTGAAAGTGACACAAAGAAACTAAAAACAACATTCCAGTACGATTGGGTTAACAAATAAACTAAGTACTTGTAAATAAGAACCCGATTTCCTCATATGATACATATTGAGGACAATAAATCATGGGCTCAAATCATTCATATTCACGTTAGAGATCGTCTTGTTTGTTAACCAAATGAGTCTACTAGAATTATAATAACAAAGTATAACAAGTATATATTAGAAAGAATTGGTGCTTTAGCAATTTCAGATATTCGTTGCTAAGTCAATTTCGGATTAGTTAATGTTATTCAATGTGTAAAAGCAAAATGAGTTCCGAAAAGTTTTAAGAAAATTAACGGGTTATCTTAACAAGTCTAGAGAAAACCGGATGGATCACTACGGCGACTCTCTCATTTTCTTGCTTATGTTATTTGGGTAATGTCCACGTTTTGAAGTTGTCGTAGTGTCGTTAAAAAAAAAAACAAAAACAAAAGACTAATTAATAAGCAACTCCTGGCGCAAGCCACTGAGTTTCGTTTATATAAACGCATAATCGCTTACGCCATTCGATTCTACTTGTGGCAATATCGAAGACACCGCAGTTTGAAGCACGACGGTCATGATCTTGAAGGTCTGACCAAACATCATCATCGACGAAACAGATTGAATCACTCTTGATCCCATCACCAAAACAATCTTCAACCGGTGCTCTTACCGTAACCCCATGACCAAACACCAACATCTCATCATGATCATCTCCTATATAATACACTCTTTCCCATTTCCCACTCTCAAGATTCATCTTAAAGACGTAAAACAAAAGTCTCTCTTCATATTCATATTCAAATTTCTGCTTTTCTTTCAAGCTCAAGATGATCAAAACCTCTCCCGAGTTTCGAATCGCTATTCTCCTCCTCCAAATGTATTCCCACGGTTGCTCAACGAAGTCAAACGGATGGTTCCAATAAGGGTTCTTGATACCTTCTTCTTCTTTAGGGAAATCTCCAGACAAATCGAAAATCTTGATGTGATTATCAGTTGTGAACACATGGAGCTTACTTTCCTTACAAGCTACATCCAGAAGACCAACCGGATGTGTGCCTTGTAGTGTAAGATTTGACCATGAGTCATCTCCTTTCTTGTGTGAGAACAAGTATTGCTGTCTAAAGATCCAAGCAACGACATAATCTCCTGTTGTGTCGTCTATCCATAGAGCAGCTGAGGTTTTCCATTCGAGATAATCTTTCGACACTTTTTTCCATCCGAGAATGTCCTTCGGCTTGCCAAGATCCTTACGAGAAGGCCTGCCAAAGTATCTCCAATGTTTGTCGTCAGATATCACTTTCTCCATTGACGGAAGGTTGATCTTTTTAAGCGTTAACATGTTGAAAAGATAGAATTCGGGATGAGAACCATGCATGAGGAGCCAATTCCCGGGACGAGAATCAAGCATGAGGAGCCAATTCCCGGAGCTAGCCATACGATAAACTCCGGAGAGACCGGAGAGTTTTCTTGTGTAAATCTTGTCTTCATCGGGATCAAACGACTTGGAAGACTCGCCTTGGTGTGTGATCCGCCATGGAGGACTAGGAGGACGATTAGCACATGTTTTCAAAACGGAATACCAACGTGAGCAAACGGTTTTCGCATTGTGAGAATCACTAGGGATCAAAGTCTCGAAGATCTTTCGCAAAACATGGGGATTAAGCTTGGACCAATCGCGATTTCTATGTTTTGACGTGTCCATATATGCTCTTTTACCTGGCTAGGGTTTGGTTGTGATGTAGGGGAAGCTAGAAAAGATAGTTTGTTCTAGGTGATTCCTGGGAAGCTTGAGAAGAAGAGGGATGGATATATATGGATTGATTTAACTAGGGTTTGAGACTTGAAGAATACTCTTATTACATATTTAATTCAAAGATAAATATCCTTTTTATAAGCATTAATCTATTTATTTATACTAATAAGGATCGTAAATTAAAAGGAGACATGACTTAAATGACTTAAATGAAAAGGAAAACATAAAGAAGACGTAAAAACACTAAAAAGTAAAAAAGATAGATAAAAGGAAAGTGGATCGTATAAGTGTCGTGGTTTTTAGGTTGGGTTCGTGAAAAACCAAGGGCTTATTGATATGGAAGAGATCACAAATTGGCACAAGGGATTTCTCTACAAAGAAATATATTACTAGAAATTCTTTAAGTGTAACTTACAAGTATTGCTTAAACGAATTGACAACCACAATCTATCCACGATTTGATTGCTCTAGTAACACTCTGTTCTCAGATCTATCCACGATCTTCGAACCTCTCAAGCCCTAACCCTTTGTCCTAGCTCTCTTACAAGATGATCTAAACCCAAAGTCTAAAGCTCTCAATATTTGTGATAGCCGCTTACAAGCAGCCAAGGTCCTCTATTTATCCTCAATAGACGAACCGCCAAACCCTACAAGGTTGTGTCTTGGTGATTACTCCAAATCTCCAAGGAATATTTCCTTTCCTTATTTTTCTCTAAGAATAGGAAATATCCCTTTTGTCTTGATAATTCCAAATCTCCTCATCCAGCTCAGCTACCGCCTCTTCTGGATTCGTCCTTAACCGCTACAAGCTCGCATCCAGCTCAGCATCAATCCTTTAGCTCCGTTAAGCTCCGCTACATGTCCGTCCATACGTCCTGATGCACTTCCTGACTGATTCACGATCTGCGTCAAACCAGTTGCATCTTCAATCTCCCCCTTTTTAGCTTTGTGTCTTACAAGCACCTGCAAAACTCAAATCCACAATGCACATACCAGAGATAACCAGAAAACAGGGATGTTCTGAATACTTCATCATTAGACATTCAAAATATTCAAATCATTCAGAACATGAGAGTTATGAGTTTAAACATCCAAAAACAAAAGAGTTAGAAACAAAGCAAAAACTCTCAACTCCCCCAGAATTCTAGAACCGAAAACTACTTAAAACAGAGCAAAAAACAAACAAAAGCTTTGCTAAAGCCGTCATACATTGGAGACCTTATTTATGGGGTCGACGTTTTCTCATCCGTACAGATCACTATAGCCTCAAATTTCTTCTTGAGCAGCGGCTTTCAACGTCTCCTCAGATTCATTGGATTAGTAAGCTTCTTGGATATGATTTTGAGGTTGAGTATCGCTCTGGTAAGACAAATAAGGTGGCAGATGCCTTGTCTAGAAGGAGTGATTCGAATGAAGAAGAAGCTTGTGACATACATGCCTTAAATCGTTCAGACAAAGGAATTCTTGCACGGCTTCGTCTTGAGATCAATAATGATCACAACCTCAGCGAATTAAGAGACAAAATAATTCGTGGTGAAGAATCGTCAATTTGGGAGGCTCGTGATGGACTGATTTTTCGCAACGGCCAGGCTTATATTGATGCACAATCTTCCTTAGTTCAAGAAGTAGTTGCTGGATTCCACAACTTTGGGCATGAAGGTGTGCAGAAAACAATGGAAAGGATCCGGCGTGATTTTTATTGGACAGGCTGGAAACAAACAGTTAAAGATTTCATCGCCAATTGCCAGGTTTGTCAGAAAAACAAATGGGAGACTCTCCAACCAGCTGGATTAATGCAACCACTGACAGTACCAACTAGAATTTGGGCTGACATTTCGATGGATTTTGTTGAAGCCTTGCCAAAAGTCTCAGGAAAAACAGTTATTCTTGTCGTGGTTGACAGATTCTCCAAGTATGCTCATTTTATTCCCTTAAGTCATCCATATACTGCAGTTTCAGTTGCTCAGGCATTCTTCCAAGATATTGTTCGATTGCATGGCATTCCAGAAACAATTGTTTCTGATCGCGACAAGGTGTTTCGTAGTTTATTTTGGCGAGAATTATTCAGGCTGCTCGGTACTAACTTGTGTTTCACTACAGCATATAGACCTCAGTCTGATGGGCAAACAGAAGTTGTTAACAGAACTCTTGAGATGTATCTACGATGTGTTACAGGGGATGCACCGCGTAAATGGCTCACATGGCTTCCATGGGTGGAATATTGTTATAACACATCCTTTCACACAAGTCTCAAGACAACACCATTTCGACTTGTTTATGGCAGAGACCCACCTCGTCTTCTTGATTATACGGCAGGGAGTTCTCAGTTGGATGAAGTTGATGTGGCTTTGGAACAACGGGATGAGTTCCTAGAGATGGCAAGAGAAAGGTTACTTGAAGCTCAACAACGAATGAAAGCTGTTTATGACAACCATCATCGTGCACTTGAGTTCAACAAAGGCGATTTGGTTTGGTTAAAGATTCAGCCATACAGACAGTTAACTATCGCTCGAAAAGCCTTCACCAAACTCTCTCCGAAATTTTATGGACCATTTGAAGTACTAGCTCGAATTGGCACAGTTTCATATCGGTTGCAGCTTCCTGAAGGGTCTAGGATTCATGACGTTTTTCATGTCTCCCTGCTCAAACCACATAGAGGTGAACCACCAACAAGCTGTCCTGTTTTACCACCAGTTTTGCAGGGACGTGTGGTACCAGCTAAACCAGTCAAGCTTCTGCGTGCTAGACTACAAGGGAAGACAAGACAAGTCCTAGCTCAATGGACAGATGCCGTGGACACATGTACTTGGGAGGATGCAGAGAAGCTGATCGAGGCATATCCGGAATTGGAGCTTGAGGACAAGCTCCTAGTCGAGGAGGGGAGTAATGATACACGCTATGGTATCATGTGGCGTAGACAGAAACATTAAGATTTAGAAGTTTTCCTTTTCTCATTTAAGAGTCGGTTTTAGTGTTTTCCTTTAAGCAAAGCTTTTCCTTTTCTTAATAGCTTAGGAGCATTGTACGAGAGCTATATAAGTCTCTCTCATTGTTATGCATGAATCATCTTCCAAACATTGACCTTAATCTCGAAAAGAGCTTAGGGTTAAGAGGAAACTTTTGTCTTCAATTCTCTTGTGTTAACCATTGCTTGCCTAGGTCCCATTACTAGAGCTCGTTCACGGGAACAGGCTCATATCAATTTCCAGTACGTGTAGTTTCCATCATCAAGTATCACCTTCAGCTCTGGGTGATAGCCCTCCATTCCGCAAGATCTCACCTGCTATAGCAATACACGCAAGGTGACTGCTCTGATACCAATTGAAAAACCAAGGGCTATTGATATGGAAGAGATCACAAATTGGCACAAGGGATTTCTCTACAAAGAAATATATTACTAGAAATTCTTTAAGTGTAACTTACAAGTATTGCTTAAACGAATTGACAACCACAATCTATCCACGATTTGATTGCTCTAGTAACACTCTGTTCTCAGATCTATCCACGATCTTCGAACCTCTCAAGCCCTAACCCTTTGTCCTAGCTCTCTTACAAGATGATCTAAACCCAAAGTCTAAAGCTCTCAATATTTGTGATAGCCGCTTACAAGCAGCCAAGGTCCTCTATTTATCCTCAATAGACGAACCGCCAAACCCTACAAGGTTGTGTCTTGGTGATTACTCCAAATCTCCAAAGGAATATTTCCTTTCCTTATTTTTCTCTAAGAATAGGAAATATCCCTTTTGTCTTGATAACTCCAAATCTCCTCATCCAGCTCAGCTACCGCCTCTTCTGGATTCGTCCTTAACCGCTACAAGCTCGCATCCAGCTCAGCATCAATCCTTAGCTCCGTTAAGCTCCGCTTAGCTCCGCTACATGTCCGTCCATACGTCCTGATGCACTTCCTGACTGATTCACGATCTGCGTCAAACCAGTTGCATCTTCAGTTCGGGTTTCGGGTCAAAATAAATTTGAGTTTTTTTTTTTATTCGGCTCACGGTTTTCGGGATTTTTTTGGATTTTGGATTTTTGGTTTTAAACATATTAAAAAAGTTTGGATTTTTTAAAATTTTGATTAAGGTTTCTGGGTCGGGCTCGGGTTTAGGATTTAAATTTTCTTCACAAACCGCAACGTCACACCGCGTGTTTGCACAAGTCCTCTACTAGTATCATTATAAAATGAAGGATTAAGGTAATGCAAAGAGTTTGACCCACAACTAGAGTAATCTTGGCAAAAAGAAAAAAAAAATTACAATACGATTGGGTTGAACTTGAATATGAATTACATAGTTTAACGAATCCAGAGAACCATAAGAAGACTATGGACATGATTGGTAAGTGCTCTGAGTGCTCTGCAGAGCAATAATTATTTCTAGAGCACTAGTGTTAAACCAATCATGCTTTTATTTCATTTTTTAAGTTCAGAGCAATAATTTTAAATATGGAAATATTTTGGCTCTGCAGAGAAGATTTTTCAGAGCACAAATTTGAGGGCTCTGAGAATTCTCTCTCTTCTAATTCCTTAATCTCATTCTCTATATTCCTTTTTTAATGTTTTTTTCTGTATCTCTTTTATTTATTTTTAATGCTACATGATATTTGATAAGAAATTATTTATAATAAAAAATTCTACAGCGTTATAATCTACGGCCACAGCAAAAAAATCTACAGCCTAAATTCTACATCAAAAAATCTAAAAGTTACAGAAACAACCAATCAGGCCCATATGCTTGTTACTGAAATAATTTTTTAGGATAGCATGCATGCATTGTCCTTGCTTATGTTAGATTGATTGCATGTCACACGAGTAAATACATAATTTGGGAATATATGTAAGTCTGATTCACATCATCAAACTCATTTTCACATCAAAGCAAACTTATCAGATAGTGTTTGTTTTTAAGAAACTCCGCAAATTTATTCACAACTTCACGAGCATTGTCAGTGTCATGGTTCTTATAATGTTTGAATACAAAAATAAGAGAAAAATTTATTTGAATATATAGAAGAATAAATGGAAAAAATTGTTTGGATACAATAATAATAACTTAAAACAAATCGATGGTTTAGAAAACATCCGTTTTCCAGCTCTGAAAAATCTGCAAAAAAAAAACTTCACATAATCTAACGATAATACAAAATCAATATAATATGCTTTTTGGATTTTCGGGTTTTTTTAGACAAGTTTGGGTTTGGGTGAAAATCTGAGACCTAATTTTATAGAGATATAGAAATTGTTCGGGTTTCTTTGAAAATTTCTGTTCGGGTTGGGTTCGAGTTTCTTTTTCCAGTTTAGGGTTTTCCGGAATTTTTGGATTTCGGGTTTTCGAATTTAGATATATTAAAAAAAGTTTGAGAATTTAAAATTTTGATTAGGGTATTTGGGTCGGTTCTGAAAAAGTTTTCAGATTTTTTTTGTCCAATTCAGGGTTTTCGGGATCTTTTTGATTTCGGATTTTTGGGTTTAGACATATTGAAAAGGTTTGGGTTTTTAAAATTTTTGATTAGGGGTTTTTTGGTCGGGTTCGGATTTAGGATTTAGATTTTCTACACAAAACCACAAGGTCACACCTCACAAACGTGCGGGTACTCTACTAGTAAATACACAGTCTTAGTCTCTTAGACCATCTCCATGGTTTGGTTCGTTTAATGTAATTTGGGTTAGTTGTGATTTTAGTGTCGATGGTTTTGATGTTTTGATTTTCAGTTTGACGAACTTTTGATTTCATATATTAGGCAGAGAATAGTTTATGATTGAGATAATCTCTCCATGTTTGCTGCTCTACTTTTGGCACTTGATCCTTTGTTCTTCAAGGGAACCTTACTAGTTTCGATCTTAAAAAATATAATAGCTTTTGGCACTTGATCCTTTGACTCCACATTTAATCTAATTTGTTTGTGGCTGTTATACCACATTACCAGTGGCAAATCCAGCAGATAAAGACAAATCCAGCAGATAAAAAAAACTACCAAACTAATAATGTTTCTAACTTAAAAATGTGGAAGAGATACTTCATCAAAAATTTGAACAAACCCACTTGAAAACAAAAGACTAATAATTAATAAGCAACTCCTGGAGCAAGCCACTGAGTTTTGTTTATATAAACGCATAATCTCTTACGCCATTCGATTCTACTTGTGGCAAGATCGAAGACACCGCAATCTGAAGCACGACGGTCATGATCTTGATGGTCTGGCCAAACATCATCATCGACAAAACAGATTGAACCACTCTTGATCCCATCACCAAAACAATCTCCAACCGGTGCTGTTACCGTAACCCCATGACCAAACACCAACATCTCATCTCCAATAGAATACACTCTCTCCCATGTTCCACGATTCATCCTAAAGACGTAAAACAAATGTCTCTCTTCATCATGTTCATACCTCTCCTTTTCTTTTAAGCTCAAGATGATCAAAACCTCTCCCGAGTTTCGAATCGCTATCTTCCTCTTCCAAATGTATTCCCACGGATCCTCAACGAACTGAAACGGATAGTTCCTATACGGATTATTGACATGTTCTTCTTTATTAGGGTTCCCTCGAGAGAAATCGAAAATCTTAATGTGGTAATCAATTGTGAACACATATAGCTTCATGTTCTTATATGCTACATCAAGTAAACCACCCGAGCCTGTGCCTTGTGGAATCAGGTTTAACCATGAAACTTCTCCTTTCTTGTGTGAGAGCAAGTGTTGCTGTCTAAAGATCCAAGCAACGAAGTAATCTCCGGTTGTATCGTCTATCCATAGAACAGCTGAGTTTTTCCATTCGACAATGTCATTGGACACGTTTTTCCATCCGAGAATGTCTTTCGGGCGACTATTCTTACTAGATTTTTCGACAGATGTCACTCTCACATGCGCCATCGACGGAAGCTTGATCTTCTTAAACGTTAACAGGTTCAAAGATAGAACTCGGGAGGATCATTGATATAGTAAAGGTGATTACGGGAGTGTCTAATCGGACGGTTGTGGTGTAATGTGAAGATCGACGGTCAAGATTGAAAGAGAGTCAAGATCTGAGCATTAAAAGGCAACGTCTAGCAAATAGAGGATATTCATAAAAAGTTGTTACAGTTTTCTTCTTGTTTTCTCTTCTGTATTCGTCTCTCTCAAGGAATTCTTATCTTTGGTGGAATTCTTGAGGTTTGTTCGAGATTTCTTTGTTTCATGAACATTGGGATTTCCTTTTATCTTCTTCAATTGAATATACGGTTTATTTGTATCAATCATCAAGTGATTCAAGCATGAGGAGCCAATTCCCGGAGCTAGCCATACGATAGCCTCCGGAGAGCCGTACGACGAGTTTTCTTGTGTCTTCATCGGGATCAAGAAAATTTGAAGACTCACCTTGGTGTATGATCCGCCATGGACGACTACGAGGACGATTAGCACATGTTTTCCAAACGGAATACCAACCTGAGCAAACGGTTTTTGCTCGGTGAGAATCAGCAGGGATCAATGTTTGGAAGATATTTCGCAAAACATCGGGACAAAGCTTGGACCAATCAAGATTTCTAGGTTTTGACGTATCCATGTCTGCTCTTTTACCTGCTAGGGTTTGGTTGAATTATTGTATCAAGCCAATTCTAATTAGGATTCTACTATATATTCGGTTTCTCATGTACTGGGCCTGATGTGTTTAATGATTTTGGGCTTGTTAAAGAATTGAGTAAGTCGGTTGTTTCCTCTGTCTTCTCTTTTTTGTTACTTTCTAAAATGAAGGGTTAAGGTATATAATGACGTTCCAGTGAGAACATTTTTAAAAAGGAAATTTTACTTATTGTAGAACTTGCCTTGAGGAAGAATTTTGGAGGTTTATCTCAAAAGAGTATTTTGGGGAATCACTTGTTGACTTGTTCTAATTAAGATCAAATAAGTTATACGTGTGTTACTAACTTACCTTGGAAGCTGGATGGAATGAGAGCCACTTAATATTCACAAAGAGATAGAGAGAGCTTAGGTTCATTGTTTTGAGTGATCATGTTCTGAGTGTTCTAGTGATCAAAGTCGATGATCCGATTTAGAAGTATGAGATATTTGATATATAAACTTGCGAATCATATGTACTGATGTACATATGTATACATTTTGAACGCGGTTAAAACAATAAATAAGGAAACATGCTAGTTACTGAAATATTATTTTTTGAAAAGCATGCATGCATGGGCCTTGCTTATTTTACACTAATTACATGTCACACGTACGAGTAAATACATAATTTGGGAATAAGCACAGCTATATACATGCAAGTCTGATTCACATCATCAAACTTATTTTCACATCAAAGCAAACTTATTAGATAGTGTTTGTTTTTAAGAAACTCCGCAAATTTCTTCACAACTTGACGAGCATTGTCAGTGTCAGGGTTCTTCAAATGGAAAGCGTGACCTTCACGTTTCGTCTCCATCACCTCAACTTCTCCACCCCATCCACTCTTCTCCAGCTTCGCCGCGTAACCAAAACCTTGTCTCACAAATATGTCATATCCCGCTACCATCACCAGAACCCGCCCGCAACCCAATCCGGATAGATCCGACGATTCGGATCCGACGACGTTGAACAACGGATCATCCACTCCCTTTTCGCTGTTCGGACTCGCCACTTCCCAACTCCCATCGATCTTTCTCCTCCTCCTCTCATCTCTCGTCTCCAGTTCGTCAATCGGAGTCTTACCCCAAAAGTACGGATGAATCAAGATCATCCCGGAGATTACGGGATTTAGTTTTTCTTTCTCCGCACGAATCGCTAGATGATGAGCGATGTTTCCACCGGCGCTATCTCCGGCGAGGAAGACTTTCCCGAAATCGGCGTGTTTGTTTATCCAATTCTCCGGTCTAGTTCCATCGATGTAAGAAAACACCCATTTGAGCGAGTCCCATGAATCCTCGTACGGGACTGGAATCGGAAACTCCGGCGCACGTCGGTAATCCACCGAGATCGCTAAGCATTCTGCGGCGGCGACGGCGGATGTGAGGAAAGTGTGGTAGATTGGTGAAAAGGCTGTTTCGAAGATGAAGCCACCACCGTGGAAGTAGACGAGGACAGGGAGCTTTTGATCGGTTTCAACGACTTTCTCCGGGAGGTATATGCGGAGGGAGAGGTTTTTCTCCGGCGAGTAGACGACGTCTTTTGAAATGACGCCGTTTTGAGGGTTTAGAGACGGTGGGACGATTGTTTCTCCCGTGAGACGTTCGAGGCGGCCATTCTTGTAGACTACAAAACTCGGAGACATGTCGAAAGCAATTTCGGACTCCATTCTTGCTTTGTAGTATTAAAGTTTAAGGAAAATGTTAGAGAGCAGTGAAGATGAAGATGATGAGAGATTTGTTTTGGTGGGATTTATATAATTTCGAAATTTCCGGTTCTATTTGGTTAACCGAATGAGAACCTAACTTTGTTCGGTTCTATTCAAGTCTTGCGGTTTTCTTTGTCTAGCTCGGATGATTCGGTTTTGGCCTAATGTTTTAATCTGTTTTAGTAGTGTATCTTAGTTACGTAAAGAAGTTCGTTTTTTCAGATGAATATCCAATTGGTTTGGCTAGATTTGTGTTCAATTTGTTTGGTGGTGATGAGCAATAGGTTTAGTTAAACTCATTATAGAGTAGGTTTGGTTGAAACCAGATGAGTGTAGTAGATGTGTAAAATGAATACAAAGCTTATGAATAATATGTGACTATTTATGTGTGATGTAAAATAGCAAATGGTTGGACTCTTTCATTCATTGGATGTGACTCGTGAGAAACACTATTGAAACATCTAATTCAGGCTAGATTTGTCAAAAAGGTTAGTATCATAGTTTCAACGCTTTTAGCAACGTTTTTTTTTCCAAGTATTAAGACTGATATTGACTACTAGCACGCCTTTTGTAGTTTAGCTTAGCTAGGAGCCGAGGAGCAAGATTCTAACTGATTTTTAAAATGTTTGTTTCTCAGCCGCTGAATCTAATTATCGGAATTTGATGTTTTTTTGTAGCGAATGTGAAGTTTATGCGACGCTCGCTCAAAATATATCACGTTCCCTTTGCTATTGGCGCATTTGCTTACCTTTTCAAGCTTCATACAAAGATGTATTATTTGATTTTGGTTGGTTTGTTAAATTAGGTTTTTCATGTTTAAATTTGAATTTTATTACTATTATATATCCTGGTTAATAATAGATGGTGATATAGTAAAACTAAAAAAAAAAAAAAAAAAACATGTGTGTTACTGTTTGAGCCTATTTAATTTTGTGGAAGATGTAAAGAAGCTAAATTCGATTTTGATTGTGATGACTGCTGAGAGGAAGCGAAGCAATGGATTTGAAACTATTTTTATTAGTTTTAGATTCTGGCTCTTATTGTTTATGACTTTTGTTTTAGGCTGTGACGGTTGCTTTTGGCTGTAGAGAATTTGGCTTTAAAGAGTATGACTGTTATTTTTAATATTTATTTAAGAAAATTTGATTGGTAACAAATACTAGAAGAACTATGACTGTTATTTTTTTTTTTTTCAAATACTATTTTTTTTTTAAAGTTAATGCTAATTTTTTAATATAAAATATTAGAAAAATGGATATTAAAAGAAAGAATGAAAAAATAATAATAATTGTTAATCTGTAAAAATTTCATTTTTTATAAGATTAGTAAAAAGTTAGTTTTAATTGATTTGTGGTGTGAAATAAGAAAATCAATAATTAAAAGAAATTATAAGAAGAGAGAGAATGACTCCTTAACCCACATTCCTAGGGCGAAGAACACAAATGCGGACAAGTTAGCACGGAGTGCTCGAGGTCAGCTTTACGATATGTATTACATAAACTCAGTTCCACCGGTTCCGCTCCCCGGACCGTTGTAGGAATTTAGGCTGTTGACAAAAAAAAAAAAAAAAAAAAAAAAAAAGAATGAAAGTGTTGTATTGTGGCTTTCATAAACAAAGAATAAAATATAAAAAAAAAACTGTCAAAAAGACTTTAAAGACTTTAGAAACTATTAAAGTCCTAAAAGCCTGATTGGCTAAAAACAAACTGTCAAGACTGTTAAAAAATTTAAAAGTCCTCAAAGCCTCCATGCCCATCTAACATGCTCCATGTTATAGTTTTATTTATTTTTAAATATAAAATTATTTGATTTTTTTTTTGTGAAACAGCGGGAGCTAGCTCCCAATTTTATTAAAAGAAAAAAGTTTACACACGGAATTGTCGCGATTTTAAATCTCCACACTCATCCTCATACAAAACAGGCAATAAGTTCCGTGGGACTGAATCAAAAGTATACAATCCCAAAGCTAAAGAAAATGTATAGTTCGCCAAACCATCTCCTAGACGGTTAGCCTCTCTATACTAAAATTATTTAATATGATTATGTAATAAGATTTATTATAATTTTAATTAATATTATAGTTTGTTGTTAAATAATAGACGGAATAAATTGTGGTTTGCATTCAGTTCAGGCCCAAATGTTTATTTTGTTGTTGTTTTGTATTCACAAGTGATAAATACGAATTAATATGCTTTGCAGTTGGGCCGAAACTCAATATTTTTGGTATATATAATGTTTAGTAATGAGCAATCTCTAGACTCTCGAGTAGGTTTGGTTGAAACCAGATGAGTAGTGAATGCAAAGCTTATCTATAATATGGAGTAGTGCAAATGGTTTGGACTCTTTAATTCTTATGGATGTGACTTGTGAGAAACCGACATCCCCAATTATGTTGAGAAACCAACAAATCATCCATGTTCGTTGATTCATAGGTAGCGACTAGTTAGCCAATCAAATGAGTCTACTAGCATTTTCAATAACAACTAAGTACACATAGTTCTAGATACGACCACTTTCTTTTGCCATTTCAAATGTTTGTCACTCAAATTCTATAACAAGTAAAGTCATTAAAGTCGGTGGATTTTTGTTTTGAACCAGTAATAAACTAATAACTAACGGAAACAGGTTTATTACATCACTTACACAACTGACTATGAAAATGGAAAAGCACATATTTTGTGTCGATTTATGCAAAAGAAATTGGACAATAGCATTTGCTTGAAACCACCATATGAGAGAAATGTAGTGGTCACGAGGTTAATGTGAAAGTTGTTGTTAGGTGTATCTAGATGATACAAATGGTTGGACTCTTATAAATCTTCTAACTTATATGGAAGTGATAGGACTTGTAATTAAGAATCCGATAACCTCATATGATATATATTGAGGACAATAAATCATGGGCTCAAATCATTCATGTTCACGTTAGAGATCGTCTTGTTTGTTAACCAAATGAGTCTACTAATAATAACCAAGCATAATTAGTATTAGAAAGAATTGGTGCTTTAGCAATTTCAGATATTCGTTGCTAAGTCAATTCCGGATTAGCTAATGTTATTCGATGTATAAAAGCAAAATGAGTTTCGAAAAGTTTTAAGAAAATTAACGGGTTATCTTAATAAGTCTAGAGAAAAAAATCAAAGTTTTTTAGAAATTAAAGGATTGGTTTAAGTAAATAACTGATAAGTTTTATTGCGACTCTCTCCTTTTTTCCGTTAAAGGATTTTATTAATGTCACTCTCTTGCTTATGTTGTTTGGGTAATGTCCACGTTTGAAGTTGTCGTAGTGTTTTTGTTCAAGATACAACAAAAACAAAAGTCGCCGTAGTGATCCATCCACGTCACTCACAAGTCACAAAGATTCAATACCTTTTGATTCAGCAAAGTTTATCTATTTCCCAAATTTTCAATTGAATTCAGCTAGTGGCTAATTCAGCCAAATTATACTGTTACTCTAACACCAGTTACACACGTCTTCTTCTTGCCTCTGGCTCTTTGAAGTTTTTTCTGGTGTGTTTTTTCCTATTTTAATTTATTAAAAAATATTTATCATATCATTATTGTATTAATTTAGTATATGACCTAGTACCAAATGATCCTGGTACAGATTAAATAATTCTGGCTCTTCACTGGTCGTATTGTTCTGTTCTCCGTCCGTACAATATCATCTCTATAATATTATCTCTCTCTCGCTATCTTCTTCTCTTAGATTGCTTTATCCACTTTTTAATTTCTCGATCTCTCTTGACTTCAATTTCTTTTAGTTTTATTTGTCTATAAATCCTAAAAAAGGAACACTTGCTATATGTTGTATAACCAAATGTTGTTACTAATAGTTCTCAAAGGAAAGGTATATGTCGAAAATTTCCACGGGAACTTCACAAATAATACTAGCTCCTGAATGAAATCACTTTGTTAAAATGAACACTTTAGGGGTAAATGTATTTTTGAAATTTCTCATTTCTAATTTTCTACCTCTTTAAAAAAAAAAAAAAAAAAAAAAAAAAAAAAAAAAAAAAAAAAAACTGGTTTTGTTGGTCTTTAGAGACGTGAGCATATTGGCTTTGAAGAAAACTGTCTCATTTATCTCAAGATTGCGTACCGATCAACAAGTAACATGATAAATCTTGTAATAATCCAGTATTTTATGATGTAATATGTAATTTATTTAAAGAATATATATTATTTTAATATTTCATATCGTAAAATTATAAGAAATCTTAATATTTAAAACACAATAATAAATATCAGATTTTTTTTAAAAAATGGATGATATTTGATCTAGTAATTCACTTTTATAGTATAACATGAATATCAAATGTCAAAATATATACTAACTAGATTAAGGCCCGCGTATACGCGGGTATATTTTAAGATTTTATAATAAAAGCATGGAAAATATTAAACAAAATTTGATCATTTTTAAACGTAAACAAAATAATATTGAAAACCCGATAAAAATATTTAAATAAAATAAAATTGGTAATACTTTTACATTTTTATTATAATTGATTTTTCTTTTGAATTTATGATATGACAAAATGAATTAATTTGTTTTACTATTATTTTTATCCAATACATAAACACTTACACATGTCTAAATCTGATCAACTGATTAATTAATCAAACTTTTATTATTCCATTCAAGAGATTTTAATTGATGAAATCTTTATTTCAATTTTTTTTACCTAACAAAAATTGAAAATCAAACTATTTAAAATTAGAATATCATTATAATTTTTTAATTTAGTTAATTGCTTGAATATTATTTTGTTAGTTTTCTATTTATATTTTTTCTTTCTCAATTTTTTTTTGCCTCATACCATTATAAATAATATATATTGATATTTTTCCTTTTCGAAATGCATTTTTTTCCTTTTCTTAATAGATGTAACAAAAGAATTTAAATTATTTGTTTTCTGTTTTTTTTTAATTTTATTTTTTTTCATTTTAATTATTTTTATCTGATTTTCTAATTTTTATTTAGTCTTATACATATTAATTTTTTTATTTTTATTCTATGACACATGTTACGATCTTCATACTTTCATAATTTTTTTTTTCTAAAACAAATGTCACAATTTTGTGAGTTATAAAAATCATATGTATCGCAAAACTTCAAAAACATGATTTTTAAATTGGAGAAATAGAATCAAAGGGATTGATGAATTTGCTTTGATGAATTTATGATTGAGAAACTTTGACTCTCTTTTATAGGGATTCAAGTAACCTATTCAGTTATATGAAATTTAGTTTACATAACATTATTTATTTCATTATACAAATAGATTTTATTTATTACATTATTTTGATTTTATTATTTGTTTGGATAATATTAATTTGATTAATAACTTTCTCTATTATATAAAATATATTTATTATATTATTTTGATTTTATTATTTGTTTGGATAATATTAATTTGATGAATGGAAAACCTTTCTCTATTAGGATATGACAAATATATTTTTATTTCTTTTAACTGTAATGGATTAATTTTTTTTAAAAATTCCTTTATCTAAAAGCATCCAACTTTATATAATAAAAAATTTGATGAATGGGAAACCTTTTTCTGTTTGGATATGGCAAATATTATTTTTTCCTTTTTGATATAATAGATTAAATTAAATTTCGTTTTTTTTAATTAACATTTATTGGAATTTTTTTTTAAGTTCTCTTTTTTTCTAAGACACGTGTCACGATCTTAACGGACATAAACTTAAAAGTGACACATGTCGCGATCCTGAATTTTATAAAAATCCTACGTGTCGCAACCACGTCGTGCGCATCCAGCTTTATATAATAAGATATTTTATAAGTTACGACAGTTATCAAGATCATTTGACAACTATCAAGAACGTTCTTATAGAATTCGATTCGTCTTTCTCTTCTTACATGCCCATAATTAATCAATAATCTAACAAAAACAATTTTTACTTATTAAGAAACTCTGCAATTTTCTTCACAACTTGACGAGCATTATCAGTGATAGGATTCTTCAAATGATGAACATGATCTTCGTCTTTAATCTCCATCAGCTCAACTTCTCCTTCCCATCCACTCTTCTTCAGCTTCACCGCGTAACCCAATCCTTGCCTCGCATATATGTCATCTCCGGCTACCATCACCAGAACCCGCCCGCAACCCAACCCGGATAGATCCGACGATTCGGATCCGACCACGTTGAACAACGGATCATCCACTCCCTTCTCGCTATTCGGACTCACGATTGCCCAACAACCTTCGACTCTTTTCCTCTTCTTCACGTCTCTCGTCTCGAATTCGTCGATCGGATTCTTCCCCCAGAAATACGGATGGATCAAGACAATCCCGGAAACCAAATGATCTAGTTTCTCCCTTTTCGCGCGCATCGCTAGATGATGAGTGATGTTTCCACCGGCGCTATCTCCGGCGAGGAACACTTTCGCGAAATCGGCGTGTTTGTTTATCCAATTCTCCGATCCGGTTCCGTCGATGTGACGAAACAGCCATTTGAGGGAATTCCATGAGTCCTCGTACGGGATTGGGATCGGAAACTCCGGCGCGCGACGGTAATCCACCGAGATAGCTAAGCAGTCTGCGGCGGCGACGGTCGTTGTGAGGAAAGTGTGGTAAGTCGGTGAAAAAGCGGTGTGGATGACGAAGCCGCCGCCGTGGAAGTAGACGAGGACTGGGAGCTTTTGATCGGTTCCAACGACTTTCGCCGGGAGGAATATGCGGACGGAGAGGTTTTTCTCCGGGGAGTAGACGGCGTCTTTAGATACGACGCCGTTTTGTGGGGTTAGAGACGGTGGGACGGTTGTTTCTCCACTGAGACGTTCGACGCGGCCATTCTTGTAGACTCGATAATTCGGAGAATTGTCGAATGCGATTTCGGACTCCATTGTTTGCTTGAAGGATATGATAAGAGAGAGAGGCTGTTTTGGTGGGATTTATAGAAATGAGAAATTTCCGGTTTTCCGGTTCAATTGTTTAAAATAAACCAAATTAGAGTTCTGTTATTTTTTCTTTTCTTTGTCTTCGCTGGAATGCAATTTCGATTTGGTTTTGACCTTATCACAAACCTAAATACAATAGCAACTCTATAAACTAATAAAGTTGAAAATTTAATATTTTATTAATTTGTTAATTTATAGAGTTATTAATAGAATAATTTTGATTAAAAATATCAAAAATAATTAAATTTAATGATACTAATCTTTTCAAGTTTCATTTATATAATAAGATAGGAGTATTAAATTTTTTATTATGTTATTATCTTATTGGTAATATTTAAATGGTGAATATTTCAAAAACTTGAGTGTCGCAGCAAAATCTACCAAAGTCTCACACCAACCTAAGTATCCATATTTTATAGTATTGTTTTAAAATTTGAAAAAGAAATAAGTGAATTGACAAAAGTACAAAACTAAAGAAATGTATGTAAGCGAAACAAAAGCAAAAACTAGGCAAAACATAACTAAACTAGAGTGCTTAGCTTTGCACATCCAAGAGTAGTTTGTTTCAAAGTGTTCTTTTTTTCTTTTCTTGAATGAAAAAGTGTTCTATTTTCTATTACTTTAGTTTTTTCAATAAATCTTCTATCTCGTGTTAAATTTTGTCACAGGATATAAAGTTAGCGTTAAATGTTGTTGTTGGCCATAATATTTTAATTGACAATGCAGTTTCACGTGTGGCCGAGGGAGCGATTAATCCGCGTGAGAGGGTACACATGTCCCACGCACGGTGCAGCGTCATCCACTGGGGTTCATTACAAGCCTCCGGTTCTTCACCGACGCCGGAATCGCATCACCAACGTTCGGCGAGGCAGCGGGTGATCCTTTTGTCATGGCGGCTGAGGGGCGAGTGGTCGTGGGATTTCACGGTCGTGTGGCGGTCGCAATCCACAGTCTCGGCGGCATCATCTTTGCTCCAGCGCCCCAGTCGTCTAATGAATCAAACACTGTCAATGCTCGTCAAGTGTGAAGAAATTTGCAAAACTTTCTTAGAAACAAAGATTATCTAATAAGTTTGATGATGTGTTCTGTGTATCAATTACAATTTATAGCTATGCATATTAGGGTCGTTCAAAAAAAAAAAAAAAAAAAAAAAAAAGCTATGCATATTAGTTATTCCCAAACATATTTTAAGATTTTAGTAATAGTTAGTGTATAACAGTAATCAAACTATCATCGTCAGCGATCAAGAAGCAATCGATTCCGGGGCAGTGCGGTCCAATGAATTTTAACACCCTATTCGAATCTAAAATTTATGCTTTTCAACATTTTTTTTCAATATCACAAAAACAGTAGAAATATACATAAAAAAACCTTAAAACTTCATAATATAAACCAATTCTCAGTTTGTAAAAGTCATGTACACGCAAACAAGGGTTTTAATTTTTTCCTTACACACAAATATTTTAGAATTTTAAAATGTAATAATTATATAATGATACACATACTAAAGATATTTGTTAATAAATGCTCTATAAATATTAATATTATTAAAAAAAATTAAATTTTTGCACATCTTACTATATAAAGCTGGATGCGCGCAACGTGGTTGCGACACGTAGGATTTTTATAAAATATAGGATCACGACATGTGTCACTTTTAATGTTACTTCCGTTAAGATCGTGACACGTGTATTAGGAAAAAAGGGAAAAAATATCTTTTAAAAAATATTAGAAAAAAGTTATTTAAAAAAAAAGGAAATTATTTCATCTATTATATAAAAACAAAAGAAAATCTAATATTTGCCATATCCTAACTGAAAAAGGTTTTTACATTCATCAAATTTAAATCAAAATTATCAACCAATGTGCCTGCCAAATTCCATTCCAAGCTATATTTAAAATAGTTTCTTTCTCATTAAGAAATCAAAAATCATGTCCAATATTTAATCAGGTGATGTAATGTGTCAACAAAAGAAAATTGGAAAAATAGAGTAACATAAATAAATAAACTAATAAAATAATTGTAAAACAACTAACTAATAATGAAAATGAAAATTTATAATGGTTAGAGGCAAAAAAAAATTTGAAAAAGAAACAATATAAATAGAGGACCGGCAAAATAATTATCAAGGAACTAAAATATTAAAAAGAAAATTTTATAATGGACCGATCTTCTAATAATAAATATTTTAGTTTCCATTTTTTTCTTAGGTAAAACAATATTAAAAATAAAGATTTCATCAATATTTAAACTAAAGATTTCATCAATGGAATAATCAAAGTTTCATAAATTAATGAGTCGATTAGATTTAGACACGTATAAGTTTTTCTATTTCATATAATGAATTCAAAAAGTGATTAAATTTTGTTTAATAAACTCGTGTGTACGCGGGACCTAAACTAGTGATATATAAACCTCCTTAAGAAAAAATTAACAAAAATAAAGCAATATTCCCTGAAGCAGGGCGGCTCCTACTCGCTTACTTTGCATGTGCTCTGTGCCGCCCTGCTCCGGGAATAATGCTTTATTTATCTTCTTGTCCAAGAAACTATTCAACGCCGTGCCTATAAAACCCACCGTGCCACGCAAGAAACCAAAACAACATAAGCGATTGATTACCTCTAGTTTGTTTCGTTGTTTGTACTAAGAGAGTATCCGTGCATCGGAAGTATCACTTTGTATATGTAGGAATCGTTAATTTTTGGAATAAGAATTTGTTTTTTTTTTTGAAGTAATATAAGAGTTTGTTTCTTTTGAAGCAGTACGAAGTTAATAAGTTATGTGCTTTACATTTCAGTTTGATGATGGTAACATTAGTGATGTACTTTTGCTTAAATGTGTCCTACCAATCTCAACTTCCACAGCAGAAGAATCTTACAGTAAGATACACATGTTTGATCATCTGTTCCTAACTTAGGTCTTCAGAATAAAAGTACAGTTAAAACTGCTTCAACCGCCTAACAATTTGGTTCTGATACACATGAATTCCTAAAAGAAACTAAGAACAAACAACAAAACCTCACTCTTGAGATGAGTCATTATTCATACGGAACTCGTATGAACAACCGACCGTGCATGCTCATGATCGCATTCGTCTGAAGCGGATTGATTCTTGCTGATAAGCCAACAAGCGGACGGTTCTCAATTAAATACAAGAGGTATCTGAATCAAAATCTGGATTATAAAGACAATTTTACCTTGTTGAATGGTGTAATGCCCCAAGGATTGTCAAGTTGCTCAGGCTGCCCTGTTATGATCAGCTTTCCTGCGGGATCTGATTGAATGCGAACCTGAGATTAAAAAGAACAAATGATGTTCAGGAATTGGAACTCTAAAATGATAACACTTGGTAGTTAACTTAAGAGATCTCAATGTTCTTGCTATGTATTGCCACATTGATATGCATTCATACAAAACTAAAAGACAAAGACTTATCAAGTAGCTTTTCAGAGACAGTGTTACAAAGGAGTGCTCACCTCGTCACGAAGAAGTCCAGGTATCATTTGGCAATACCTCGTCAGGAAGAAGTCCAAGTCACGAAGAAGGCAAATACCTCAAAGGCTTCCTTCTATGAACAAAAAAAAATCAGAAACCAGACTTGGTTAGATATTCATATTGGAAACAAACATACGTTTTGCAACTGTTCTTTAGCCGTCTTTTGATCAGACTATTCTCGTGACGGGAAATGGCAGAGAAGTTACTCACAGTTTCTTTGACAGTTATTTTGACCCAGTCAGCAAGGGGTCCATCATCAACAACATCACCAACAGAGGACTTATAACGACAAAACGATGTTATTATTAATAGCGACAAGAGACGAGAAGGAAACCTCAATGGACAAATCTTGTGACACGATGAGCTTAGAAACAAAACACAAAATTAAATAACTATGGAGGAGTTGCAAATAAGTATGAGAGGATTAGCTCCTCTGTATAGCGAATAAATGAGTAGACTCTCGAGCTGTTGGTTTCAAATTCAAGAGTCGATTAACAATCAATATCTAAAATACATGCTGATATAACCATATATTAACCCATTTTAGCATACTTTTACATGCATATTTACACCATCTAAGTCTCATTTGCATACATTTAAGTCTTCATATCTCTATCTATACATCTGCATCCTCTTTGGAACTTGCATTGCATATACATTTGCATTTTGAGTCTAAATCAGGTACTTTTGGAGCTTTGGAGCCACTTGGGAATATGGAGTGTTGGGGACGTCAAGACAAAGAGCAACCAGGATGTCAATCAGGATCAGGAAGCCCGATTCTCGCCTTACAAGCTTTCTTTGACCAAGAGAAGAGTTGACTAAAGTCAAGACTAACCAAGCCAAGTTGAAACGCGGAGTTTTGGAGCCTAAATCTTGGGAAAGGAAAGAAGAAGGGTTTTAGAGTCTCCACTATATACACTTGGAAGTCCTAAAATTTTTTAGGCATCTTGTAATTTGTCTTTCATTTTGCCACCAAGAAATACTCTCGTTTGAGATCTTAGACTTTGTAAGCTTTGATCTCTTTCTCTTTAATCAAAATCACGTACTTGTTCATTTCATTGTTCATTTCAACTTGCTTACTTGGTTAACAACCTTTCCTCTATGGGAATTGGTTTGTTAAACAGGATGAGTGAGTAGTCTTTTAGATTGCTTTAGGTGTTGCGGTTTTGAGAGTTTTAAAGGAGATCTTTGTGTTTAAAGCTGGGACCTTTTAGAGCTTTTCCTTGCTTAGTGCCCTTAAGGCTGAGTCTTTTCTGATCATCTTGACTCACATCTCAAGCTCTCTACACAGCAAAAGTGTGTTTGAATGCTAGATAATCTAAGTCAAGGGATTTACTTTTCTAGCTCGCTATAGCGATTGTTTAGGGAGTTCTTTGGCGTTGGGATCTAAGCTTTAAGCTTGCTTGAGTCTGGGCTCACTGACGATAGTCAGTTCTTGAGCCTGAACCTTGCATTTAAGCTTCATTCACGATAGTGATGATCTTTCCTCTTGTTTTCCTTAGCGTAGAAGCTCGGTCCTATTCTCTAAGTTCAAAGTCTTTTCCTTTAGCTCGATTTTCAACCGCATCTACCTAAAGGAGTCGCCTTTCTTCATTTTATCTTATCAAGTTCCAATCTTTTAGCTCAAAGTTCAAATCTTTGTCTTTGATTCTAGTTTTGGACCGTTAATTTACTGTTCTAGTTCGTTATTTTACTGTTGAAAGTTTTGGATTTCTTAAAAACCTTATCTTGTTTGACTTGAAGCTTTTCTTGTATTCTTTTAAGACCCAATCTCTCTAGGATTAGGATTGACACATTTAATATACTGCAATGATATGAGCAGGGATAAGAGAGTTTGAATCTATGAAAAATCATGTTTTCACAAGCAAACGGAGCGTTGACACTATCCAGAAATTGAATTGAGCAAATGCATGAGAACTTGGAAGCATTACATCAAACAACTTGTCAACACTCCAAGAGAGAACAAAATTTTGCAGTCATGCTTCAAAGTTGATAGAAATCGAGCAATTAAAATTAGAGATACAGAGAACAGCAAAGGTCCAAGAGGATTCGACCGTGAGGAAAGGTGATAACAGAGGTCTAGACACTACAAGACTGAATTTAAAAGTTTGAAAGAAGCTGTTTTTGATGACAACATACGTTGGTGTTTTATTTGTTCTCTTACGTATTTTTACATGATAGGTGGGAACTGTAGTTTTTGATGGGCGTCATAGATGTGAGAAAACTCCATCAATTTGAGCTCCCCAATATCGTCGATTTGATCATCAGCCACCGATTTAATGCTTGATTTTGAACTTCGGCTGGGACTTAATAGTAAACCTTCGAAATTGACAGAGGAGAGTAGCGGAGGTTACCAATGGGTAACCGTGAACCATGCCGAGGGCTGTCGAGGAGAGGCTGCTGAGGGAGTAAAGTTTTTTGGAGTTAAAAACAAAGAGATGAGTCAAACGGGATCTGGGTGAAGGTTTTTATATTGGCATAGGAGAATTGAAGGGGAAGAAGGCAAGAAGCATTATGGCCTTGAATGGAAGTCCAGATCTATTACAGAATAAATACAGGACAGATCAAATA